TACTCATATCTTTCCCATTTCGTTATTAAATCTGCTATACATTATTTATAATCTCCAATTTCCAATATTTATGGAATAATATCTCACAATGAATACATATTTGACAAAAGAAAACTGACAGCATTTTTTTTGCGGCATGGTTAAAAAAGTTAGTACTGACAAACAATCATTGAAAACATTTTGTAGTTCAACCCATAGCAGTTTTGTGTAGCCTTTCAGTGCCCTTTTTTTTCTTCATCTTTAGATCCAAATTGTGCAGAAGAGCAGAAAGTGCGAAAAATCACTGGAAAATTTGATTTGATTTCTGTTGAAGTACATAGTGCAGCGCAGCTCATTCAAAAAATCTCTTAACTTGGCAACACAGAGTCAAATTGATAATCACTATTTTTGTGTAAATTGGCAATTCATTGATCACAACAAAAATCCACTCACTCTTACATTCGATATACAGTTTTTTCGTGACTTCAAAGAGTGGAAAATACAAATAACTGTTGCCAATTGGAGGAAAAACGCCTAAGCACTTAGACCCTTTGAAAATAATTCTGAACTGCTATGGGTCAACGAGCGATAAACACATTACCTTCATCACACTGTCAAACCGACTCCACATCGACTCCAAACAAACCAATTTTGGGCCATTTGGTGTCATGTGATTCGTTTGGTCCAATGTCGGTTTGATGTCGTCTTGTTAGTGTGACTGGAGTACTGTACATGTATAAAAACCACCCCGCACTCCACGATCCGACTACTATTCCATTTTGAATGGATTTGCAATAGCATTTGCTATGAACATTCAACCAATCAGGATGGTCGTCTAGTGTGCGGTGGGCTTTAGAGTGAAAAATCTCCTCCGTGGATGCTTAAAGATAAAGTTGAGTTCTAGGGGGGGGGGGGGGGGGGTTCACAAAGATCCTAAGTCAAACTTAACTCTAAGTTGGAATTATGGAGAGCCATTTGTAGCCTTAAAATTAAATATTTCCAAAAACAAAAATTGAAGTATTTTAGACTTTTCATAAATTCCACATCAACAACATGAAATCTCCTTGATAAGAGAAAATATGAATGATTTGAAACAAAATTTTATGCCTTTTGAAATATCTTTTACAAAATATTTTCAATGATGCTAACTGCTTCCCATAATTGTTAAGTCCAACTTAGAGATAATTTCAGCTTAGGATCTTTGTGAAGCACCCCCCTGGGCATGAGATTGGGGGTGTCATAGTGAAGTGGTTCAAGCCCTGTATTCTGAAGAGTTGCGATTGATTCAAATCAATCACAAATTGAAATTAACCACAACTGTGTAATCAATCGCATCTCTTTATACGACAGGGCCCGGTTTCATGAAACTTGCTATCAATAACAAGTGATAATTATTATATAATTATGCTAATAAAATACTTGCATTTGATGGGCTTGTTGTTGATAACAAGTTTCATGAAACAGGGCCCAGACCTCAACTTTCTCTTTAACCCGATTCAGTAGTTCCAAAAGCCGGCTTTTCACCCTACTGTTTTCTAGTACAATCACATAATAAGAAAGGGCCCTTTGAAGTACAAAAATATTGTTGTACATGGTAATAGGCGCACCAGAAATGTTGAGATTGAGCTGTGCATTGAGGGAACATCAAGCGTGTACAATGCATTGTACGCTCACAGCGTTCATGCATGGTTACTCCTAAGCCCTGAAACTGCATTTGACACACCCAGGTATAATTTCATAGTGACCTTGTGTATGCATGATAGTTCAGAATGTTGAGGTCGTTTGTGGATGTTCCAATGTCTGCATATTTAGAAAGGGAAAAAAAGGGTTTATTTGAAAGAGAAAGAATTTCAGGATGTTTACACACATGGATGCGAATGTATGGTACCAACTCATCTTTGTGAAAATGAGGTACTTTTTGTGAATGTATACTCCATAAGCCCCAAACAGGGTTATATTGATCGCCCTTTTTGTACCCGTTTTTGTGTGTGGAAAAACTGGGGTTGTATTCTGTGGGAAATGTTCTTGGAAAAATGCAAAATATTTAAGAGGTCATACTTTTTGTGTGGACAAAAAAATCTGTACCTGGTGTATACCCTCAATGCACCCCGGCTGTTATCCTCAGTGAAAACCACATTTCTGTACTACATGCACATTTGATTGTGCACTAAAAGGCCCTTTAGCCCAGTTCAGACTTGGAAAGATAAACGGTACCACAAAAAAAAGGGGAAAAAAGCCATGCCAAACTTTGTGGGTTCATAAATAATAGCGAGTGACAATTATCCAGAGAGGTGGACAATTTTTTTTTGTAACAAGGGTCCCTTACGGCTACCTCCTCGCCGTTCTCTGTATCATACTATGGAGAAAAAAAAGAGAAACGTATTTCTTCCCTTATTTTGGCATGGCAGTTTTTTTTCCTTCTATTTGCGCGGCTAATTACCTCAATGGGCCTCAATGAATACAATAAAAGTTCTCCACTATTAATGCTTTGCAAAGTTACAAACATATACATAAGAGTTATACATATTAGCTGCAAGTTAGTCAATCTAAGTACTGCATTCCCCACCTCCTAATGATCTTAACATGAAAAAACAAACAAAATGGCAACTACATTTGAATACATGATAAACAAATAGAAAATATGTTATACATTACATCAAAATATATATATATATATATATATATATATGGTGGCACAGTCCTCTTTAAAAGAGATTGAAACAATAACAAATTATTTGCATATAATTAAAATTATTCTATATGACTAAGAACAAAAATTCAAAAGAAAATGTGATGTTTTGTTAAAGTGGGATCTAGATGAACAATTGGCCCATTAAATGCGATAATTACTATCGTAAAATGTCAATTATCTGGTAATTTTCATCTATCAACCACAAAACAAAATGTTGATCGAGTTGTGTAAATTGTTGAAACTTATTCCTTACATAGCTTTAGCATAAGCTGTAGAAATATAAGCCAACAAAGTGCTTATGTTTGGTCATTGTAACACCATAGTTTCTATTCCTCCTAGATTAAACATCAGTACTGAAATGTTAAAGGCAACTAGTATGAGCCGCGTTCCATTTAAATTCACAGAGATTAAAAATATATTGTGTGCTAAGAGCCTGAAAGGCTATACATGGGTCGAGTGGATAAGTTACCTGACTGCAGGTCACAAGGTACGGGGTTCAAGTCCTGCCACGGCACTAATGTCCTTTGGCAAGGCGTTAATCTACATTTGCCACTCTCCACCCAGGTATTAAATGGGTACCCGGTACGATGCAAACGTTAATGTGGTTAGATGAGCAAGTGTGCGCTTATAAAAATGAGGATCATCCAGGATTTTGTTTCAGAATCTGAGGCAATGTTACCGAGTCACATTAAAGACTGTATAAGAATCAGTCTTGTCTATAGTGTAATAAATAAGAAAATTGTCTGCTGAGATCCATAAGGGGGACTAACCTGTATCACTATACATAAAGTTAATGTCCTTATAGCTTTAAACAGATGATATTCCCATCATTTAAAGACTGTATGAGACTTACTTTGGTCTTTTGCGATACATGAAGTAAACATCCTTAAAGCTCTAAACAGAGAATATTCTCATCATTTAAACACTGTATGAGACTTACTTTGGACTTTTGCGATACATGAAGTAAACATCCTTAAAGCTCTTAACAGATAATATTCTCATCATTTAAAGACTGTATGAGACTTACTTTGGACTTTTGCGATACATGAAGTCGACACCCTCATAGCTCTAAACGAATATTATCATCCTTTAAAGGTTGTATGTCCCATTTGCAGGCCAAAAAAATGAAATTTTTTAATTCCAACACGTTAGAAAGATAATATTTATTTAGAACGAAAGATCCCCTAAGTTAAAGTCTGATTTTCAAAGCTTTTTACTGAAAGGTCATACGTTTTGTGCTGCATAAAGATTCAATCAGTTTAATTTTGGCCATTACAAGTAGTGGGCTATTGATGTAGACAAAAGATCATGTACCTGGTTCAGCTCATTTTATTGATGTTATTACCAAAGAAAAAAGAATGTCAGTCAGTCACTCAATAGTGTCTGACAGTGAAGTCTAGAAGGTAAACGGGTTTCCTTGCATAATTTGAATACTAGCCAATGGTAATCTTTAAATTTCACGGATAAGACATACATGACATATTCATAATTCCTCAATAAGTTCTTCAGAATTTGATGTTGGCTGCAAAAGGGACATAGTATCTTTAAAGACTATACGTGACTTGCTTTGGTCCTTTGCGATGGAGTTAACACCCTTATAGCTCTAAACAGATGATATACTCATCAGTCAAATGAGAATCATTTTGGTCTTTTGTATAAGAAATAAGATAGTCGTATGCTGGGATCCAGAAGGATATCACTGTACATGAGTTTAATGCCCTTACAGCTGTAAACATATGATATGCTCATCAGTTATAGACTGAATGAGAATCATATTAATCTTTTGTGTCATAAATAAGAAAATTTTCTGTTCAGAGCCAGTAGGGGTTAACTTGTACCACTATTTATGAGCTCAATGACCTTATAGCTCTGAAGGGAAGCTACATTGAGACACTGGAGCTGATCTTTGGCTTTTTGCAAGAATATGTAGAAAAAAATGCATTAACAAATACTTTGGATCAACACAAAACAGTTAATGATATGCAGACATTGGTCCATATTCTCAGAAGCTACATAGCATGAAGATTAGATTCTTTGATTAAGTTTTACCTGATTCAACAAATGTATTTTGGTAATGAGCATGCATCAGTCCATTCTACAAAGCTGTGAGTCTGGGGGGTGTTTCACAAAGATCCCAAGTCAAACTTAACTCTAGGTTTAAAATAAAATATATTCAAAAGCGAATATTCAAGTATTTTAGACTTTTTATAAATTCCACATCAAGAACATGAAATCTCCTTGATAATAGGAAATATAAATGATTTGAATCAACATTTTATGCCTTTTAAAATAACTTATACAAAATATTTTCAAAGATGCTAACGGCTTTCCAAAATTTTTAAGTCCAACTTAGAGATAAGTTCAACTAAGGATCTTTGTGAAACACCCCCCAGGTGATTGCGGAGGTGTGCCACATGCCGTCGCTCTGTTCGTCGGTGACTGTTCATGGGGTCTCCTAGCATGATGTGTTAAAGCACACACGATTAACGTAACCTGTCACGATCCAGGAATCTATGCTGAACAAACACTTCCCCTTAGTGTGCATCAACTCTATGTCGTTGACTCGTTATCGCTACGGAAACTTGCCTGACGCTGTCGCATGGCCAAGGTGAGGCACTGTACCCATTGCTCAGCGTTGGTTCCGTCCCGCGTCTTGAAGACGTACGTCTTCTGGTCCTCTGTGAAGATCTCAAAGGCCTTTGGAATGCTGCGGTCACGCCGACGCAACGTCTTGACGCTCTGCACCTTGCTTAGTTCAATGGGTAGGGTCCCTGTCATCTGCTGCAATGTTAACATTGAAGATGAGAGTTTCATTCTAGTGTTATAGTATAGAGATATCGACTACTTTGAGAGGCCTGGACCCAGGCGCGCCTCGGGTTCATGGCAGGATGTGCACGTTCCCTTGAGCCTATAAAACAGCCAGACCTCGAATATTAAAGCGGTGGATATGTCTTTTATTATGCTGAATTGAAACAAAAATCTACCAAGAATTATTACCTTATCCTTTTATTGAGTAAAGATTGGTTAAAACATCACGGAAAATCTGAGACACTGTCTGTTAATCTTCGCTGGAAAAATTACTGAAAGTTTCAATCATTTGGGAATCGCAGGCAAAAAGCACTGTATGGTGTCCGCTCTTACTCAAAGACAATTTTAACACGTAAACCAACGGGGATCGCAGCATGAGGGCAATTTTCAAAACACTATTGACAGGTAGCCAGGCATGGCTAAAATTAGGATTCCCATTTCGACCAATCAGATGGCTAGATTTCTAAAGAGGGGTATATAATAATTATTATATCCCTCACAGAAAATTTCTATTATATACATGAGAAAAGAGCATTTCACATGATCAATCAAATTTCTACTAGAAGGGCAGATATCGCAGAAGCCTTCGGAATGCTGTTGTCAAGTCGATGCAAGGTCTTGACACTCTGGACCTTGATTTAATAGCTCAAGGAATTTAGGGTGCTTGCATCTCCTGTAATGTTAACACTTATATTATCATTATACGTACTAGGGCAATAGTAATTACTTTATCCCTCATAAGAAACGTCATGTATGAGCATAATTCAAGAACTTTCGATGCGATCAATCAAACTTCTTTTAGAAGAGCAAATCTAGGCCTTTAATACTGCGCAATACTGCGAGAGGCGTGATAGCTCAGTCGGTAGAGCAGTGGTCTCGTTATCCGGTGATCCAGGTTCAAAACCAAGTCGATGTGCTAGTGCCCTTTGGTAAGGCATTAAGAGGACCTTAAGCCATCGGTCTTCTTGTTGCTTACTAACAAGCATTTATTGCTTTCTTAGCTGTCAGGTAAAATAACCACCACTATCAATCACAATGTACTTGCTCCTGCAACTATTGCTATGGTCTACAGTGTATAACCTGCACTTACCCAATTCCTTACTTCACCTCAAACCATAACCCTACATCAAAATTAAAAAATAAACCCATTGCAACCCTACCACTATATCTTTGATGGAATAAAGCCCCAAGCAACTGTAGCAGAAGTAAAAGTCATAGTAGAAGTAGTAGAAGTAGTAGTAGTAGTAGTAGTAGTATTTCACACTCCTTCTCACCGATTTGTTTTTGCTGTAGAGTAGTCTCTCTCCAGCCAGGGTGAAGTAGCGTGTTTTCCATCTCCTGAAGAGTTTCCAGCGGACTTTCTTCTCCTTCAGCTGACCTTCGATGAGGGGTTGATCCCCTGCAATCAAATCTGAAATATATCATAGGAATTATAATAACATTAAAGATACTATTTACCTTTTACAGCCAACATCAAATGTTGTAGAACTTTGCAGGAATTATGAATATGTCATGTACCGGTATGTCCTATTTTTGAAATTTAAACATTAACAGTGTCCTAGTATTCACATTTTGCAAGGAAACCTGTTTACCTTCTTACGACACTATTGAGTGACTGACGGACATCTTTTTTTCTTTGGTAATAACATACATGAAATGAGCTGTAACAGGTACATGCGCATTTGTCTACATTAATAACCCACTATTTGTAATGGCCGAAATTAAACTGATTGAATCTTTGTGCAGCACAAAACGAAGGACCATTCCGTAAAAGGGTCTGAAAATTATACTATTACTAAGGTGATTGCAATCACTCAAGTCGATTTGACAACTAATTGTCCTTATTTTCTCACTAAGAGCCATTTTCAAGCTCTTTCGTTTTGAGGGAAGTTCTAAATTAGTATTGTCTTTCAAATGCCGTTGGAATTTAACCTTTTCATTTTGGGGACATAGTACCTTTAATAAAAATAATAATGATTATTAAAAAAAACAATAATAATAATAACAATAACAATAATACTAACAACCATAATAATAATAATTGCACTAGTAATGACATTAACGATAACAATACTACTACTACTACTACTACTAATTATAATGATGATGTATTGGATAGTTTCATAGCGCTAATATCCACAGTGCAAGGTGCAACTGCATTCAGGTACTACCCCAGTTCTCGCAGGGCTAGTGATTTTGGTGCTCACAGTATTCACAGCATTTCTTAACACAAAGAACCCAATTAACACCTGGGTGGACAGTAGCACAGGTAATGTCTCGCAAACGGACATTAGTACTGTGCCGAGGCTCAAACCCATGACCTTCCCATCTCCAGTTAAAAGTTATTACTCACACTACTACAACACCTCTTCATTTAAAGAGAGTATTTTGTGAGTTTCAAGGTGCAATGCGTCACAATTTTCTCACACAATCTTGCCTGTATGAAAAAATCTCTTGGGCTATTATACCATTTACGATTACATGGAATACTGCTTAGTGGAGATAATTGTTCAGTTTGGTTCAGGAGAAAAATTTGGATTTTTAGCAACTTCAGAGCACAATTCATACACAAATATGCCACATTAATTCTCACTCTAAAAGAGTACTGGAACCTGTGACAGTATATTTATTTATAAACAAGACACCCGTAAAAACAGAAGGCTAGTTCTACAAAGTACAGAACATGTATGTAAGGATTAAGAGGTCTAGACCTGGGCCCCATTTCACAAAACTTGCAATCAGTGACAAATGACAATTTTTGTTATATGAAATCCTTGCTTCTGATTGGTTATCAGCATATTTTTCACTGATTTTTGTCATTTGTCATTGAAAAAAGGCTTTGTGAAACAGGTCCCAGGACTCTGCAGGAGTCACCAAAGACATAGTTTGTGCTTGAGTCCAAGGCACCGCATTGTGACGCTAAGTCTAAGGCCAAGGACAGGAGCATTTGGATGCAAACTGCTATACGAGTCCTGAATATTATTATCAAGGCCAGCCATGATTCCTTCAACACTGAACTTTAACGGGTTGAACACAGTTTCAAGTCTTTTCAAATTTACTTCATACAAATCAACAATGAAAAAAGAAAAGTAAAATTACAGGCAGAAAAAACATCAAGTGAAATTGTGCTCTGTAGGATTTTTTTTAAATGTCAAAAATCCAGAGCAAAACTGAGTTCTCCTCACAGTGTGTGTGCCAAACAGACAAAAACATTCTAGGAAGGCAAATATTCTTTTAACAAAAGTGTGCTTGCTGAACAAAAAGAGTTATCAATGAGTGACAATAGTTTAAAAAAACCCCAATTCTAACACAACAAACGATATTTAGTCCACTTGAAACTTCCCAATAGGTTAAAATTTACACACAGTTGAACCACGACATAGGACCGAAAATAGTTTCATAGTACCTTCAGCATTTATTCCAAATGGCATTGAATCAGGTGCCCCAAGCTTCACCATTTTGTCTGCATCCATAAGAAGTAAAACATAGTCCCTTATGAATAGTTCTATAGAGATATACCTTTACAGGGTATACTTTTTTTAAAGGCATCATAAGGAATAGAGGTGTTGAAACAATAAGCAAATAATTACTGATGACCCTGGCCATGGGACACACTACTGGTTTTAATCGCCGAGGTGATCTTTGGGCCAATAATGAGGGGTCAGTGACACAAAGACTCCATTTTGACAAAAAGTGGTTTATGTGTCACTGAGTTAAGTCTTTTTGTTTCCTGGAAAGCCCACACTTTTCTGAACAGTTTGATATCAAATACTCATTTTGGCAAAATATGGAGTTACGTCTTTGTGTCACTGAACCCTCAATACCTTGCCTCACCTACCAGCTAGGGAAGATTGTATAGCACCTGAGATGGCTATTTGTTGACAGTTGTCCACCCGCCAGATACGATTATTTGCTTTGCATCCCACATCAACAACACCTCTAGGTCTAGAGCCGACGTTAGGCCATTAAAAAAATTATACATGTTTGGCGTCCCCGCCCGCTTTCTTTTTTTTTTTTTTTTTTTTTAATTTTAAATTTTTTTTTTTTTTAAAAGAAAAAAAAACATGAAAAACACTGCTAAAATGCATCTATTTCTGATTAGAAATAAATGTTAATAAATGCCGGCGACGATCTTGAAAAAAAAGCCTGACTGTCAGTGAAAATTTACCGAGTGGCCATTTTGAAGAAAAAAAAGGGGCCTCCTCCTTCCTATTTTTGAAAAAAGTAGGACGCTAAACATGTTTTTTTTTTTTGGCCTTAGGTTGACTGCACTGCACTGCCCACTAGACATCTTCGTTGCACATACAAGCTTCGCATTGACCTATGTCACTAGTCTACGCATATCTAACATTGATATTTTACAAAAACCATGACCAATCATCTTATAGTGTCTATGTCTGTGCAGCTGTCTTCTCCCTCTTTAAAAAAAAATCTGTGGATATTCAGGGTCATTTGAACCATGTGCTAATTATGAACTGGTCTATAATTGTCCTAAGAGAGTAGGCCAGGGGGGGGGGGGATAGGGTAACTGTTTTGCAGTGGTAGTCTATGAAACAGCCAAGTCAAATCCCTTCACTCATCTTCCCACAAATCAATGTGATTAAACAACTATTTAACTCACCCATTTTATTTGGATTGCTGCAGAGAAAACACGTCCAGTTACATGTCTTGGTATTATAGGTGAACATATCATAGTAGCTGGCTCGACACAGCTGCCTTATCAAACCTTGTTGTACCTGTGACGAATAAGAAATGAATTTCACTGATAACAAATTAAACATAAATATGTGTGAGCGGATAATTCTGGTTTTGCAGTTTTAAACATTCAGTCAGGCTCTTTCACAATCATGAAAGATAAAGTTGAGTTTTGGTCATGCGATTGCATTGTGAAAGAAAAGGTGTGGAATGGATCAAAAAAAGTTGATCATGTAGCATGTAAGTATTGGTGTGTACTGCAAGGTTCTGGGAGTCATCACAATCATGACAAATTTGGCCCAGTCTTGGTAAAGTAACAAGCACTGTACACAGAAAGCTATATATGGGACAACACATATGGTGTCAGTCCTACTTATCTTGATTTATCTTTCTATGCTCATTACTCAGCCAGTATACATTTTCTTCCAAAATTGTTTGGCACATGACATTTATTTGTAATCTTGAACATTCAGTGTGAGTTTTGTTTGATTCTGTGAGAATTAATTTTCTTCTTTTACCAGAACTCACGTTTATCTTTAACAACCAAGATCTTACCGGCAGCATTGTTCATCATAAGGTGGGTAACTTTATTAGCATAAATACATGTATAGCAAGGCTTGCACTCATGTTTGACTATTCAATTTCAATCGCTAAGAGCAGAAAGAACAAAATTGCCACATAAACTGTGCCTACCCCCCCCCCCCCCCCCCCCCATTTCCACTTGGCATTGATTTAAAGAAATTATCACTTGAAAATTAGCATTAAAATCCTTACATTGGTGACATATTGAAAATGTCAAAATGTCATAATAATGTCATAATAATAATGACGGTCCATACAAATTTGCAATTCTAAAGGCCCACTGCACTACTTATAGCTACTTGCACCCTCTATACAGCCAACAATGGCTTAGCGGTACCCGTTGATCCCCCATGATGCCATTTTTCTTATGTTAATTGAGAGCTGATTGGAGGAGATAACCACCTGCCAATCTCTCCATGCCAAACTAGTGCAGAGGTAGTTTTTGGCAGCGTACATATGTTTCAAACATAAGACTTTTATCTGACAAACGTAGCAAAAGCATTTCCAATTCGAGGAAGAAAAGCATTCGGTGTTGCGTCCCCCTCCTCAAAATATTTAAAGACCGTCAATACTACTGGGCCAGAAGGGATTAGACCACACAGCGAGGTCACTGACAGGTGGCTATCTCATTAACTCAGCTCTCAACTAACATAAGAAAAAGAGGATCATGGGGGACCAACAGGCACCGATTGGGGAAGTTTTCTATATAGAGGGAGCAAGTTGCTACAAGTAGGATAGTGGGGCTTTAAAGCCTGTCCTGCGAGTGTGTGAACATATTTCCCACCTTTGCTTGTGGGAAGTTTTGGGTGATGAGTTTGAGGAAGGTCATGTTGCCACCGACGGTCTTCTGCTTCTCCCAGCTCTTCTTGAGGCTCTGCACTGCATTATCGTCCAGCGATACTGGGGTGGGAGAGGAAGCCTGCAAAGACACAAAGAAATGGTTACAAGGTTACGACATATCTGGGGGGTGTTTCACAAAGACTAATATTATAATAATATTTCAGTTCTTGTATGGCGCACAATACGTCATGAAATAACATCTCTATGCACTTCCAAAGAGCTTTGGAAATTATTACCCTAGCTTTAGCTCCGGCAGCCTTATCAGCGCACAGTGCATTTCAAGGAATAATCCTACCAGGTACCCATTTACCTCACCTGGGTTGAGTGTGGCAATTGTTGATCAATGTCTTGCCAAAGGACATTAGTGCAGCGGCGCGACTCGAACCGCGGACCTTGTGATCGACAGTCCGGTGGGGCATGGCAAGAAGTTGCAATCAATTGCAAATCCCCCAAATCAAGCGGAAGTCTTGCGATTAATTGCAAATTTGCAATTGATCAAAACTCAACTTTCTTGCAACGCCCCTTAGTAAGAGAGAGAGAGAGCAAGGGGGATATAAAAGCTAGATCTAGTTAACTTAATTTAATTGTAAAAACTTTAATCCTAACAAAATCCTAGGAAATCTAGGGGGTGTTGCAAGAAAGTTGAGTTGAAAATTTTGCCACTTGCAACCAATCGCAACTTTCTTGCAATGACCCATATGACCAACTTTAAGTTGGACTTAACTATGGCAGGCCATTCATGCCACTAGTTGCTATCACCACTGATCTCTCAATTATGATCTTTAGATAACCTTTTTTCCTTCAACAATGAACTATCAAAACAGGTAAATTCTGTAGATTTGTTAAGACTTGTACATCCCTTGAGAGACCAATGCCAGTAAATGGTGAGAGCAAACAGTGGCATGAACGACCTGCCATAGTTAAGTCCAACTTAAAGTCGATCTTAGTCTTTGTGAAACACTCCCCAGTTCACAATTTCCGAAGGCCTATTTGTAATCAACTCTATTTATGAACAGCGCAATGCAACATATACAGACTTCAATTTTCTAAAAGAATTTTCCCCCCTCTTTTTGTTCATGTAATGTGTGTAGATCATACCATCCTGGTTTAAAAGATGATACAAGAAATTTCACGGAGACAAGTTGAAGGGGGAACTGCTACAGGTTAAAGTTTCATCAATTCATCCTGCTGTTGGACTGTTAAAAGATAAAGGTGAGTTCTGGTAATGCGATTGCATTGTGAAAGAAACGGTGTGGAATGGATCATAAAAAGTTGATGATGTAGAATGTAAGTATTGGTGTGTACTGCAAGGTTCTGGAGTCATCAAGATCACAATAAATTTGGTCAAGTCTTGGTAAAGTTACAAACACTGTATACAGAAAGGTGTATATGGGACTACATGAACAGGTGGCGTAAAAATCCTACCCGGATTTTTACGATGTTACATGACATATTTAGAATATGAAGGCATTTGAAGAGCCATGCTTTTCAGGGAACATGTCTTATCTGATGTTCTTCCACACTTGCATAATAGGAATGATAACGCTCACAAATTATTTTTCACCTCTTCCCAGAACTCAACCTTCTCTTTAAGGAGGACAACCAACAACAAAAACATTTCAGGGTTTAAACTGTGCATATTCTTACTTGGAGATGTAAATATTTGAGATGTATCCATGGCAACATTTGTTTGGTTTCCATGGAGAATGGCAGGGTGCTGTAGAGGCAATGAGGTTCCTTTAACGAGCAAAAGAAGTCCAGCCTCCCTACCGGTCTGTTCCTTATGTCCTCTGGAAAGGAAAGGAGAAGAAATATTGAAAAACATAAACATATGAAATTAAATGGAGTAATTGGAGTATGCAAAGATGGTAAAATGTAGACCATGGGGGTGTTTCACAAAGATCGTAAGTTGAACTTATCTCGAAGTTGGACTTACAAGTTATGGAAAGCCGTTAGCATCTATGTTAATATTTTGTAAAAGCTAATCTAAAAGGCATAAAATGTTGATTCAAATCATTTATATTTCTATTATTAAGGAGATTTCATGTTCATGATGTGGAATTTATAAAAAGTCTAATAAACTTGAATTTTCGCTTTTGAAGATATTTTATATTAAGGCTACAAATGGCTCTCCATAACTTTTAAGTCCAACTTAGAGTTAAGTTCGACTTGGGATCTTTGTGAAACACCCTCCTGGCATCATCAACTAAATGACCTTGTGTCTTACTATATGTAGTTAGAAATAAAAAAAAAAAATTGTTTGCAAGTAATACTCTTCCTGTCTTTTATTGTAGTTGTTGTTGAACTGAGGGTTACAAGTGTGTTGCAGCTCTCCTGTATTAAATTTATGTTAAATATGCATAATTTCTTACATACAAATTGTACCGTTGGCATTTTAATGTGCACGAATTTGCATGCTTGAAAGGCGATTCAGAAACCAACAAATCAAAATTGAATCAAACAAATCTTCAGGGGGGTGTTTCACAAAGATTCTTAGTCAAACTTAACTCTAAGTTGGACTTAAATATTATGGAGTGCCATTTGTAGCCTTATAATAAAATATATTCAAAAACAAAGATTCAAGAATTTTAGAATGTTCATAAATTCCACATCAAGATCATGAAATCTCTGATGATAATAGAAAATATGAATGATTTGAATCAACATTTTATGCCTTTTGAAATAACTTTTACAAAACATTTTCAAGGACGCTAATGGCCTTCCATAATTGTTAAGTCCAACTTAGAGTTTTAAGTTCAACTTAGGATCTTCGTGAAACACCCCCCTGGTTCTATATCGTTCGCACAGAGCCATGATTTGTGAACTACATTGGCACACCTGACTTGTCATGCTTAGATCACAAGCCAACGTCAGTATGCTTTTTCGAATCATAGACCAGTTTACTAACATATTCAAATTTACAGATGTTTATTTCCTGGTATGGGGACCTCGTGACGGGTTATTCCATTAACCTGGTATTTATGAATGAACTACAATACTCGGAATCCAGTCTTCATATATATATATATATATATATTGTTGCTATGTCAGGCAAGCATTAAGCAAGCCTTGGGCAGGCTGTCAGGTTGTCAGGAACAACATTTGTTTAAAAAGATGCATAACATTTGAATATGCTAGTAATACGATCTATTGCTTCCGGCTTTATTTTATCGAAGATATAGGATTCGGGTCAGTTACAGTGTTTTGGTCGGGCATGAAGTTAAAAATTTGTTTGACGCTGGAGCATGTGTCCTATAACCAATGTCTTGGTCCTGTATTGCATACTAATAATAATAATGTTTGGTTCTTGTATAGTGCATATCACATTATAACGCCTCTATGTGGTTCCAAAGAGCTTTGGAAATTATTACCCTGGTTTTAGTATGGCTGCCATTACAGCGCTCTAGCATTTCAAGGAGTTAATTCCTGCCAGGTACCCGTTTACCTCCCCTGGGTCAAAAACCTTACGGATGCTAACCAAAGTCCCAACTTCAGGTGTGGATCTAACAGTATACCTAATCCTGACTCTTGCCCTAAAGCTAAACCCTGAAGCCAATTGCATCCCTAACCGTAACCACATAACCCTGACGAAATAAAGCCCAGTGAATGCATGTACTGTATGTCGCGGAAGCAAATAATAATAATAATAATAATAATATACCGAACTTATATAGCGCATATCACAATATGTCTCTATGCGCTGTAAGAAAGAGTAAGAAGGAAAAGTGGATAGAGTAACATAAGAAGAGTGAAATATGCTCAACATACTTTCTCTCGTTAACATTGGAAAGTATTTTTGAAAAAAAATGTTTTAAGGGGCCCCAGTTGTCAACAGTATCATATATTTTTTTAGATTTTCCGGTAATTTATTCCGAAGTTTGGCCGATGCAACCTGAAAAGAACGAGACCCGTAGAATTTAGTATTAATTTGTGGAATAGTGAGGAGAGACTTTTGGGAAGATCTGAGGGTTCAGTTTGAAACATATTGGGTAAGTAATTCCGTTAAATAAGTAGGAGCTAACCCTCTGAGGCACTTAAAGGTTAAATCAAGTATCTTGAGCAAATGTCTGATAATGACTGACTGACTGACTGACCTTGCACTGTGCATTCCTCTGGGATGGGAATCCTATCTTTGATAGAATCCATGTAACTGATCATTTCTCTCTGCCTTTTGAACAGGTACTGCTGCAAGCTGCTATCTCGATTACTCCCGCCACTCGTCATTGAGAGTCTAACGCTCAACCGAGGACCGTCGTTGATCCCTGGAGAGTTCTGCGACGTTGGCGACTGCGTGGTCGTGCTCGAGGGTGAGACTCTGCCTTGTAGGGATGTCCTACGCGTAGGCGTGGAATTACCATTCGCTTCAGCGTGAGTTTGTGCCGAGGATGGCGGGGGAGACTTCGGTGAAGTTGCACTTTCGTTCTCGGGAGAAGTCGTTAATGAAACGTGAAGATTTAGGCTTCCTTTGCTGGCCCGGTGCTGCCTGTTGTTTATCTTGCGTTCGAATTCCGACTTCCTTGTAGGTGATGTCGTCGCAGTCTGTTTGCGCGGCCCTGACTTGAGCGCCGCCGTGTTGCCCGCACTCGATTGCACGCTCCCTTTGCTCTCGCTCCTCCCGGCCATCTCCAGGACACCCAGACTGTTTGAGTTGACACGCCCGACGCCGAGAGGCGTGGTGTGGTGGAGGTGCAAGGCTTGTTCTGAATATGCGTGCCCCGGATGCCGTAGGGGCTGCAAGGAACCCTGCATGTCGCTGCGTGTGTGAGGGCGCCCTTGGGCTTTGCGGTACAATTTCTTCCTCTCTTCGGACATTTGACTGATATTGGTGGCGCTGAATGGCCTGTTATCCTGGGATAGATGTCTTGGTTCAATCATACTCACTGGTCTGTGCAGCCCATGTTCGCTGTAAAGGAAAGAAAATTTGTAACAGCAAGTTTAAATAAACTGGCCTTTGCAAGAAACAACCAATATTAGTGTAAATATATGTGATCACTGTACACACATAAACCTCATTTGGCATAAAATTATTTTCATAGACAGATTTTGCAATTCATGTACACATACATTGCTCTGAGTAAGGAAGAAAATGTGGCATATCTTTTCATTTCTTAGGCACAATTAAAGGGATTGGGTAACTTTGTTTCTGATTCTGAAACAAAATCCTGGATTTAGCTCATGCTGCACTGATAATTATAAACCTTTAGGTCAGTCAGGAACCCCATGGCTTTTACAAGCCGATCACCTGTCTGATTATCAAGATATTTTTTATTTGAAATCGCAATCATATTTTGTGTTTTCCTGACAGTTTTCATAACACTAGTCTATTGGGAAAAATGAGTATGGTAAAACCGGTCACTCAAAGATTTGTACTTTTTTGAGGCACTTCACGATCATTTTGAAGCATAATTTTTTGAGGGCTTCAATATTTCACCATGTCACAGGCACTGATAACTCGTAGGGCCATGCATCTCAGATTTAACATTGTTTAATGATGAAATGAAATTTATGATACATACAGATGAAATGAAAAGGTTCAAGTACAGCATCATACACATTAAATGAAGTGAAAAAGAGTATCAAATGTTCTTTATGTTATTGTTATACAAATCCCTTAAATATGGATTCCCAGGATTTTATGAAGAACTCAAAATCCCTGACTTTTCAGACATTCCTCTGAATTCCCTGATTTATTCTCTCCCTTTTTTTTAATAATTTTTTTTTTTTAATTTTTTTTTTTACTGAAGTCTGCCTAATAGAATTATAAATGGCAATATTTTTAAAACTGAAATGCCACCATAGCCAATCATCCATACCTAGTTTGGGAAAGAGATAAAATATAAGAGACCATTTTAATACCAATCTTTTTTCTGAACCAATCAAATTTCCTGATTTTTCCCTCACTGGATAAGAGAAAACTCATGTTCAAGGTTTTTCACTGATTCCTAGGAGATCCGACATTTGCTGCTGCGACATGTGCTCTTGGCTTTATTTAATCAACTATATAAGGCTGCAAGAGGGTTTTAGTTTTAGTTGGAATGCTCCCAAGTAAAGTGGAGAATGTGCAAACGTAAAGTAAAGAGTCATAACTGAATTCGATGACTGGGGTAGAGTGCTTTGATTAACTGGAAAGGCACTATTTAAAGGATTGGGGCATCAGTTTCCATGTGCAGAAGGCCATAATTTGCTGCTACCACTCCTGGTGGAAGTTCCATTAATGTGTGTACAAGTCTGCACACAGCAAGACCCCCTAGTCTCTCTGAGAGTCTTCGAGTGAGGGAACAGTGAGAAAATGAATTTATCATATGGCGGAATGGATGGGAAGTGCAAAGCATTACATAATGCCTGTTGGTAATAATACTGAAGGGTAATCCTGGTGATTAACAACACCTTTTATTGTGTAAATGCAACTGAACAGTGTAGGATGCCCCATGAGACATCTCTCCTACGCATCTTTAAAGGTAATGCAAGTTTTGGGAAATTTTGAAAATTGGATGGAAAGTAATTCTTTACAATTTTGATATATCTGGATGCCCCTATGGATGTATAAGAAAATGTAGCCCCTAAACCACTTCTGCTTTCGAGAAATTGAATAATCAAAAATTTACCCGTGCTCCCAGTAAATTTCAAATAGCGCCTAAGGCAATTCCATAGTAGCTACGACCATGAAAATCTCAGAATATGTCGTTCTGATATATAATTTCAAAGGGGAATAGCAAATCGGCCGATTGTAGTCAAGAAACATTGTTTTAAAGCTTAAGTAATATCAGTCTTGAGAGGGCTTTATACAACATAAATAGTTTATTATTTACAATTTCATCACTCTAGACTCGATTTTTCAACGGCGACAACGATCATTGAATATTGTAAAAGTGCATATGCCTCCAATATGTTCATTTGAACCAAATTCATGACCCCATACCAAAACGTTGTATTACCTTTAAAGGGAAAGTCCACCCCCAAAATAAGTTTGTTTCGATAGAGGCAGAATAATAAGAAAATCAGGTGAGTGAAAGTTTGAGCAAATTCTGAATGAAAATAAGAAAGTTATGAATTATTGAAGTTGTGATCAATCAAATACAAATTGGCAACTCTGTGACTTATTATACAAGCTCTCCTTCATTTGCTTTGTGCATAATATTCCATAAAATCATGTTTTCTTCGTTATTGATGACGGAATATATATTTGTTCCTTGCAGGGGCAGTATAGAAACATATTTGCAATTACTATATTTAGGGTGCATGTATGGTTGAAATTTTTCTTGAGGGAAATTGAAAATTTTAGATTTTTTTAGTACTGAGCAAATGGAAGTTGAGCTCGCATGATACGTCATAGAGTTGCCAATTTGTGTTTGATTGATCACAACGTCAAAAATCCTACCTTCCTTATTTTTAATCGGAATTTGCTCAAACTTTCACTGACTTGTTTCTCTCATTTTTCTACTCCTATTAAAACTAACTTAATTTCAGGGTGGACTTCCCCTTTAAAGCCAGTTATTATCATTGTTATTATTACCTGCCCACCGTGTCCCTCTGCAGCTGTTGAACTATCATACGAGCCGCCGTGGAATTGCTCTGGCTCTGCATGCTGATCTGTCGTATGTACGGACCCAGGATCCCCTTGTGCCGGTCCCCTATGCTCTTGATCTCGATCAGGATGGCGGGTAATGCGGTCTGGTCCACGCAGGCAAGTTCCTGGACCAGGAAATCGATACAGTCCTCACCAGCCTCCTGCGAAAGGCATGAAAGAAGCAGGTACGATTAATAGACTGCTCAGACTATGGATGTTCGTACAGAAATTGTATAAAGAAACGGATAAGAAATTCTATTAAGAATTGTATAAAGAAACGTATAAAGAAACGTATCAAGAAACGTATAAAGAAAGGTATAAAGAAAGGTATATTAAAAGAAGCCCATAAAGAATCATTGTACAGCGAAAGGAGCGTACATGTACAGACCATAAATAATAATAATAATGTTATAACAACTTTTCGTTTAGAAGTCAGTTGACATGACAGCTGGTCATTCGTCAGTGCGCACTCATGCTGAGCCCACTAGTGTTCTTTGGCAAGACATTAATCTACATTTACCACTCTCCACCCAGGTGTTCGATGGTTACCGATAGGAAGGATTTCCTTGAATGCTTTGAGCACCGATACCGGCAGCCAAGATAGAGCCAGGGAAATATTGAAGCGCCCTGAGCACCTTGTTGGGTGAATTTCTTTAAAGCCTGTCTGCACTAGTTTGGCAAGGGGGATTAGACCTTCCTGCAAGGTCACTGACATCTGGTTATCTCATCAGATCAGCTCTCAATTAAGAAAAAGGGGATCATGGGGGACCAGCAGGCATCGATTAGGCATTGTTTGCTATATATAGGGCGCAAGTAGCTATAAGCAGCGAAGTGGGGCTTTAATATATTCATCATCATCATAATCATCATCATCATTACTATTTCTATTACTATTACTACTATTAATTCTATTACTATTACTAATACTATTACTCTTACTCTTACTCTTACTCTTACTCTTACTATTACTATCACTATTACTCTTACTCTTACTATTACTCTTACTCTTACTCTCACTCTTACTCTTACTAGTACTTTTACTATTACTCCTATTACTCCTCCTATTACTCCTACTATTACTCTTACTCTTACTATTACTATTACTCTTACTATTACTATTACTATTATTGTCAAGGGTAAACTTACAGGACTCAGCCTGCCCACAGCACCAAATATCTTGCCAGCCATGGAGAGCAGCCCTGGCTGTCTCCTGATCCCGGCCTGCAGCTTGGCAAGGCAGAGTGTGAACGGAACTGGGTCGATGGACTATTACTTAAACTCTTTTACTCTTACTATTACCATTAATCTTACTCTCTTACTATTACTCTTACTCTTACTATTACTATAACTCTTACTATTACTCTTACTATCACTCTTACTATTACTCTTACTAGTACTTTTACTATTACTCTTACTATTACTCTTACTCTTACTCTTACTCTTACTATTACTATTACTCTTATCATTGTCAAGGGTAAACTTACAGGACTAAGCCTGCCCACAGCACCAAATATCTTGCCAGCCATGGAGAGTAACCCGGGCTGTCTCCTGATCCCGGCCTGCAGTTGGGCGAGGCAGAGTGTGAACGGAGCTGGGTCGATGGATGCGATGTCGACCAGGGCTGAAAGCACTGTCTGGGAGGTCGTTGGGTTGTTCAGATTGGCCACCAGGACAGGGACATAGTCCTTCAGGATCTGGGCAAGGAGATACAATGGGTGGCTTAGTTTGAAAGCGAGTGGGTCATCAGTTTCCACGTGCAGAAGGCCATAATTCGCTGACACCAGACTTGGGGGAAATTTAATTACAAGTCTGCACACAGCAAACCCGTAGGTCCATCAAGAAATACCCTTTCGTCTCTCGGAGAGTTTTCGGGTGAGGGAACAGTGAGATAATGACTTTACCTTGTGGAGGAATCGATGAGGAAATACAAAGCATTACATAAGGCATTTTGGTCATAAAACTTGAGGCTAATCCCGGTGATTGACAATGCCTGTTATAGGGTAAACACCTGAACAGTGTGGAAGTTCCCAAGAGAGCCCACTACTATGCGTCTTTAAGAGTAGATATTACACCTACATGTTCTCTGTGTATGTGTGTATCTCTTTCTCTGTCTTTCTCTTTGTCTCTCCTTCTCTCTTTGTCCCCTCTCTCTCTCTCTCTCTCTCTCTCTCTCACCTGTGCCATTATTTCAAACAATATATATTTCTCCATCTGTTTCTGTATACATGTCTCCCCCCTTCTGTCTCTCCCTACCCCTCTCTTTTCTTTTTTCTTTCTCTCTTTCTCAATGAATCTTTCTTTTTTTTTCATCTCATTAAATTATTCAATGCATTAAACTCTAACAAGGTATGAAACTAACTGCTCTCATCACATGATTGAAAATGGGAAATCTGGGGGGTGTTTCAAAAAGATACTAAGTCGAACTTAACTCTAAGTTGGACTTAAAAATTATGGAGAGCCATTTGTAGCCTTAAAATCAAATATAAAATTCACAAATTTTAGACTTTTTATAAATTCCACATCGAGAAAGTGAAATCTCCCTGATAATAGAAAATATGAATGATTTGATTCAACATTTTATGCCTTTCAAAAAAACTTCTACTAAAAATGTTCATAGATGCTAACGGCTTTCCATAAATGTTAAGTCCGACTTTATTAGAGATAAGTTCAACTTAGCATATTTGTGAAACACCAACCCACAACACAATTGAAATTCAATTGGACTAACTTTAGGTTTCCTTTTAGCCATGAGTGCCATGAGTTGGAGGATGTTGGACTTCTCGTTCTCATCACAGTCTGGTAGAATGGAGACCAGGTCTGGAAGACAGTCCTCAATGGGGCCAGGATCTTCAGTGTAGATCTGCGGCAGGATACGGGTTAGGGATCTGTTGCCTGAGAATCGTAGAGGAAAAAATTGACCAACTTCTTTGCAATAACAACATATGCATTTACATCCATCACAAATATTTAAAGAGATATATTAAAAGGATAGGTGAAATTGGAAAGTCCGTTGAATTTGGTCATTGGTATCTTGTTCTTTATCAGGAAACTGATTAGATAAACACTCTTTAAATTTCTTCACACATTTATGAAAATCAAGAAGATTATTTTATTTCTGTTTTTATATATTTATATATATACATTATCGACACAAACATGGAGGTCGAGAAGACGTTTTTTCCATATTTTTCATCAGACCAATAACACTGAAAATATCTGTTCACGTAAATGTTAAAAAGATAAAAGTCTATTAAAGTGAATCGTATCACAAAAAACAATGGGTGTACTCAATTAGGGAATATCCAGGAGCAAAGTCAGTCTGTGGAACTCTTTTTTTTTGGGGGGGGGGGGGCTTTCCTAACAAGCAACATTTAGAATTAACGTTTTACAGTTCCAAATAGTAACATACGCTGATCGTTACAGGAGGAAAACAGAGACATCCTTTGCTGTATTCGTTCAAAATACATGTACATAGTATAAGCAGATGCAGACTCTCTATATTAAACCTCGCATTATTAATATGCCCTACATGAGTATATTACATGAGTAGAGCAGGGAAAAAAATACTTTACAAATTTTGGGGGCTACTTTCAAGCTTGCTTGCATAAAAAAACACTCTTTATTTTGTTTTGCATTGAACTCTATGCAATTTTGGGGGACTGTTTTATGACTTTCTGGGGCTCTTTTTAGCATTTCGGGGGGCTACTTCACCCTGAGCCCCGTGTATTTTTTCCCCTGGTGTAGAGATCTACCTTGAGTGATGCTCTGTATGATAGCTCTGCAGTGCTCTGCAAGCAGATGTGCATTCTCTATAGCAGCCAGGGCAAGATAACTAGACACGTTCCTAATCAGATCTCGATTCCCGTGACGCAGGAAGCGTATCGCCACCGGAAGAGCCAGCTCCATCACGCTCCGCTTGCCGTAGTTTTGCTGAAATCCAAAGGAATTGAGAATATTTGATCGTTTCAGGGGAAAAAAATACTTAACAAATTTTGGGGGGCTACTTTTCAAGCTTGCTTGCATCATTGCATGAAAATAACACTCCTTGATTTGTTTTGCATTGAACTCTATGCAAATTTTTGGGGCTCTTTTATGACTTTCGGGGGCTCTTTTGGGCATTTTGGGGGCTAATTCGCCCCGAGCCCCCGGGTAGCTCACTGTCTGTGTGTGAACGAAGGCTTACCATAAACAAGCAGCTCATGATGTCCGAGGCGATCTTGGCATGGGGTGGATCCTCATCTCTCGTGGTAAGCTTGAGATTGTGATGAAGACAAGACTGCCAGAGAGACACCAGGGCTTCCACATGCTCTTCAATGGAACCAGTATCCCTGTCAAAATAACATGAAAATAGAACAATAACAATAACAACAACATCAATCAGGGACAAAATTAATCAAAACATTTTGGGGGCTACTTTTCAAGCTTGCTTGCATGAAAATAACACTCTTTAATTTGTTTTGCATTGAACTCTATGCAAATTTTGGGGCCCTCTTTTTTACTTTTGGTGGCTAATTCGCCCCGAGCCTCTGTGTATTTTTTTCCCTGACAACAATGATCATGATGTTAGTGATTGTGATTATGATAACGATGATAAGGTGATTATAATGATGTTAATGATGTTAATGATGATGGTGGTGATGATGATGATGATGATGTTGAGATGATGATGATGGTGATTGTGATGATGATGATAAGGTGATCGTAATGATGTTAATGATGATGGTGAGGGTGATGATGATGGTGGTGATGATGGTGATGATGATGATTATGATGATGATGAAGATGACGGTGGTGATGATGATGATGATGATGATGATGATTATGATGATGATGATGATTATGATGATGATGAAGATGATGTTGATGGTGGTGATGATGATGGTGGTGATGATCATGATGATGATGGTGGTGATGGTGATGATGATGATGATGATGATGATGGTGAAGATGATGTTGATGGTGGTGATGATGATGATGATGATGATGTTAATGATGATGTGGTGATGATGGTGATGATGATGAAGATGATGTTGATGGTGATGATGATGGTGGTGGTGGTGGTGATGATGATGATGATGATGATTATGATGATGATGATGATTATGATGATGATGATGATGATTATGATGATGATGATGATGGTGATGATGATGAACATGATATTAATGGTGATGGTGATGATAACAGTGAAGATGATAATGATTATGTGATGATGATATTAATGAATGATGATGGTGATGATGGTGATGATGATGAAGATTTTAATGATAATGATGATATTGATAATGATGGTGTAGGTGATGATGATGTTGATGATATTAATGATGATGGTGATGATGATGAAGATATTGGTTGCAAAGATGATTAGGATGGTGATGACAGTAATGATGATGATGATGAAGAAGCAATACATTTGGCTGAAGAACAGGGCCAGTATTCAATTTAATACTTTAATTCAATTTTAGCAGGTAACTTTGCTAGTAATTCATTATTAGTGTAGCTTTTCAAGTGAAATGGCGTAAATCTCATTCCGATTATATTTAACTTTAGTAAGCCACCTTTAAGTCCAAATTCTGCTTAAGTCTGCAAGGGAGCTGTCAGTTTACATACTGTATACAATACTTGGCTGAAAGCTTAAATTAAAGGGATAGTTGAGTTCTGTTTTCAGTCCAGAAATGCCATCAAAGTGCATGGTTATTGCTCTTATTCTTATCTATGACAATTCTAGTGCCCTTTTAGAAGCTAAAATTGCTATGAAGGTAGTTTTAGACCCCCAAATGTGTGAAATTTATCCAATACGATCATACCAATTCAGCTCCTTTTTCAAAAAAAATATGGTGACCGTTAATTAGTTATTTAATTAAAAATAACAATACATGGGCCGGCTGGTTTGTGCGTAATATACCCAACACAAAAATGCCACCAAAAAAGCCGACATCGGCATTGGCTGAAATACGACGTAGAAGGAGCTATTTCGTTTTTTTTCAACGGCTCTTTCAAATTATCTAATATTTGTGGTGGTACACAAGTATTAGAAATCATATATTTATGGATATTTCAGCCATCTCTGAACCGATTTTGATCAAACAAAGATGATTTTGTCATTGTTCTTTCAAATTTGACACTCAGTTTTTCATTATCTCACAAAAAAATTATTTTGTGTAGCGCCCTCTGCAACAAAACTCAACTATCCCTTTAAGTGCCACCCAAGTCCCAAGGTCAATTGAATAATGACAGTCTGGCACAGGTCACCTCACCCCCAAGCCCTCCAAGTAGCCTGCGTAATGATGCAGTTTTCTTGTTTTCATCGATTTAGGTTTTGTTCACAATATAAAAACAGCCCCTTGAGAGGAATATATGTATAGGCCTACAGTTAAACAACTAAATTATTCATACCATTACCAAGTTGAAGTTTTGTCATTTTTAAAGAAGGTAAACAATTGATTTATACCGATTAGTGTTTCTTCAGAATTTTAAAGATAAAGACCAGTTATGGTCATGCGATTGCATTGTGAAAGAAAAGTTGTGGAATCGATCAGAAAAGGTTGATCATCTAGCATATAAGTATTGGTGTGTACTGCAAGGTTCTGGAATCAGGGCAATTCCACGGTAACGGAAGGACACTCAGACAAGATTTTTGAACTTCAGGTTCATACTAAAAGAACTGTTTTATTAGTATAAGATGTGAAACAGTACAGATATAATACCTATATAAGTGCCTTTAATTCTCCCCCAAAAAATTGTCATTATAGTTAAGTAGTTTAAGAATGTGCATATTAATTATCTCGGTAACGGAAGGACATAAAAATGGACATGGTTTTTCCAGTTAATTAGTGTTTATCCAAACTTTGTGAAGTTGATGAAGCTTTCCACTTGACTGAAACACATTTTGTTCCCCATAGTTTAATACATACTAATAAAACATTTCTTTTAGTATGAACCTGAAGTTCAAAAATCTTGTCTGAGTGTCCTTCCGTTACCGTGGAATTGCCCATCATCAAAATGATAAGAAATTTGGCCCAGTCTTGGTAAAGTTACAAGCACTGTACACAGAAAGATGTGTATGGGACTACGCGACACGCGCACAATATCTATCAGGTCCAAATAAGATATAATATTTTACCAAATATATCAATTAGTAGGCGGTTTCTCGGCAAAATTTGTATCATCACATATTAGTCAAAACATATTTGTTCACATGATTGGTAATAAGAGCTTACATTTCATTTTTTGAGAGGGGGGCGTTTAAAGCTTATTGTATACTAAAAGTATTCAACAAAGATCCTAATTCAACCAGTCCATATTGCATTCTTGAGTTATGAATATCACATGCACACACACAAAATTCAAATTTACAAGGAGTATGAATAATTCAGTTGTTAACTGTATATTAGATGATGGCATCACGATGGTATGTATTAAAGGTACTATGTCCCATTTGCAGGCCAAACAAATGAAAAAGTTAAATTCCAACTGCATTTGAAAGATAATACTAATTTAGAACTTCCCTCAAAAAGATGGGGCTTGAAAATGTCTTCAAGTGGGAAAATAATGACTATTAGTTGTCAAATCGACTTTAGGGCTATAGAGCCCAAAAGTAATAATCTTGATTTTCACACAATTGTACCGAATGGTCACATGTTTTATGCTGCGCAAAGATTCAATCAGTTTAATCTTGGCCATCACAAGAAGTGGGTTATTGATGTAGACAAATGCTCATGTACCCTTTATAACTCTTTTCATGTATGTTATTACTAAAGAAGAAAAAAAGCCAGTCAGTCACTCAATAGTGTCTGACAGTAAAGTCTAGCAAGTAAACGGGTTTCCTTGCATAATTTGAATATGAGGACACTGCTAATGTTTAAATTTCACAGATAGGACATACATGACATATTCATAATTCCTGCAAAGTTCTACAGCATTTGAGGTTGGCTGCAAAAGGGACATATAATAGTACCTTTAAAGGGTAACTACAAAAAAAATTGAATTTTCTATCATTACTTTTACGACATTACATGGACATGGACAATGCAAATTTTGCCTCCCATTCCCATAGTTACGCTTTCAAAAAGGACAGGGAAAATTGTGGGAAGAAGGAGCAGGGAAAGAAGGAGGATACTTTGGATGGACAGTCTGCAGAAATTGTTGGAAGAGAGAGGAGTGAAAGAACTGGGAGTGGTACTAATACAGAAGGCTAGAAACCGAGGGTTGTGGAACAGCATGATCGCCAAAGTCAATCGATATGGCACTTAGAGAGAGAGAGTGACCCTTTCAAACTGACCTGATTGCTGTCGTGACTCTTGTGATGCAAATCTCCACAACGGCCTGGTCGTTGTCACTCCTCACGTAATTCTCAGAGGACGCTATCTCCTGAATGCAGTAGAGGGCAGCAGACAGATCGTGGACGATGTCGGAGTCCGGTACAGAGAAGAGATCTCCGGCCCGCGAGAGATCTCTTCGGGACAGCACTTGGCTGAATAAGTCGTGCATTATGGCATAGTTTTGTCAGTCACAGGTTTCTTCTTCAACTTCAAGGTGCTTTTGATAGGGCATATCAGGTGTAAGGCAGAATTTTTCTTTTAACAATAGGTAATAAAAATGTTCACATTTTGACACTCAGCTTGACACTCAGCTTGATCATATGCAGTATGCCAATTTAGTTTCCATCTCTGCAAATTTCTCTGGGAACCTGGTGAAAACAAAACAAAACAAAACAAAATTAAACAATGTCTAATTTCAAACAGGCGGTAAAGCAAAATACTTTTTGCCAATATCCTAGTTCAGGCCTAATATTGGTTACAATTAAAAGATTACGACGGCATGCAGTCACAAACTCCAGATCATGCTGGGAGGCAGACCAAGAGCTTCAGTTTCTGATGTCGACGGTTCTTCCATTGAGAAAACGTCTGGCTTCACTGACCGCCTCAATACAGTGATTGAAGTGTATTGTATAGGGATATATGTTACGCAATGCAGTTTGTGTGTGATTGCTGATCTCATCGCGCACAAAATGCAGGAGCTTCATGAAAATGCAGATTACCTGAAAGTAAGTCCCTTTATATTTATGTTTTACAGTGATTTGTTTTTAATCATCAATTTTTATCTTCTAGATCTAGTCTAAATCAAACTGTTAAGTCTAGGCCTACTAGATAAAGGAAAACCAAGGGCAAACTTTTCGCCAGACTTGATCTGGCTAAAATCCTTAGTTAATAATAACCCCCCCCTCCCCCACACTTGTGCGTGTGGCAATTAGAGTGTCTGTGTATGGGGAAAGTTGACAAATGTCAGTTTTATTAAAGAATTCACCATACCAGGTACCGTATTTGCCGGCGATAAGGCCGCAGCGCTGTATAGGCCGCACCCCCGATTTCGACATTTAAAAAAAAAAAAAAAAAATTGTTTTTTTTGTTTTGTTGTTGTTTTGCTGCCGAAAACCCATGCGTGGAAGGACCTTCATTTAACATCGAGGTGCAGTTAAAGGCGCTGATTTGTGCTTGTAAACTTGTCACAAATAATAGTAACAATGTCGTTTTTAGAAGAATGTGTAAGATCATTAATGTGAATTAAAAACAATAAAGTACCAGTGGTGTACCTTGTGGTACACCATTTGTTACAGAAAAAAATTTGAGGAACTATTATTATAAACTACATATTGAGATCTATTAGAAAGATTACTTTCAAACCAAGATGACAGTCAAATTTTAGTGTTGTTGTAGTTTCCGAGTGGTGAGTCAACACACTGATTACTGAGCTGGGAGACATTGCCAGGCATAGCGCCATAAATCGAAACTAAAAAAAAAAAAAAAAAAAAAAAAACTTTACTCTTTCGCCGCATAGGCCGCACCCCGACTTTTTGATATTTTCTCTTCCAAAAATACTGCGGCCTATACGCCGGCAAATACGGTATGCATCAGACGGTTATTTCTGTCTGTATAAGTAGAAGGGTTCCGTCTGTCTTGCAGGAAATTAAGTGTCAACAGACAAAATTAAATATTGTTAAAAAACTCCTCTAATAAAGCCGAGCTGAGGGATTTTTCTGTCCATGTGTTGGTAGGAGCAGACTTTTCACACACAGCTAAAAATCATCGTATCTAGAGCTGATTAAGCTGTTTAACTCAACAGCTTTAAAGTAAATTTTCCGTGTGAACGTCGTTTATACGATGTTCGGACAGATACAAAGTCGCAATTCATACGCCCTTCAAAGCAGGCTGCAGATACGAAGTGCGTATCTAGAGAGCTTGACATTATGTGTGTGAACGGATATACATGTTAAAACATGTGTTTAAACGCTCAGTACAGTAGGGCCATTGCGCATTTACAAGCAGTGACAGAGCAGTGAATCTCGAACGACCGCACCAAAATTTTCTGTGTGTGAATGATGCTTGTATCTAGATCTAGATCTGAATATCTAAAGCTGATTAGTTTAAAGCTCTTTAGACTAGACTAGACTAATCAGCTTTAAATAATTTTACCCGTGTGTGAAAAGGTTGTAGGAATAGGATACATGGTATCCAGGACATGTCATTAGTTTTATACCATGGCATGAGTCATCACCAGATCAGATGACTTTTTACTTTGATAATTACTAATTTTCCAGTGCAACAAAGTCAAATTGAAAGTGCAAGCAACAAGATCTCCAGTAAACAACAACAACAACAACGGGATTGAAAATCAGTTAACATGGCCTGGTCAAACAGAGAGAGCATTCAAGTTCATCAACAATCTGACAACAAATCATGAAGTCGATCAATAAAAAAGAGACTCAATTCCTTGTCTCGGCACAATTAACAATAACACTACAGTACACAGTGCAGCAGTGCGCGGTCAGTGTCGGCGATACAGCTGCAGTCAGATTAGATGACAAATAAACAGATACAGAATTGCACTTACCATGTTGACTATGCTGACTGTGTTAGAGGTCGACAAGCCCCGTTTTCTCTCATTGGTTTGGCATTCTAATGAAGATAATCAGCTCAATATTTATCTCAGTTACGAATCAAAAGAGAAATGTAATTCGTGTAGCACTGTGAACATGTAGCTTACAAATTTGCTGTGTATATATTGCATGTATCGCCGTCGGTGCATGCCACTAAAGCATTCGTCACCAACTTGTATTTCCTCCTCAGCGCACAAAATCAACGCCATATAGCGTCATTCTAAACCCAACGCAAGTGCGATAGAATAAAAGGCCCACACAGACCCCGCCCTCTATAAACATGACAATTCACAATAATTCCCCCAATCTTCAACCCTTTCAATCAACAATATCAATTTAGCCAGCTGTTTATTTTTTGGATTGATTACAATGGACTTCAATTTTCTTGAGCGCTTTCAGACTAAACAAACACAACTGTTCTTATTTCTTTACCTGCATGATATGACCATGCCACGCCAAATGATGGATAGTTTTCAAACAAGCGAGTTAATACTTTTAGTTATAATTATGTTTCAGCTATTATACTCGACAAAGTCCGTTCTTTTCCACACCCATTCACGCAGGCTATGACATCCTTTTATGAAAATGTCATATATGAAAATGTCAATTCCGTATTCTACACCGGGGGGGGGGGGGGGGGGGGGGGGGGGGTTATGTTGTATAATGCCACTGCCTATATGTTCCAGATAGATGAATCTTTACAATGAAATAATTCATTCTCCAAAATATGGACATTCCGGGCAAACAATAATGCATAGAAGCTAGGCCATCAGCATGTTCATTAACCATGACGGAAAGCTATAAAGTTCATTCCAGAATAGCATTGTAAAACCATGCTTTGACAATAAAATGGATGAGGCCTATGGTGCATGACTTATACGTGACGTATACTGCTGTACAATCTTATAAGAAATATCTGTTTAATTTACCATAACCTTTAATGTCTGTATCTTTCCTATTGCACTCTGTATAAATGTATCATGTACGTTCATCTTTTGCAAAAGCTGCGCCTTGAGCACAATTTGACTGTCAAGAGTGGATTTTGCGCCTTATAAATCTTATGTATAATTATTATTATTATTATATAATTTGAGTTTGATATAGGCCTACATATTTTGATTATAAATGAACATGCATAACCAACAAATGGCAATTAATGCTGCTGATATGATGAAAGTGATGATAAACATAAAGAATGAGAAATAAATAGATGAGGGAGGGGAGAGGTGGGATCGATCGATCGAAGAGAGAGAGAGAGAGAGAGAGAGAGATAGGGAGAGCGAGAAAAGAGGGAGGGGGCGGGGCAGTAATTAAGGGAGAAAATGAGAAATATATAGGGATTGCCTGAACATCTCAATTTTGCAAGTTTGTTTGTTTGTTTGATTTTATTTATTCTAGAGAGAGAGAGAGAGAGAGAGAGATAGGGAGAGCGAGAAAAGAGGAAGGGGGCGGGGCAGTAATTAAGGGAGAAAATGAGAAATATATAGGAATTGCCTGAACATTTCAATTTTGCAAGTTTGTTTGTTTGTTTGATTTTATTTATTCTAGAGAGAGAGCGAGAGAGGGAGATGGAGGGAGGGGCGAGGCAGTAATTAAGAGAGAAAATGAGGGATATAGGGATTGCCTGAACATCTCAATTTTGCAAGTTTGTTTGTTTGATATTATTTATTTATAGAGACCAAAGAGAACGCCCCCCCCCAAAATACCCACCTTTTCATGATCAAAGTGATATTTCATCATCAAAATGCCTAATCATGAAGGGGGGAAATACACATTTCAACATCTCCCTGGCCAAGCTAGTGCGGGTGATAATATTGCCTGAAAACTCCTTAGGGCCGCAGCCGGCCCCTCCCCTGTATGCATATCGCAGTTGTGTGACAGAAAAAGATAAAGCTTGAAAAGGACAAGACATTAGTCAAGGAGAGTGGATAGGATGAAGAAGGAATTTGGAAAAGTAATACCTTAGCTAAGAGGGCCTTGTTAGGATATCTGGAAAGAAGAGGTTTGTTCAAATGTTGATTTGATCACAGTCTAGTGTGTCTGAATGTTGTTGAAGACAATAATGAAGATTATATAAACATCTTGAATCTTCATGTCTTTATCAATGCTTATAGTTCCATGTTATGCATTTCAGTGTCATTGTTCATATAGATTGTTTATAACATATTTTTTCCATTCTTCTTACAATTAAAAGACATGACCTCAAATTAGAAAAAATATGAATAAATATACATGTACTAGAATCAGGTCTCAATTAATTGTTACCATTTAATAGCATCGCTTGTATAAAAATGTTTGCATGATAAAACATTAATAGAAGAATATAACAATTAGTTCATAAGATACCTAATGGACATGGAATGAAAATATTACACAGGCGTTGTGTCATACCTTTTTACATAATTAAACACATCAAAAATATTTAAAAAACTGCACAGATTAAGGTGATCGTGGAACATAAAATGAGAGCAAAAATGAGTAAATAGGATTGCATTAGCTTTTATGAACATTGTGCATCATATAAGTGTATAATTATTTTCACAAGATGTATAACCATATAGTCTTTCAAATACATCTGTCATTAATATCATGTTAAAATAAATTCGGCAATCATCTTTACAAAAACAAAAATCATAGCTAAATTGGTGGGACTATATATATATATATATGATTGTGAAAGGATTGTATATTGCATGTTATATAAAAGAAATTTCTAGATACCGGTATATACAAGAACATCAACAGTTTTACTTAAATGAGAAGTACTGAAAATAAAGCGTATACCATTAAAAGATATCATTTTCAAAGTGATTATTACAACTGCTTGATATGATGAACATACATAATGAACAATTTCATCATCAAAATCAATGTCTATGATGAAATAAGCTACCAGCCAAGACATACAGCTCGAGTTTTCATCTTTATTTTAATAAATAATATTCATGTTATGTGACTTTTGATAATTTAGGTGGGCATATTTTCTGAGGGAATTCACCTCACACTCGGCATGAACGACACATGTTCTGGGGGTGTACTAAGATCGACTTTAAGTTGAACGTAACTATGACAGGCCTTTCACGCATGCCACTCATTCCTCTAACCATTCCTGGCATTGGTTTCTCAACGGACGTACATATTGTGGTCACAAATCTACAGAATTTCCCTTTTTTAATAGTTCATTATTGAAGGAAAATATATTATCTAAAGATCATAGTTGAGAGACCAATGATGGTAGCAACCATCATGAACAGCCTGCCATAGTTAAATCCAAGTTGATCATATTCTTTGTGAAACACCCCCCAGGTGACAACTGCTCCGCGGTCAATATCATTCACTTATTGAATTCTTAATTTCAAATTTTTGAACCTGGAACAAACACTATACCAAACCCTAACCCTAAACCTAAAACAACAAAAAAGCTTAGCCCTATGTTGGATGACATAAAGCCTAAAAGTCTAAAATGCGATTTGAATATGAAATAAGTTAAGTTCTTAGCTTAGCGATTTACTTAGTCAATTTCTTACTTATTCTAAATATCAAATTGAATACAGGCCCAGAGCATATATGTTGAAACACGTGTTCTGTTGCTACCCAAGACTACTTTAGCAGAAAAGGCAGGTTTATTCTAGACAGCGTTTACCAAAGGAGAAAAGAACACAAATATGAAATCTTTACCTTAAAAATTATCAAAACATTTGATAGAAGAACTGTGGAGTTTAGGGCTTTAGACCAAAATTTAAAACATACGGGATCAGAATATATTTGGTTACCGTACTTTCAGTACCATGCCTGCTTAGACGTTGAGTTCTCAGACTTTTAGACAAAATGTAGAGAACTCAATAATATATCTTTCACTTTATTGCGTAAATCTACAAAATAAAAATGGTTACATGTTAATGCCTATAATTACGAATGAAAAATGAGTTGAAATGTACAATGTAAGGCGAGGCGTCAAAAATATCGATACCAGCAGGCTGCCGCCTCACGTATTGGCGCATCGAGGCTGCAATTACGGCCGAAGCCTGGCTGGGGCAATTATTTTTCTTTTATTAGCCCAGCCGGCTTGCGCCAGGCTGGGATCTGAGGCTCGGTTTCCATTCGAAAGGCGGCAGCCGGCGCATGCTTTTGAATGCCATTTACTACCGCCAGCGGTAGCCGGCTGAGCTAATTTAAAAAATGCAGCCAGGACGCACAAGTGCAGTTAGCTGCCGCTGGCTGGTATATTTATTTTTGACGCCTCGCCTAATACATGTCCATGAGACATACAAAATTAAAAATTCTGAAGTTGACAAAGTATGTTGCCGTCACTGGAGGCAAAGAATAACATTAAACATTCATAAAAAAGCAAAAGTTATCAGGGCTCTTATTTAACTTTTCATTAGAGTTGCCAGGCAGAATGCCTAGATGATTGTTTTAGTAGCCCAATACTAGTATTGTCGTAAAATACCACAAGGTCATTAAAATGTGCTTAACTGCCACCTGGGGGGGGGGGGGGTGTTTCACAAAGGTCCTTAATTGAACTTAACTCTAAGTTGGACTTAAAAATTATGGAGAGCCATGTGTAGCCTTAAATTAAAATATATTCAAAAGCAAAAATTCAAGTACTTTAGACTTTTTATAAATTCCACATCAAGAACATGAAGTCTCCTTGATAATAGAAGTTATGAATGATTTGAATCAACATTTTATTTAACTTTTACAAAATATTTTCATAGATGCTAACGGCTTACCATAATTGTCAAGTTCAACTTAGAGATAAGTTCAACTTAGGATCTTTGTGAAACACCCCCAGGGCAACGAAGGTATAATATTTAGGTTTTAGTTTGCCTGGTAAGAGATTTCTTGGTGAATAGCACCCAAGCAAATGCTAATTTCGATAAAAATAGTCCTTAAAGGCAGGCTTTACTACTTCAACTAGAAGGGATTAGACCACCCAGCATGCCAGCAAGGTCACTGTGACAGGTGGCTATCTCATTAACTCAGTTCTCATTTAACATAAGAAAAAGAGGATCATGGGGGACCAACAGGTACCGATTGGGGAAGTTTTCTATATAGAGGGAGCAAGTAGCTACAAGAAGGACAGTGTGCCTTTAAAATATCTGAAATTGAAGACCCCAAAATGTCACCAGGATGTCCCATACAGTTGAGAACATATAATACAGCTATATATACACATACCCACATGAAATATTTCAGTGCATACAAAATTAGAAGTAAAAGTATCGCCCAGAAAGTTTACAAGGCATAGAGTGCTAAAACAGATTTACACATTGACTAAGTGGACTACAAAACAATAGAATAATGGGACATGACCATTTCCTTGCTTAACAAATAATTTCATGAATAAAAAGCAATTAAATTCTTAGCAGATTTAAAGCCCCTCTGCACTAGGTTTGGCCAGGAAGGATTAGACCTCCCTGAATGGTTACTGACAGGTGGTTATCTCATCAAATCAGCTCTCAAATAACATAAGAAAAAGGGGACCAGGGGGATCAATGGTCCCAGATTAGGCATTGTTTGCTATATAGAGGGCGCAAGTAGCTATAAGTAGTGCAGTGGGGCTTTAATGGCATCAAGCTGATGAAAAGAAATACCAGTGTGTTCTTAAAAATCAAGAAAACCAGTCTAATAGCATCTGTACTTGCATGCTAATACTTTAACCTCTCACTTCTGATTTGCATGAACTGTTCCATAATACCATACATTAGCGCTTAGAGACTTCAGTGGAAAGCGCTGTATAAGCACCGTTTTTATTATTATTATTATTATTATTATTATTATTATTATTATAATAATACAATTTTAGTACCAGCAAGATGCAATCAAATCAGGAAAAGTTAGACATAATTGTATATGCACCAATACCAAGCGAGGAAGATGTCAAGGGCAAAATAACATGGGCAAATTCTACCCGGTACAAAAAAGGGTAATACATTGTAAATACACCAATGCATGCATGTAGTGTCAACCTGAAAATTGTTTTGATCATCCAAAGTCCACCGACTTGCCTTAAGACACATTCATTCGAAATTGCATTTGATGGTTAGCTTACTCTGTATACATTGATGTATATTTAATATGTATGGTAATTTGTAGGTTTATTTGTAAATGTTTTGTTTATCATTGTATTTTGTTTTTTATTGTTTTTTGTATAGAGTCTTCGGTGGAAAGCACCTTATTCGCACCTTTTTTATTATTAAACACATTTGACTTGACTTGGACGGAGGACAGCTCGCGTGTTGGGGGCCAGAAGGGCATTAGTTCATAGGCTTAAACAGAGAGTCAAAGATAAACTTGAGTTTTGGTAAAAAAATAAAATGAATTCTCACAGAATCAAACGAAACTTACACTGAATGTTCAAGAGTACAAATAAATGTCATTTGCCAAAAAATGTTGGTAGAAAATGTATACAGGCTGAGTAATAAGCATAGAAAGATAAGGAAATCAAGGTTAGTAGCCCCGACACCATTTGTGTAGTCCCATATACATGTTTTTGTGTACAGTGCTTGTTACTTTACCGAGACTTGGTCAAATTTATTATGATTTGGATGACTCGAGAACCTTGCAGTACACACCAATACTTACATGCTACATGATCAACTTTTTCTGATCCATTCCACACCTTTTCTTTCACAATGCAATCGCATGACAAGAACTCAACTTTATCTTTAACATTCAACACCCTTCTGGCTCTGATCGGTGGATTAAACAGTATTAACGCTTAGAGACTTCGGTGGAAAGCGCTTTATAGGCACAGTTTTATTATTATTACTCTGCTGAGGAGTCCAACTTGCACCATAGGTTTATTTTATAAATGAACTGCTATTGAGAGCCAGAAGGAAGTTAGCTGAACAGCGAGTTAACACCCTTCTCAAGTTCTGGCTCTCATTGGTGGATTGAACAGTACTGGTGTTCACACTTACAGACTTCGGTGGAAAGCGTTTTATAAGCGCCGTTTTATTATTATTATATTATTATTATCCTGCTGAGGAGTCCAACTCGCACCATAGGTTTACTTCAAAAATGAACTGCTATATATTGATAAGTCACTTGGTCTACTTGCACAAAGCAATGCAAACAGTATTAACGCTTAGAGACTTTGGTGGAAAGCATTTTATAAGCACCGTTTGATCATTATTATATAATTATTATCCTGCTGAGGAATCCAACTCGCACCATAAGTTTATTTAAAAAACGAACTGCTACATATTGATAACTCACTTAATCTACTTGCACAAAGCAATGCAAAGAATGAAATTCCTGATAAAAGAAGGCTCTGTACCCAAGAGATCCGGGCCCTGTTTCACAAAACTTGCCATCAGTGACAAATGACAGTTTTTGTTACAAGATGGTGAAATCCTTGCTTCTGATTGGTTATCAGCGGATTTGGCACTGATTTTCGTCATTTGTCATTGAAAAAGGGGCTTTGTGAAAATGGACCCAGGTTATCAACCTGTTGAGTAAACACTTCTCTCATTTCCAAGGATTAATGGATGGACCAATAGTTCCTGTAGGTCACAGGTTCAAGGCACGGGCAGGCTCTCTCTCACGTTTGAGAGATCATGAAGAACGGAATGGTTGCGTATCGCCATCACCTTCATCACCAAATGCTGTTTGAGATGAAAGAAGGAAGAACAACAGTAAGTAGTGTGGCTCGTATAATTCTCATTTCTCATTTTTTTCTAATTTCATTTATTTCATTCTACATAAAAAAACATTAAACATACAAACATGAAATACATGATATACAGATAAAAGATCGATTACAAGAAAAATACAAAGGGAAGGAGCAAACAAAACTTGTATGGATATGTGGGGTTAACAAAAAGGGCAATTGGCCAAATGAACGTATACACTGTAATGTTGAGAAAAGAAAAAAGGAAAAGAAAAGCAGAGAAACCTGAACCCCAATACAAAAGAAAACAAAAGGGAAGGAGAAGGGAAGGGGAGGGGGAATACATTACAAATTACAAAGTACATTTACTGAAGCGTTATGTCATTTAAATTGAGATTAAGTATACAATGATAAAAGATGGGATTTATGCAATTGTTTAGAAATGTTCATTGAATTAAAGTTTTTCCTAATCAAGCAAGGAATGGTACATCCAGAGATGCCAACCTTCACAACCCAAAAAGAGTGAGAGGTAATAAACAGTATTTTTACCCAAAAAACATTATTTTAAAAGATGATATATATACATATGATAGAAATTTCAAGAAAACAAATTTAAGTGAAAAAACGTAACAAATACAGCAAAAACTGAGCGGTTGGCATCTCTGCACATCCATGTGATGTGTTGGCCACTTCATTTATATATTTTTTTTTCTTTCTTCAAAGGGGAGAAGTGGGGAAAAAAAATTCAAACCTGTATTTCTGAAAAAAAATATATTACATTGGGTGAGAGTCAAATCCTTTTGCACACAATTTTAGAATTACATGTAGCCCTCAAAGAATTCCCTGCCAGCACATTGAATGAATTGAAGAGATTCTTGAAAAAAAAAACTGAAAGGCCAAATGTAAAATGTGAAGCACTACAGACTCACACCTTCGAGGTAATCTCCCCCTCTCTTTTCCCCTCCTTATTTTCTCTTCCTACTCCTTCCTCTTCATTCTTCTAATTAGTTCTCCTCCTCCTTCTTCTTCTTCTTGCTCTTCCTCCACCTACTCCTCCTTCTCCTCCTCCTTCTCCATTTCCTTTAAATAATTATTCATATTATCACGTCTCTTTTGAAAGAAAGAGAAAGAAAAAAATTCTCAATAACCAACCTTTCTCCTTGAGTCCCTTTCCAAAGTTTGAATACACCTTGGACATGCACAGGACGACGGCCACTCTGACAAGAAGACCAAGGACTGAACAGACTATGTCCTCCTCCTCCTCCTGCTCCTACTACTACTACTACTACTACTACTACTACTACTACTACTACTACTACTACTACTACTACTACTACTACTACTACTTCTTCTTCTAACTCTAATTCTTCCTATTATCACTTCTCATTTGAAAGAAAGAAAAAGAAAAGTTTTCTCAATAACCAACCTTTCTCCTTGAGTCCCTTTCCAAAGTTCGAATACACCTTGGACATGCACAGGACGACGGCCACTCTGACAAGAAGACCAAGGACGGAACAGACTATGATGGCATAGTTAAGAAGCTGCATGCTGGAGTTATGAGGGTCAAAGTCCTGGGCCACCTGGGAATATGGAAAAGGGACAGAGGAATGAATTTGCTGATCACCGAGACAAAGTATAATAACATTACGATACAGTCAAACCTGTCTATAGTGACCACCCAAGGGTAACACAAAAAGTGGCCTTTGTAGACAGGTTGTCTTTGTAGACGGGTTCCTTTAGTACATGATTTAATAAGAAACCATTTTCAAGGGAATCAACAAATATGGCCTTTGTAGACAGGTGGTCTTTGTAGACAGGTGGTCACCTAAGCAGGTTTGACTATACAAGTACATTCAAACCTGTCTTTAATGCTGGCCACCTATCTATAATTGTCACCTGTACTGTGTCCCTTAAAAATCCGGTAACTTTGTCTTAGATCCTTAAAAAATATCCTTGATTTAGCTCATGCTGTAATGATAATTATAAACCTTTAGGTCAGTCAGGAAAGGGAGAAAAGAGGGGAAAAACAAGGAAAAAAGAATGTCAGAAAGGAACAAAATCGTGGTAGATCATAAGAGTAAAGATGATAAGGTAAAGGAGGAAAGGGCAAGAATTTTTTTTTTAAAGTAGAAAATATATAAAACAGAAGGTAGAAGAGACAAAAAGGTTAAATAAGAAATAGAGCCTTTGAGTTTGAAATCAAGAAATGACAAGAAAAGATGAAGCAAAAGAATAGGAGAAAGGGGAGACAAAACAATGAATTGGAAAAGGTAGAAGAAAAAAGAAAGGAAGAGAAAAACAGAAAGTAGGAAAAGATGAAGGATAGACAAAAAGAGATAGGAGAAAAAGTAATAGAGGGAGAAGAAAATAAAGGGGAAGGATTCCCACAAAACTTCATACTTACCCTGACTATTTTGAAGATGATATATGCTGGCTCAAAAACGCTTGTGGCGAAAAATATCCATGTGAGATGCTTGTTCTCGTATCTCATCTGCAATGACAAGGGAATCAACGACATATACGTGTGATGGAATAAGGCAATAACACTCCTTGATAATGATAACAAGGGCATTCACACCATGTCGATGGCCATTCAAGATCATCCTTGCAGACACAAAGGGTGGTATTCTGGAAAGCGGACTAACTTTAGTCCATGGTTTAATCCACCGACTAAGTATGGAATGCCAAGTGTCCATATGAATATATTTTTGAATAATTTGATATGTCCCTAAATAACCATGATAACCTAGTTATATCATAGTTATATTGTTGTTTATTGATTATGTTATTACATTTTATTTTAATTTAGTGACAGATTAAATTATTTAAAAAAAAATATTCATATGGACATTTGGCGTTCCATACTTAGTCTGTGGATTAAACCATGGACTAAAGTTAGTCCGCTTTCGAGAATACCACCCTTTGTGTTACAGGGCGTAGGTCTTCTATTTTGTCTGACAACATAATTCAAACAAAAAAAATTCTTCAACTTTTAGAGTAAGATATGGAGAGTAATGCAATGTCAAGTGAAATAACATACAGCAATCATAACTCATAATATCATGCTGAAGAAACTACAATCAATGTATATATTGTAACGTTTCCAATGTAACAATCATTTTCAGAATGTTATTATATTTGTGACGATGTACATTTGATATTATTGTATTATGTATTTCTTCTTGTATTATGTATATGTACAATGACTGGCCTAGCCTGTGTTTTTCTTATATTGTACCTCCAAAATTCATCCATAGATCTATTTAAGGCAATGGGCTGTTATCAAAATTCCATATTATATTTTTGCTACTTATGCCTCCATAAAAAACTTAGACTTCGAGTTTTAAAAAGGAAATGAAAGGCATCAATTGAACAATAAATGGGCCTTTAGCTCTATTTCAAAACCTGGATTGCCATATTCTTTGGAGCATCATGTGACAGACGTTATGCCATATTTTTGGAGTATCATGGAACTTTCAGTTTCGTATTGACAAAATTTAATTGTGGCAGTCTTGTTTGTTCCATTATTCAACCAAAGCCGGGAAAGCCAGGAAATGACTGAAGAGAAAGAGAGAGAGAGAGAGAGAGAGAGAGCGAGAGAAAAAAGGGGGGGGGGGTAGAGGAAGAGTAAGCAAGAGACAAAGAGGGAAAGGGAGAGATAGTGGTCTTTAGAAACAGGTTTCAAGATATAGGTCCATTACAATGAACGAATCAAACTGATAAAGACCCAGTAAAGGCCTATATTACACGAGGGGCAACACAAGAACTACATTTCTTCTCTCACCTGTGTGGTCTTTGTATACTGGATTATTGACGTAAAATTAATGACAACAGACATATCTTACCGATAAAAATCCGACTACGGCCCATATCATGCCGTAGGTCACACCAAAACATATGATGAGCGTTTCAAACAATGAGATGGAAGATAGGTCGTCCAGTACGAGAATCACTATGCTGACCTACAAATCAAATCATGACAAAAAGACAATTATTAAAACCATAAACCAAGGGGGAGGGAGGGAGGAGGGGGGGGGGGGGGGGGGGGGGGGGGGGGGGGGTTGTCATACCCTTTGGAGGCCTTTGGAACGGTTTAGCATTGTATTTTGTTAGTTATAGCGCTTTGAGACTTCGGTGATAAGCGCTTTATAAGCACCGTTTTTATTATTATTATTATTATGACTACAGCTATTTCAATTTCGTTTTTTATCCCCCCCCCCCCCATTTTCTCTCCCTCCTTGAGTATTCTCCTGCATATCCTTTTTGCATGCCAAGTTTTAAATCAGTGATCGAGTCATGTGGCGTTCTTTGGCGGAGATCCCAATGATAACATCTACTCTATTTGAATAGGGTTAAAGTTAAAAACATGTACATGTACACTGTTTCCTATTAAAGGCATCGTTTAGCAATGTTAAATCTGAGATGTATGGCCCTACGTGTTATCAGTGTGTGTGATATGGTGTAATATTGAAGCCCTAAAAAATTGCTCTTCAAAATGATCATGAAGTGCCTCTTTTTTTTTTTTTTTTACCATACCCATTTTCCCCAACTGACTGTAGTGTTATAAAAAACGTTAGGAAAACGAAAAATGAAATCTCGATTTCCTATCATAAATATCTTGATAATCAGATAGGCGATTGGCTTGTCAAAGTCATGGGATTCCTGACTGACCTAAAGGTTTATGATTATAATTGCAGCATGAGTTAAATCTGGGATTTTGTTTCAGAATCTAAATACCCTCTCATAACACAGCCTATCTGCACTAGTTTGGCCAGGAAGGATTAGACCTCCCTGCATGGTCACTGGCAGGTGGTTATCTAATCAAGTCAGCTCTCAATTTACATAAGAAAACTGGCACCATGGGGGATCAACGGGTAGGCATCGTTGGCTATATAGAGGGCACAAGTAGCTATAAGTAGTGCAGTCCTGCTTTAAGTGATTACAGAAAGAGTCAGTACACTGTATTGTACTGGTGCTGTACAGACAAAACATAGGTACATAATCAAATGAACACTACATGTAGGTCTGCATAATCTGACACACTTTAAAGATAGTACCAGCATCTTCCAAAATATGACAAACCCTCCCTTTATGAGCCATTCAATGTTAGCTGGCAATTGTCCTTTGGGTTAGTGTTGAGCAATATGGTGAAAATCTAATAAAATGCTGGTACATGAACAGGATAGCATACATTTACATGTCTACATAAACAAAATACTTCCTTACTCATTCAGCAACATATTGTAAATGTTAATGTTATGCATGTGCATCCATACAATGTACATGTACATTTTCATTTCGTATGCAGGTAAGACCAAAACAGTACATTATAGTTCAATGCCTCATTGTCATGAAAGAAGGCAATTTTATCTTTTTTTGAGCCAAAAGGGAGTTGAGTTATGGTCATATGATTGCATTGTGAAAGAAAAAGTTGATCATCTAGCATATAAGTATTTGTGTGTATTATTATTGCAAGGGTCTAGAATCATCAAAATGATAAGAAATTTAACCAAGTCTAATTGGTAAAGTTACAAGCATCGTACACAGAAAGATGTATATGAGACTACACGGACATGTGGCATAAAAATCTGTCCTGATTTGTATGATGTTACATGCCATATTTAGAATATGAAGGCATTTGAAGAGCCATGCTTTTCAGGGAACATTTTGTATCTGATGTTCTTCCACACTTGCATAATACAATGATAAGGCTCACAAATTATTTTTCCCCTCTTCTCAGAACTCAACCTTCTCTTTAAAGATAAACTCCAGTTCTGGTAAAAAAAAAGAAAATTAATTCTCACAGAATCAAACGAAACTTACACTGAATGTTCAAGATTACAAATAAATGTCATGTGCCAAACAATTTTGGAAGAAAATGTATACTGGCTGAGTAATGAGAATAGAAAGATAAGGAAATCAGGGTAGTACCAGCCCCGACACCATGTGTGTTGTCCCATATACAGCTTTCTGTGTAAGTGATTGTTACTTCACCAAGACTCGGTCAAATTTATTATGATTTTGATGACTCAAGCACCTTGCATTACACACCATTACTTACATGCTATATGATCAACTTTTCTGATCCATTCCACACCTTTTCTTTCACAATGCAATCGCATTACCAGAACTCAAGTTTATCTTTAAGACCCTTTTATGTCATTTTCTCACAATCTTACAGTACAAACAAACAAACAAACTTGCCTCAAGCTGAAAATCAAACTTTAGTAGTGATTCACAAAGAAACATGTACTGGCACATATCTACATGAAAAAGAAAGAGGGAGAGAGGGAGAGAGAGAGAGAGAGAGAGGGGGAGGGGAAGAGAGGGAGGGGGAGAGGGAGAAAAGAGAGAGAGAGAGAGAGGGGGAGAGGGAGAGGGAGAGAGAGAGAGAGAGAGAGAGAGGGAGAGGGAGAGAGAGAGAGAGAGGGGAGGGGGAGAGGGGGAGGGGAGAGGGGGAAGAAAGAGAGAGAGGGAGAGAGAGGGAGAGAGAGAGAGGGAGAGAGAGAAAGAGAGAGGGAGAGAGAGAAAGAGAGAGAGAGAGGGGAGGGGAGAGGGGGAAGAAAGAGAGAGAGAGAGAGAGAGAGAGAGAGGCACAAAGAAAAGTGAGAAAGAAGGGGGTGGTTGGAGAGAAAAACAAGGTATTTGTTATTCAAAATTGTGATAATGAATTTCAAACCTTTTATACTATAGAGAGTATACTATACACAAAATATATACTATCCATAAACAAAACTTACAAAAGGTTGCTGTCCTTCTTAATGTTTACATAATTGTGTAAAGAATGCTGATATAGTAGGCAAATCTAAATGTACATGAACATTTGAACAGGATGAATGTAACGTGACAGGAAAACCTCGTTCCAAATACAGGAAGGAGAAAGAAAAATATGAAAAAACACTTTCATTTGGAAGTTAAGGTAATTCATATATCTGTTGAATATATACTACTAATATGAAAAGGATCTAGTTTGGTACAATAACCCCTGAAAGAATATTAGAGACTCTTTAAAAGCATTTCAAACATAGATATACCGGTAGTACAACTGCCCCTAATAGTCACATGTATGCATGTACATGTACATCATTCTTTTAGTGGCCATAACAGTTGACCCCTTGGAATCTCGGTCATGGAATGAAGAAAAATTCCCTTGCAGGCATGGTGATAGAGTATCTTATAAAGAATAAGTTTCATATCTATGTCTCAAATGTTTTTTTTTAATGATTAATAATTAATTAGTATAATTATCAATATCATAATTTTACTTGACGGTAAACAAATCATTTCATTTATATCCAAACTGCATATGATAACAGAGTCCGACTGAAACTGACCTTGTAATTCAATGTTTGCTCCGACGGTTCTAAAGATGAGATTTCGGGAGTCGTAATATCTGTACGCGATGTAGAGAGCCATTATGCCCAGCACCGGACCTGCCGCACTGATCAGGATCAAGCGGGCCTGTGAAAAACAATCATAAAAATTTAATCTGTAAAATTGTGGCATACATGTAGCTTGGCATGCTGGGTGGTGGGGGGGGGGGGGGGACTGATATCAGGGGAAAGGTCTTGAGTTGTAAGGGGACCAGTTGTCGTGGGGGAGCTGTAATTAGACGATTACATTAAATTATTTATCAAAAAAAAAAAGGATTCCCAATTTCACATGTTAGGATGTTGTCCCCTTCTCATCATGAAAATGAGGAATATTCTACCATTTAGAACATCATTATAAATTCTTCCATTTTTTTGTTTGTTTAAAGGAGGAGATAAATGGGTACTGGGCTCTGTTGGTATAACTTTGCCATTAATGGCAACTTTCATGAAAACCTTGATTTCATTGGCTGTTGGGTGACTTTGGCATGGTAGTTATTACTGATGGCAAAGTTACCATCAATGGTAAGTTTTATGCAACTAGGCAATGGAGTACTAGTACTCAGCAAATTGAAGAATTACAAATTTTTTAGTTGTTTGGATGTGTTTCCTTCTATATGATATGAAAATAAGGAATAAATGAACTTTCTGTAATATCAGGTCAAACTCTCAATCACATAGGAAGCACTGACTATTGTAGAATTGCTTGTTTAACTTTTGGGGATGCTGTTCCTTCCAGATAATGAAACTGTGAATCTTTTGGATTATGGAGTCAAACTCATTTTAAATAACATGATCACGCAGGAGGTGCGATAGCTCAGGCAGTAGAGCAGTGGTCTCGTAATCCTGTGACCTGGGTTTGAAACCAAGGTGATGCGCTAGTGCCCTTTGGTAAGGCATTAATCTTCAAACCAGGTCCCTCGGAGAGGACCTAAAGCCGTCGGCCGTCTGGTTGCTTACTTACAAGCATTTTATGCTTTCTTTAATAGCAGTCAGGTAAAATAAATTATTATACTTATTATACATTTATCATCTTCTTTGAAAATGGGGATATTTCGAAAAATTGCACACATACCAGTTTAACTGCATGAGATGTTGATCCTTGTTGTAAGTAGTTGATGATACAATAGACCAGGACAATGCAAATTCCAGCCACAAATATGAGCAACTCATTGGCTCTTTCTCCAAACACGCCATTTAGAACATAAAATAAGATGTAAACTGGAAAAATAAGATGAAACAGAGAGAAAATAAATGTTTGAGAGAGAGAGAGAGAGAGAGAGATGACAATTGAAAAGAGAAAGAGAGAAAGAGAGAAAAAGAGAAACAGAGAAGAGGTGTCATGAAAGAGAGCAAAAGTGTTTAGATGAAGAATTGGAGAAGGAGAAAGGATCTAAAAAGCAAGAGAATGATGACAAGATATTGGTGAACGATTAGAAACAGTTGATGTAGAAGGTAGGACAAAAAGGAGGAGAAATAAATTGTAAGATTTTCATTTAGGAACAGCTGTCAACAAGTTCAACTATCGTCTTGAAATCTTATGAATAATGCACACCTCAGTTTGCTTTGGATACACTTACTAAGTGAACACTGAAACATGAATCCGGAAAAAGATAACTGTTTAAGTACATACAGTATCAATTTTCTTAAAGCTAATCTTGAGCTCTGGTATGGAAATCGTATGTCGAGAGAACATGGCTATAACTCATTCTGGATTGTTTATCATGCAGTAGATTGATTGCTTGAACCAGTAAAATAAAAAAATCCTCACAAAAACTTACTGGAAATCATGATCATCTTCAATACAAACCGCAAATCTCATTTGCACATACCGGTAGTGACCTGTGGTACTGACCTTGATTTCCTTATCTTTCTATGCTCATTTCTCAGCCCCGATAGTCCTATACATTTTCTACCAAAATCGTTTGTCACATCATTAATTTGTAATCTTAAACATTCAGTGTAAGTTTTGTTGGATTCTGTGAGAATTTATTTACTATCATTACCAGAACTCAAGGTAATCTTTAAAATTACAAAGCAAATATATGCCTCAAATTATACAACCACAATTACACTCTCCTTTTTTTGTCTTCTAGAGCCCTCATAGTCAAATAAACCAAAACAAAACAAAACAAAAACAGAAACAATTAGGGTCTATACGATTTTCTAGAAAAAAAAATGCAAATTTGTCTGGATCTGTCGGAGCTTCATGTACAAAATTAAAAGTGGCATGGATGTACAGGCTATACCCCCGATCGCCTAATCTGTGCCTGCAATATGTGTCTACGAACCAGATAAACAAGAATGAATTTATAAGGAAAATACAGGATATATTTTCTTACCAGCATTAAAGAGCAGTAAGATTGCAAACACGGTATCAGTTTCATTATCGCTTGCTTCTGATGATGCCGATGCTGATGGTGTTGGTGTCTGTGTTGTTTGGGCTACGTTCGACTTCGAGTCTCTGATCAGTTCTACGAGGCGAAAGATGGTGAGCGCGGAGACCACCAGGATGCTCAGTGTTGAGAGAACGAGAAAGATCCATTCTAAGGTTGTGACGTCTTTCAGGGATCTCCGCTATCAAGATGATAATAATTGATGACATTAATGACAAGAATGACAAATATATATTGACAGAAACAGTATAACTACGGCGAGTTAGTTTTAGTCAGATCGACCAAATCGAAGTTTTGTTACTAAAAATTTACTATTACTAAATACTTATCTGCTAATTAGTAAGTAGTACAGTAGCAGTAGGGCCAGTTTTAGAGGAAGTAGAGGAAGCCAGAAGTAGGGACTCGGGCCGGGGAAACAAAACCTCAAAATAGATAAATAAATAAATGAAACAAAACACAACAAAGCAAACAAATAATATAACAAAATAAATGTCAAGATTCAAAACAGGACAAAACGAAGAGACATAATTGATTTAAAGACTGTCGAATATGTCATGAATAAAGTCTCAAAATCATTAAAATAGAAACAATACAATATTCGTGGAATTACAGGCTAAAAAGTAAACAATCCATAAAATGCCAATAAAGAAATAAACGTCAAATTAATATGCGTATTATTAGGGGCCTACTACATAATCCGGTATCCGTCATCAGTTACCCGCACTCGCGCGGCTCGCGCCAATGCTCGAGATTCCGTCCAGCCCAGATCTGGCCAACGGCCTAGCTATAGTATAGGCCGTTGATTCCCGACCATTCTTACCTGTCCCACCGGCGTACGAACCATTCCGCCAGTCCCTGTCGGAATCCCCAAATCCTCGAAGGTTATCGCTCCATCTGATGCCGCAGGTTCAGGCCCCTTCGCCCCTCCTTTGGCTGCCATCTTGTCGACAGCAACGCCTACCGCGTAAAGAGCCGTGTTTATGGATTATCTTTACTTCCTTGAGAGCAAAGTTCTTCTGCCGAAAGGAAAACTAGTAAAAGTATTCATTCGTTCGCGATCGATCACATGCATTACTGCATCATGGTCTATTTTTAGATCGTGCACGCGCAAATTAGTGTTGAAGTTACAGATTATTTGAGGTTCATGTCGCTTCTTCTTGTAATGTATGGTAGTGTTAAAGAGCACCTGTGTCGTGATTTTTCAATGTGCATTGTAGTAGGTCCATGGTTTTAGATGGCCATATCATCAATTTTTTAACCATATAATCAAGAGATGATCCAGGATTTTGCGGAAGAGGGGGCAAAGTATTCATAATATTTGCTAAGCACCTACAACAAAAAAGGAAAAAGGATAGATCAAGGGGAAGGACCCGGGAAGTTTAGGTATAAGAAAATATTGCCACTTAAATTAGGTTTCAAAACGGGGAAGCGGGTCGGTTGTGCCCCCTGGAACCGGCGGTGTATTGTACCTATTTATCATTTCTTAATTAATATATCTTTAGCATGAACCTGTTCTGGGAGGGGGAGGGGCGGGAGGGGGGGGGGGGGGTCATACCGTGAGCAAAGGTCATTCGGAGAGATATTATGCCTAATTCGGTCTATATACTGTATGGTTGCTTACACTGGCGTACTAGTGGGGGACGGGCCAGGAAGAGCATAAATTATGTTCCTATAGTCACTAATGGGCCTTATACTTATAGTGGCCACCAGGCGCGTACGAAGGGGGGGGGGGGGGGGGGGGTTGGGGGTTGACCCCCCTTTGACTTTTGTATGTGTGTGTTTTGGAATACCCCCCCCCCCCTTTGCGATTTTTTTTTTATTAAAAAAGAAAAAAAAATTATATATATATAAAATGGGTGACGCCAAAAACCTGACCTTACCCCCCTCCTACTCTAGGAGCCTGGGTCAGAACCCCATCCCAGACCCACCCCCGCTTGGTCGTTACGCTCCCTCGCGGCTAAAGCCTCGCTCTATCGCTTCATCGTTTTACATAACATATTTCACCCCATGCCATTTTGTGCCCCCCGGTATCGTGTAAGAAATTCCTGGATCCGCCCTTGATGCCCATACCCCGTGAGCTTCGGGGGCTCCGCCCCTTGACCCCGGCCCAGGGATTTGCCCCTAGAAGCCACTTTGAAAAACGTTCAGCGGGGCCTGCATGTAAGGGTGGGGTGGTGCGGATTTTTTTTGTCAGCCCTCCCAAACGTTTTTTGCTCATTACGCCACTGGTTGCTTACTAATAACACGCATTTATGCTTATAGCAGTCAGGTAGAATAACCACTACGTTGATAGATACAAAAAAAGTTGAGAGGGAACGGGCCTAGCTAGAACATTTTGCCCCTTCCTCTGTTTTCTTCTGAGATAATGCGTTACCGGCAGTCAATCCTTGTGGTTGAATATTACCTCTGTTTAATTAAAATATCGGAGTAGTTGTATTGAGATCAAAGTTAAACTTTCAAACAGAAAGGCTCATTTGAAGAACCAAACTGAAAGGACAGCGACAGTTCCAATTTTAGACATACTAACAAATGCCTACATTTGAATATAGAATTACTCGTCATATACCAGTGCCACCAATTTTTAAGTAACCTCAACGAAATCCTGTTTACACTAGAAAGTGTCATTTTTGGAAAAGTGTCCCTTTTTACATTTGATAGTTCTCCATTCTCTTTCTAATAAGTGCCCTGCTCTCACCGGGCCTTAAAGGATAATTGACCCTTTAATTTGATGCACTACTGCTTTAATGAGTGCCCCTTTTCCTCTCTAATGAATGATGTTTCTTCTTATTATATGTGCCCTTTTTGTGTTTTCTCATAAGTGCCCACCTCACCTTTTATAGTGTCCTTGTCTCTTGCGACCCATTTTACTTTTTAATAAATCCACTTAACTCTTCGGTTAAAGATACTATGTCCCTTTTGCAGCCAACCTCAAATTCTGTAGAACTTTGCATGAATTATGAATATGTTATGTATGTCCTATCTGTGAAATTTAGAAGTTAGCAGTGTCCTAATATTCAAATTATGCAAGGAAACCCGTTTACTTGCTGGACTTCACTGTCAGACACTATTGTCAGTATTGAGTGACTGACTGGTTTTTTCTTCTTCTTTGGTAATAACGTACATAAAATGAGCTGTAAAGGATTTGTCTACATCAATAACTCACTTCTTGCAATGGCCTGACTCTACTGCTAAAAGAAGCATCTTCCAACCGGCATGCCATTTGGTTTTACTGCACAATAAAAAATCAGACGCTTTGACAATACCTTATAAAACAAATTCGAATGCTTTTATTTGTCTCTATGTTCAAGGAACACCGAAATCATGGCAGAAACGAATTCTACTGGAAGTGAAGCTGTTTTAGGCCAAAAATGGGACAGATGTGTGTCTGATACCTTGATCAAGATCGGTAAATAGTTGTTTGATATGTATTCCTTTTCAAATGATCAATGCAGAACTGTAATTAGTTGAATTTTATGAATATTCTGCATAATTAGTGCACCGACCATTGAATCGAAGCTGTAATATTACTATTAGGGTGTCTGATCGGCGTCTAGTCAGGTCGCCCCCCACTCGGTCGCCTCCTATACACAGTCGCCTCCTATACGCAGTCGCCTCCTAACGTAGTCGCCCCCAAATTGTGTGGTCGAGTCGCCTCCTATACACAGTCGCCTCCTATACACAGTCGCCCCCTATACACAGTCGCCCCCTATACACAGTCGCCCCCTACGTACAAAGGCAGTACGCTATAGTGCAGCGGTCAGAATCAGGTTATTTATGCTATTTAAATATGTTTGTAAATAAAAGAGAAAGTTTCATTCTTTCTGTTATATTGTTGTCCACCTTCTTCAAAATAACTCTTTTTGTGCTGAAGTATAATGTAATAAACGTTTCATTTTATTTTGATGCAACAGAGATTTACATTCAAAAGTTTTATTTTTTAGTATTGTATACAGTAATATTCTTCTCATTTCGACATTATCAGCCGCTTGTTCTCTGTTTCGTTCCCTAAACTAAATATAAGTATAATTATGTGAGATAACGGGGGGGGGGGGGGGGGGGGGGGGGGGGGGGGTAGAGAGTTGGACGTAGCCTGTATACTGTATTTATGTTTTATATTTTGTCTCTCCGATCACCCCCCCCCCTCCCACCTCTGATCTTGTTCTTTAGTTAGTCTCTGTTGGTTTGATCATATCTTTTCACTAGAGTATAATGTCCGACGTATAACATCAGGAATATGTTATAATAATTAATCTCAAGGAAGGGATGATGCCCGGCATACAAGCAAATGGCGGAATAGACAACATTATGAAAGATGAAGATGGACAAAGATGAAGATGGACATAGACAGAGAGAGGGAGAGAGAAGGGGAGGGGGGTGGCGGGGAGGTAGAAAATTGGACGCAGTCTGTACTGTATTTATTATTATGATATTTTTCTCACCGACTCCCACCCCCCCCCCCCCCCCCCCCCCAGCTCAGATTTTTTCTTTAGTTTGTCTCTTTTTTGTTTGTTTATATAATGTCCGACGTATACCGTCAATATAGCATAATAAACATTTTTATGCCTCCGCCACCGAAGGTGGTGCCGGAGGCATCATGTTTTCGGGTTGTCCGTCCGTACGTCCGTATACGTCCGTCCCGTTTGACCGTTATCACAATATCTCAAGAACCATTTAAGATTTAAACTTAAGACTCGGGAATAGTATTTATCACCATAGGAAGACGATCTGATTAGATTTTGGAGTACGTAGGTCAAAGGTCACAGGTCACAGAGGTCAACTTATGAAATTCCTTGTATTGAGTTTGTTAGCGCGATATCTCAAGAACCATTTGAGATTTAAACTTCAAACTTAAGGATAGTATGTATCACCATAGGAAGACGATCTGATTAGATTTTGGAGCACGTATGTCAAAGGTCAAGGGTCACAGAGGTCAACTTATGAAATTCCATACATTGAGATTGTTATCATGATATCTCAAGAACCACTGGAGATGTAAAAACTTCAAACTTAAGAATAGTATGTATCACCTTAGGAAGACGATCTGATTAGATTTTGGAGCACGTATGTCAAAGGTCAAGGGTCACAGAGGTCAACTTATGAAATTCCATACATTGAGATTGTTATCATGATATCTCAAGAACCACTGGAGATTTAAACTTCAAACTTAGTGATAGTGTGTATCACTATAGGAAAACAATCTGATTACATTTTGGAGCACGTAGGTCAAAGGTCAAGGGTCACAGAGGTCAACTTATGAAATTCCTTGTATTGAGTTTGTTAGCGCGATATCTCAAGAACCATTTGAGATTTAAACTTCAAACTTAAGGATAGTATGTATCACCATAGGAAGACGATCTGATTAGATTTTGGAGCACGTATGTCAAAGGTCAAGGGTAACAGAGGTCAACTTATGAAATTCCATACATTGAGATTGTTATCATGATATCTCAAGAACCACTGGAGATTTAAACTTCAAACTTAGTGATAGTGTGTATCACTATAGGAAAACAATCTGATTACATTTTGGAGCACGTAGGTCAAAGGCCAAGGGTCATAGAGGTCAACTTATGAAATTCCATACATTGAGATTGTTATCATGATATCTCAAGAACCACTGGAGATGTAAAAACTTCAAACTTAAGAATAGTATGTATCACCTTAGGAAGACGATCTGATTAGATTTTGGAGCACGTAGGTCAAAGGTCAAGGGTCACAGAGGTCAACTTATGAACGTTTCGGTTTGTAAAATTGCTCTATGACGGAGGCATCATTTTCGACTGCGCGCAGTCGAATTCCATCTAGTTTGTTTAGATATCAGTTTGATGCAACAGAGATTTACATTCAAAAGTTTTACTGTTTATAATATTACAGTAATATTCTTTATGCTATTTAATGTTTGTAAATAAAAGAGAAAGTTTCATTCTTTCTCTACTTATGTTGTCCACCTTCTTCTAGATAACTATTTTGTGCTTAAGTATAATGTAATAAACGTTTCATTTTATTTTAATGCAACAGAGATTTACATTAAAAAGTTTTACTTTTTATATAGTATATGTACAGTAATATTGTTTCGGCGCTTTGTATCCTCCGCGCTTTTATGAAGGACAAAAGCGCCGCGACATACAATATAAGGTATGCGTTTGAAAGAATAAATGCTCTATTATGTGCACAGATTAAAATAAAAGTGACATCTATACAAAAAACAAACAAATATTATTAGACAGGTTAAGGATGGAACCTAATTATAGTGCTTTCGAATACTTGAAAAGATGAGCAGGTGTTCATTGGTCACGCATGGTCGTCCCTTATTCCTTAAACAAAATCACGCACTTATAGAATGAATTGAGAGTAAAATTAGATAACGTTTCGTTCATTTGAGTCTTCCACCGAAAGCTTTCAATTTTATTTCGATTTATTTGCTTCATAATAAACTTATATTAGCCATATCAATTATAGCTCACTTTTAATTCAATGTAGAGACATTCTCTTCTATTTCTATTTTTAGACTTGAACTATCTCATTACGACACGTTCTAGTATGGGTCTCATAAAAACGCAAATATGGGATTAAAAAGGGATCTGAAAAATAATGCTCTACTTTGCTTGCGTGTACAAAATATACTCGAGAAAAGCTAAGAAAGCCAATCTATAAAATCCTTTTTATCCCTATATAGCTTGTGGATACTCTCTTATGGTATTGCTCACTTTCTACCCTCTATGGGCAACGTGCTAGTTTGGGTCTTGTAGTATAGCCAGGCCCGCAGCCACGGGGGGGGGGGGGGGGGGGGGGGGGGGGAGGGGGCACGTGCCCCCCCCCAAAAAAAAATCAAAGATCGGTTGAACTGTTTTGGACCCATCCCCAGGACGTCGATCTATATGTATGTGCCCCCCCCCCCCACAAACATCGAAGTCTGGCTACGGCCCTAGTAGTAGCAAACGCAAATATGGGATTAAAAAGGGATCTGAAAATGCTCTAATATGCTTGCGTGTACATATTATACTCGAGAAAAGCTAAGTAAGCCAATCTATAAAGTACTTATTATCCCTATATGGATACTCCCTTATGGCATTTCTCACTTTCTACCCTCTATTGGCAACCTATACCATGCTACCAGTAGAGACCTGGTAATCATATTGTAACCCAGTGCGTAATATACAACTATACGGAGCCCCGGAAGTGACATGGAGAAATTTTTTTTTTCTCGTTTTCCTGAGATAAATTCTCGTTTTCCTGAGATAATTTTTCGTTTTCCTGAGATAAATTCTCGTTTTCCTGAGATAATTTTTCGTTTTCCTGAGATATAATTCTCGTTTTCCTGAGATAAATTCTCGTTTTCCTGAGATAATTTTTCGTTTTCCTGAGATAATTCCCGTTTTCCTGAGATAAATTCTCGTTTTCCTGAGATAAATTCTCGTTTTCCTGAGATAATTTTTCGTTTTCCTGAGATAAATTCTCGTTTTCCTGAGATAATATTTCGTTTTCCTGAGATAATTCCCGTTTTCCTGAGATAAATTCTCGTTTTCCTGAGATAAATTCTCGTTTTCCTGAGATAATTTTTCGTTTTCCTGAGATAAATTCTCGTTTTCCTGAGATAATATTTCGTTTTCCTGAGATAATTCCCGTTTTCCTGAGATAAATTCTCGTTTTCCTGAGATAATTTTTCGTTTTCCTGAGATAATATTTCGTTTTCCTGAGATAAATTCTCGTTTTCCTGAGATAATATTTCGTTTTCCTGAGATAATTCCCGTTTTCCTGAGATAATATTTCGTTTTCCTGAGATAAATTCTCGTTTTCCTGAGATAATATTTCGTTTTCCTGAGATAAATTCTCGTTTTCCTGAGATAATATTTCGTTTTCCTGAGATAAATTCTCGTTTTCCTGAGATAATATTTCGTTTTCCTGAGATAAATTCTCGTTTTCCTGAGATAATATTTCGTTTTCCTGAGATAATTTCCGTTGTAAAATGAACAGTTAAAATGAATTAAAAAAATACAATTTTCTTCTAATTTTATAACGTTTTGGCATCTGAATGCCCCCCCCCCCCCCCTGAGTACGATGTCATATATATTTACTGTAAATTGCGAGCGAGCGAAGAGCGCAATTAACAAATAAAAGACACTAGTCTTACTCGTACAAATTTAGGTACAATACCAATTTGGATGATAAATCTATCTTGATTCAAGAACACTTTATTAACAGACTGCCCGATTACTATAGGGGACAGCCCACGAGGCCGACGGCCGTCAGCCTAGGGCCTAAATCCAGTTTTAGGGGGGTATTCAGCAGGCGCGGATCCAGGATTTCTTAGGGGGGGCCAAATTTGAAAATGGTGCAGGGAGGGTGCAGGGAGGGGCGATTTTTCCCCTCCCTCCTCCGCGAAACGCGGAGGCTTTGACGTTTCATTAAATTATTAGAGAAAAAAGACGATTCGTTGTACCGTTTTCGAAAATAATTCTCGTCTGAATTTAGTTTTCCCCCTCCCGCGCGAAGCGCGGAAAATTTTACGATTTATTAAATTATTAGAGAAAGAAGACGATTCGTTGTCGAGTTCTCGACTCTTTATCCTCGTCTGAATTTAGGTTCCCCCCTCCCGTGCGAAGCGCGGAAGCTTTTAAATTTCCTTAAATCATTAGAGAAAGAAGACGATTCGTTGTTGAGTTCTCGACTCTTAATCCTCGTCTGAATTTAGGTTCCCCCCTCCCGTGCGAAGCGCGGAAGCTTTTAAATTTCCTTAAATCATTAGAGAAAGAAGACGATTCGTTGTTGAGTTCTCGACTCTTAATCCTCGTCTGAATTTAGGTTCCCCCCTCCCGTGCGAAGCGCGGAAGCTTTTAAATTTCCTTAAATCATTAGAGAAAGAAGACGATTCGTTGTACCGTTTTCGAAAATTATTTTCGAAAATAATCTGCCCCCTGGATTTCACCTAGGGCCCTACGGCGGGCCCTTAGATGCTCATCTGACGGTAATTTAATGCCTAAAACCCCTGATATTTTGGGGCTCCGCCCCCTGGACCCCACGCCAAATAGTGACGTGCCAGTCTCACAAAATAATAAGGTATACAAAAAAATGCTCATCTGACCTTAATTAAACGCCTAAAACCCCTGAGCTTCCGGGGCCGGCTCCGCCGCCTCGACCCCCCCCCCAGGGGCCCTTAGACGGCCCCTGATTCAGACAAGGATTAAGAGTATAGAGAACGATACAACGCATCGTCTTCTTTCTCTAATAATATAATGAAACGTCAAAGCTTCGCACTGGAGGGGAGGGGGGGGACTGAATTCAGACAAGGATTAAGAATCGAGAACGGTACAACGAATCGTCTTCTTTCTCTCATAATCTTATGAAACGTCAAAGCTTACGCGCTTCGCGCGGGAGGGGGGGAACCTGAATTCAGACGAGGATTCAGAGGCGAGAACGGTAATGCGAATCTTTAATGATTTAATGAAAGGTAAAAGCTTCCGCGCTTCGCGCGGGATGGAGGGGGAACTAAATTCCGATGAGGATTATTTTCGAGAACGGTACAACGAATCGTCTATTTTCTCTAATGATTTAATGAAACGTAAAAGCGTCCGCGCTTCGCGCGGGAGGAGGGGGTTGGGGGAGAATCTAAATTCAGACGAGGATTATTTTCGAAAACGGTACAATTAACGAATCGTCTCCTTTCTCTAATAATTTAATAAATCGTAAAAGCTTCCGCGCTTCGCGCGGGAGGGGGAAAACTAAATTTAGACGAGAATTATTTTCGAAAACGGTACAACGAATCGTCTTTTTTCTCTAATAATTTAATGAAACGTCAAAGCTTCCGCGTTTCGCGGAGGAGGGAGGGGAAAATCGCCCCTCCCTGCACCGACCCCCCCCCCCCCCCGGCATTACGTCACTGTTGGTCACCATTACGTACCAATATTTGGCTCGCAAAATTTCAAATTTGGGCCCCCCCCCCCTAAGAAATCCTGGATCCGCGCCTGCTGAATACCCCCCTAAAACTGGATTTAGGCCCTAGGCTGACGGCCGTCGGCCTCGTGGGCTGTCCCCTATTGTAATCGGGCAGTCTGTTAATAAAGTGTTCTTGAATCAAGATAGATTTATCATCCAAATTGGTATTGTACCTAAATTTGTACGAGTAAGACTAGTGTCTTTTATTTGTTAATTGCGCTCTTCGCTCGCTCGCAATTTACAGTATATGACATCGTACTCAGGGGGGGGGGGGGGGCATTCAGATGCCAAAACGTTATAAAATTAGAAGAAAATTGTATTGTAACTGTTCATTTTACAACGGAAATTTTCTCAAGAAAACGAAATATTATCTCAGGAAAACGAGAATTTATCTCAGGAAAACGAAATATTATCTCAGGAAAACGAGAATTTATCTCAGGAAAACGAAATATTATCTCAGGAAAACGAGAATTTATCTCAGGAAAACGAAATATTATCTCAGGAAAACGAGAATTTATCTCAGGAAAACGGGAATTATCTCAGGAAAACGAAATATTATCTCAGGAAAACGAGAATTTATCTCAGGAAAACGGGAATTATCTCAGGAAAACGAAAAATTATCTCAGGAAAACGAGAATTTATCTCAGGAAAACGAGAATTTATCTCAGGAAAACGAAATATTATCTCAGGAAAACGAGAATTTATCTCAGGAAAACGGGAATTATCTCAGGAAAACGAAATATTATCTCAGGAAAACGAGAATTTATCTCAGGAAAACGGGAATTATCTCAGGAAAACGAAAAATTATCTCAGGAAAACGAGAATTTATCTCAGGAAAACGAGAATTTATCTCAGGAAAACGAAATATTATCTCAGGAAAACGAAATATTATCTCAGGAAAACGAGAATTTATCTCAGGAAAACGGGAATTATCTCAGGAAAACGAAATATTATCTCAGGAAAACGAGAATTTATCTCAGGAAAACGAAAAATTATCTCAGGAAAACGAGAATTTATCTCAGGAAAACGGGAATTATCTCAGGAAAACGAAATATTATCTCAGGAAAACGAGAATTTATCTCAGGAAAACGAAAAATTATCTCAGGAAAACGAGAATTTATCTCAGGAAAACGAGAATTTATCTCAGGAAAACGGGAATTATCTCAGGAAAACGAAAAATTATCTCAGGAAAACGAGAATTTATCTCAGGAAAACGAGAATTTATCTCAGGAAAACGGGAATTATCTCAGGAAAACGAAAAATTATCTCAGGAAAACGAGAATTTATCTCAGGAAAACGAGAATTTATCTCAGGAAAACGGGAATTATCTCAGGAAAACGAAAAATTATCTCAGGAAAACGAGAATTTATCTCAGGAAAACGAGAAAATTTTTTTTTTCTCCATGTCACTTCCGGGGCTCCGTAACTATGTCCATCAAGGAGTGCAAACTAAATTTCGTTTTGTTTGAAAAAAATCAAATAGGCAGCGGACCTACATTTTGGAACCTTAAAAACAAAGTTGTGGAAAACCAAGCTGGGGCCATAAAATGATGAACAGTTCCGGGAACCTGATGACACATGATCAGTGACGCTTTTGTCGTATAATGAGGGTTGATCTCATTGAAAGCGGTAAAGCCTTTGAATGTTTCAATATTATTGTTTCGGCGCTTTTATCCTCCGCGCGCTTTTTAGTAATGAAGGACAAAAGCGCCGCGACATACAATAAGGTATATGACTTTTGTATTTGAAAGAATAACTGCTTTTTATTTGTGCACAGATTAAAAGAAAGTGACATCTATACAAAAAACAAACATTATTAGACAGGTTAAGGATGGAACCTAATTATAGTGCTTTCGAATACTTGAAAAGAACACGTTCAAGTAGTCTCCCCTCCCCCCCCCCCCTCTCTCTCTCTCTCTCTCTCTCTTTACCCCCTCCATCTCCCTTTAATATCACACAAATTCTGCCATTTCTAGTTGAAATTCATGCGGGTGATATTAGGGCTTTTGCTACTCTATTACTATGAGGAATTTAAAATATTTTAGAGAGGGGTCTAGCTAAATATATTTTTTCACATAGGAAATAAAGCAAATATGTTAAGAAATATTTTTGAATGAAGGAAAAAGATTCAGTATTGAACATTGACCATAATCTGTAGTTAACTACTCAACTCTGCAATATAAACACGGAAAATGAATTTCGACTGAGCAGTTTTAATTCAAACATTTGGAACCAGAACAGCAAGTGGCAAATAGAGCATAAATTCAAAAATATTAAATAATTCATACCAAACATATCATCATCAATTATCATCAATACTGTATTGCATTTTGAAATGTACATCTAGGGTTTTTCGAAAAGACTCATCAGGTATACATCCACGGAATACAAAGGTTATTTCATTCATTATACAGTACTTGTAAATATGCTAAAATGTCTTTATCTAATTCGTTATACATGTCCTGGTTATCATGTTTGTTCAGCAATCGTAGGGAGGAAATGCCACATGTGACATACAAAATGCTTGACATACATGTACTACATGTATCATGAAGTTTTTCAATAGGAAAAATGACTAATATAATCATCATCGTTACTTTTTTTGTTCATCTCTGTTTTTCATAAATATCTTGTGAGTAGAGTATCAGAACCAAGTCAGTTTACACAATCTCTTTCTAGGATATTTCAATAAAATTTAGTACACAGTCTCAAACGCTACAAAGTTTACCAAACACCTTTACGACCATTCAGTTCATTGTTTAAGAAATCATGGAAAATGTTACCAGTTTGCTTTAAATCAATTCATTGATTTTAAATGGATCTATTTCATTGCAATTACTACACACAATTACAATTATGAGTGGAGTTTGCTTTATTTATGATATTCAAAATGTCTAAAATCAAACAGTATAAAAGAGAGATTGAGGTATTGAAACATTGAAGCATTGCCAAAACGATCAATGTAATTGATTCTAGTTTCTCAAGCATGCTCTTCAACACAAGTTCTTCAAGTTTCTTCACACGTATGTCATCCAAGCGATAGTGGTTGAAGCAGCGAAGATTCTTGATCTAGACTGCTTGAAAGCAAAAGGAAATAAGAGAAAGAAATATCATAATTAAAAAAGTCCAAGTAAAAATCAATAGAAAACCATTATCAGAATTTCAATTATGAAAGGGAAACTTTACAGTGCATTATGATTGGGCGAAATTATTGTGTGTAGTTTTGGTACCCACTTTTAGAGAGTCTCTTAATAAATTAAATACTTTATGTGGTATCACCTTAGTATTGACATTTGTTGTTAAGGATTAAAAAAAAAAACTTAGATGCTGACCTCGATAGGGCCACTCATTCCCTTAACTAAGGGACCTAAGCATTAAAAAACAATTAAGAATATCTTAAATTTTAACTATTGGGAGACAATCAAGAAGGAAAGAAGATACCTTTTGACTCGCTCAGAAGCATAGACAATGGTTCATCATCAGAATCGCAATCGGAGCCGTCAGGAGACTTTAAGGGTCACCATGCCAAGTCACACATGCAGCTCTGACTGTGTTCAGTGAATTGCTTCAACAGTGTTCGGTGAATTGCTTCAACGGTTCCGTACCGCTCCCACTCTTAGGTCACTATGCCAAGTCACATCTGCAGCTCTGTGTTCAGTGAATTATCAAGGACCCATCTTCCCAGCATGTCGGTCCCTGTATCCAATCTAATTTTGTAGAATGAAAGAAATAATTACAAGTTATTTTCTTTCATTTTTTTGCAAGCAGAGGTAAGAAAATGAATCCAATATTATCTTTTGTACATCAAATTAATTACTAGGCATAACTGACCCCAAACAGAAGTTTTCAATTGCCCCTATTACCCCAAAATAGAATTTTCCAATTGCCTCTACCAGACAACAACCACCCCAATGCACATACGCAGTGAGTGTGCTTAGTACTTTGCTGCTGAAGTGTGATTTTCCTGAACAGATCATGAAACTATTCTCACCTGGATTTGTTTCTGGCCTGTGGCATTTTTGAAAAGTAGATGTACTTTCCCAGTGCTTCCTTCATATAAGTGCAAATTGTATCTACTGCATCTGCAACTAAGTGAAAGCAAAAACATCATCATAATTTCATTACCACTGAGACTGGTAGTGAAACATGTACATCATCTAGTATGGTGCTTGCTTGGAAAATTCTTTAAAATATGAAGTGGAGTTGGGCAACATTTGCTGGTATCAAGAACAATTGTTTACAAGAATTTTTGTATAGGGTGAGGGACCAAGGGTCCTAAAGTGCTGCCTTTGGATATTACAGACACAGAGTACAGATAATGAGAGAAACTAAGCTAAATATGTGGAAATTGTTCCCCAAAAGGTAGACTACTCATGATTACTTAGTCTCAAACCAAAAGTATTCCTTTTTCGGATGGTGCCATTTATTCATTTTCAGGGCAGGACTATCTAATTTTCAATTTTTAATTAAATGTTCATTCATGTCCTTCTTTGCTTGACAGACACCCCCTGCGTTTTTGTTCCTGTTAGTTGAACTTAAGACTGCTTTCTTTTTGATTTTGCAAAAATTATGCACCAAATCAAGCAATTTATGCATCAAATTAAAAAAAAATCTATAAACTGAGTGGGGCACATCCCCCCTCAGACACCCCTGCGTTCTTGTCCTGTTAGCTGAACTTAAGACTGTTTTCTTTTTTCTTTTGCAAAAAGTATGCACCAAAGGCAAAGCGAGCCATTTATGCCCTCAGACACCCCCTGCGTGGCGTGGCGCGCCGCCCCTGCTATCAAATACTTTCAAAACACATACATAAACACACAAATGTATGCATAAATTAAATGTATTAATCCCAGATGCATATAAGAAGCTGTATTGTAAAAAAACCTTCGCTCATGTTGTTGTTTGTCTGTGTTACTGTTAACAGCGTTGTGGTGTTAGCGTTTGTTGTTAATTACAAAAAATCTATGATAAGTTGATATTAAACCCAATCTTACCATAAAAGAATTTCTTACATTTCAATGAATTTTATTGCCATACCGGTACATTACCTATCAAATACTGTCAAAACACATACATAAAAAACAAATTTATAGGCCTACATTAATCCCAGAATGGGCCAGATGCAAATAAGTAGCTTCGCTCATGTTGTTTTTTGTGTGTCTGTCTGTATTTGGGGTGTGTTGTTTACAAAAAAAACGCCGGTGCGAGTGGGCGGTTGTACGGCCAGTACATGCAGAGCAGGCGCAGGCCGCAGCAGCGCTAACTTCCGAATGAATAATTCAATAGTCTAGAGTTGAAATGTAGCTGTTTGAAAATTTAACTTTTACCAACTTTTCACTGTGAGAACACTTTCTTTCATTACAAATACAGAAAATATGGTTGTATTCAAGTTTATTTTACCTGAATTCAAGCATTCATCCGTAAGCTCCGTCACTAGAACTAAGCCAGTCGAGTCAGAACGAGCGATGAGGTAGTAGACCTACTACGTAAGCCGGTGGAAACTTAGATGCAAATATCCTCAAAAATATGCAGTTACGAGGAAAATTTTCAATATTTAGTGATAACAAAGTAATAACATAGTACTGAGATGCAAGGAACTAAAAATGGCTTGACTTTGAACTTGTAAAATACATCAAATTAAAACAACAAATTAGGGGGCGAGATGACCAAAAAAGTGGGGGCGAGCTGACCAAGAATCCCAAAATCGGCACAAAAAATCGGGAGGCGACATGACCAATTGAGGGCGACTTTGTAAGGGGGCGGGCTGACATTGGGCGACCTGACATGGAACCGTCTGATCGCGCACCCGATGTTGTGTGCTAAAATTCTTCCCATAGAGATTACACGCATCCCTATGCAGCCTACGTGCATTGCGCGACCATGCAAAAAAAGTCAATTTTTTTTTTTCAAATCGAGATTCAAACCTTTATCAGTTGTGATCCTGAAGGTGATAATCAATGAATGAGGTGTCATATGAAAGAGCAGGTGAATTCCAATATTTCCAAAGGGGCGTAGCCCCCGAAATTCTAAAAATATCTTGGTCAAAACAGCAATTTAAACATTGTGTCCTGGCTAACTCTGAGGTTTGTCACTTTTGAGATATGACGCCCCGATCGATAAGTAGTCCCAGTCCTAAGGAACAATTCTATGTGATTATATTTTCGCTAGCCCCCAGGGATCACAACTGATAACAGTTTAAAAATACCCTTCTCGCTATTTGGTGGATCAGCTAATTAGGGGGCGTGCGCTCCGCTCAGTCCAAACCATGGTTACATCGCGTAACATCTCCGCGCACGAACGAAACCCCAAATTCAATTACACATTATAGTGATTGAAATTATGGTTGGAAATTCCCTCGATAAACCCGGAAGTGAATACACGTTATAGTCAATGGCAATATCGCGGAGACAACGTGCGTTGTCTCCGCGATATTGCCATTGACTATAACGTGCATTCACTTCCGGGTTTATTGTGCGACGAACGCCAACCATACTAGTCAATCGCACATGTCGCGGAGACAGCGTAGCTCAAGCTGCAAGTCGCGGATTGGCTTAGCAGCATGCGTACGATATGCATACGCTTGCATATCGCGCGATACAGCTGTTTGGCTAAATTTAGCAAAACAACATCACTCTGTGTGGACGTCTTTTTCGACGATTTTGACCAAAATGATATGAATATACCAGCGTGTTGGAGGGGCTGTAACTTTTGATAGAAACATCGGTGAGACTTGAAATTTGAAATGTATTATTCTGATAACATTTTTTATTCAAATATCAAACAAAAATGGTGAAAAACGATCCCAAATTGAAATTTGAAAAATCGTTCAGACACCCTAGTAATATGCGGCGCGCGGCGAGCGCGAGGTGTCGAAGCAGCGGACGTCTGAATTGCTTGCCCATGCATCGGCCGAGCCGGACGTCATGGACATGGCCCGGCTGGTGGCCCGACCTTTTCTTCTTCTTCTTCAAGATAATCTGCCTCCTTCAATACTGAAGATTCTTGCAGATGCCGTAGGCCTATACTCGGCCTGATTGGGGTGTGCAGGTGGACCATTAGCCTACACCGGGGTTTCCCCCTAGGCCTACCCCTACTTTTATACGAATAGTGCAATGGGTTCTTAACGTGTAAGGGTGGTGACTCTCCTGTACACGGGGCCTCCATTTAACGTTCTATCCGAGGGAGGGAGTGTTTTCCACTTGACATAACCTGCGTCTATGAACAAGAGAAGGGGCACGTTAACCCACAACGCAGACTTCAGTCATCTGCCTGGGTGGGAGTCGAACCCTGGATCTTTGGTTCGACAGGCAGACGCTTTACCGACTGAGCCAACTCGCCTCTTCTTCTTCTTCCAAGAAAAGTGCTGCTTCTTGTACTTATCATTTCTAAATTTTCTATCATTTTTTAATGTCGTTTTTTTTATCATCGGACTATTATCTTCAATAAGTTTATTTGTATCTGTCTGTAATACGATTTTAATTTTGTACATGTCAGGGACCCCCCCCCCCCCCCCCCCCCTCTTGAGCTTCCGTGCGTTATCCTCTGTAAGCTGACTTAGTTTTTATCTGTTATTCTCTTATATTGTTGCATGTTGGAGGTTTGGCGAATAAAACCAATCAATCAATCAAGACGTCCACGGCATGAAGAGAAAAACTGACTGCCTTTATTTCTAAAAAAAAATTGGCAAGAAAAGAAAATGAATTGGTTATTGTAGTTAGGGCAGTAGTTTAGTGCAGTATTTGGCACTAGTGACTACTTTCTCAGGGCCAACAGGCGTGTCTCATTCTGTCTCATTAATTTGGGTTTCTCATTCCCACTCCAGACCATAGACTGTCACTGTAGTCTCTAGACTCTCTACACATAACTTTAGCATAACGTAACATAACATTAGCTCCCAAGATTTAATTATGCATTTCCATGGTTCCATCAATTTCATGAGTTTAGTTGTTTTGTACCACTCGCCGTAGAAGTAGAATGAATAGGAAGGTAATGAACTGGACGAGCAATGCATGAAACGCCCTTGACCAGCAGTCTGTAATAGCCACATCTGTTGAGAATTTCAGAAACACACTTTAGCATGCATCACCTGCCATACAAGTAAGCGACATGCGGAATACCGCCCTGCTGCCTCCAAATTCAGAAGGTTCAGGAGGTAAAGGTTAAAGATAAACTTGAGTTCTGGAAAAAAAAAGAGAATTCTCACAGAATCTAATGAAACTTACACTGAATGTTCAAGATTACAAATAAATGTCATGTGCCAAACAATTTTGGAAGAAAATGTATACTGGCTGAGTAATGAGCATAGAAAGATAAGGAAATCAGGGTAGTACTAGCCCCGACACCATGTGTGTTGTCCCATATACATGTTTCTGTGTAAGTGGTTGTTACTTTACCAAGACTCTGCCAAATTTATGATGATTTTGATGACTCCAGAACCTTGCATTACACACCATTACTTACATGCTATATGATCAACTTTTCTGATCCATTCCACACCTTTTCTTTCACAATGCAATCGCATTACCAGAACTCAAGTTTATCTTTAAGGATAAGGGATAAGATCTGCAGTCCATGGGTGCAATTGTGTTGACTTAACAGGATTACACAACAGTTTATCCCGTAAATACTATGCATTAGACACTTTGGGCTAATATTACATCGTACCCGAGTCCTGAGAAGAAGAAAAAAAAGTGTAACTAAGTTGAACAGTTATTCTTATTTCTTTTGATTAATTATACAGGTGGTGGTCTCGGTCTTGGAGTTGTCTTTTCAGTCTTCTTATTCAAGAGTAAGTACTTTCAGTGGAATCCTTTTCATTCATCATTTATCATTCAATTGGGGGCAGCGATGGGGGGGGGGGGGGGGGGGGGAGTGAGAACTGAGGGGCCACACAGAGGGACCATGGTAATAATTTCCCAAAACGCTGTTGTAGTGCATAGCCTACCTGGGCTGCGTTTCATGAAATAGACAACCCATTGAAACGTGTGTATTAAATGTAATATGCGTTTCGCTTATGATGTTGGTGAAAGTGACAGTGTGGTGAAAGGATGCCCCTTGTTTCCATAAATCTATATTTGATTGGAGCGTAATAAGAAATTTTTGATATTGCAAAAACATTACTAGGGCGATTCTGTGCCATATATTCTGTACGACATAAAACAATATTCATCTACTCTATAAGTTCATTCATATAAGAATATTCTCTTGACATGACGTTACAAATGATACCTCAAAGAAGCATTATTCAGTGGTATTATCAAGAGATTTTCATTTATGGATGAAATATGTTTTAATAAATTATGTCAATGTTGTACAGGAAAAATTGCATGGATTCCCCTTCATCGTTTTTTTATCCAATATCTTTTTTTGCAGGAAGACCATGGCCCATAGCCTTCGGGTCAGGAGCAGGACTTGGCATGGGTTACGCCAACTGTCAACATGAATTCAGAGATCCTTTCAGGGTCCGTGGCAAGATTGTAAAGGTAACATTATATTTTGGAAGCATTTAGAGATAGTGAGGTACTCAAAAAGAGGACTAAAGTATAGGGCTACTCTCAGTATGAACAGTGAATAACATTGCAATTTGTGAACAGAAATGACTCATACATGTATAACAATTAAATTGAAAGCCCAAGATTGTCTGTTGTATTTTTCTTTATATTTAATCAGACAACTCTATTTTCTTCTCATCAAATTCAGAAGTTATTTCAAAAGGGTCCTATCAGGTGAAGTTTTAAAACGAAATCTCAAATATGCTAAGATCTCATTTATTTTGCTAGGACTCATTATCTGAAGTAAATGCAAGGTGTTTTTGGGTAACATAGTATCATGATTTTGGATATGGTGTTTAAATTTGAAATATTAATTCTATGAAATACAAAGCATAATAGGGATATCATTAAGAATGAAAATTCACTTACTCAGGGTATAGGATAATATGATGAAACAAAAAAATTGTCACATTGAAACCTGTATATGAGTACAGCTCAAGGGAGACAGAAAAGGCCTTCTTTATACATGTAGGTAGGTGGTCTTGTCTTTACGTACAGGTTTCTTTAAAGGTAAAGACCAGTTTTGGAAACGCCCCCCTCTCAAAAAATGAAATGGAAGCTCTTATTACCAATCATGTGAAAGAATATGTTTTGACTAATACGTGATGATACAAATTTTGCCGGGAAACCGCCTACTAATCGATATATTTGGTAAATTATTATATCTATCTGGACTGGATAGATATCGTGCACGTGTCGCATAGTCCCATATACATCTTTCTGTGTACAGTGCTTGTAACTTTACTAAGACTGGGCCAAATTTCTTATCATTTTGATGATTCCAGAATCTTGCAGTACACACCAATACTTATATGCTAGATGATCAACCTTTTCTTATTGATTCCTCAACGTTTCTTTCACAATGCAATCGCATGACCAGAACTGGTCTTTACCTTTATTGAAGGTTTCAATTATCTTCAAGGGAAACAAAAAGTGTGGTCCTTTTAGACAAGTAGACTTTCCAGTTTAGATATTTCTGTGCTTATGTTTAGTAATGACTTTTATCATATATGTGTTTTTCTTTCATTGCCTCAGGTTCTCCCTGACATAGTAGCAGATATCCCTAAGGCAGTCGAAGTGCAGCCGAGCACAGAGGCATCATCGTCATAGCAACGCTAATATATTCATATGTTTTATTCAAATGGTGAAGATTGCCCCATGTGATATGCTATTCATCAATCCTTGTGACTTAATTCAAGTTACATGCTTGCAATGGAATGGCCTCTTTTGAAGTGCTAAGGAGAGTCTTTTTAACAGATGACAAAATGCAAAATGTCATAAGATTTGATCTAATCCGATATTCTGATGTAATCGAAATGGACCTTGTAGTCATGTTGGTATCAAACTTTGACATCTGTAGACCATAGCCTTGAAATACGATGATTGGTCAAGCATGAAAATAGTTTCACATCAGACTGAAGTCCAAATATTTTGTGTCTCTCCTTAAAAAAAGTTATGTGGCAATTGATACAGACAGAAAATAATATAAATTGTCTCCAAAAGCTGCTACGAGACTTCAGTTCATGTCAAAAAGTGTGTGGTTTTATCAGTTCATAATGTACTGCATGTTTATCAAGTAATCACTTTCTTCATGCTGTTTGATATTTGGATAATGGTCATGAGAGGGTGAAAAGCTACATGTGAATCTGACCTGATGACCGATTTAACATGAATGATATTGGACACTACTAAACACTGTAAGAAACAATGCATGGTCAAAATCTTTTGCCTGAGAGGGGTGAGAGCATTCGGTTGTCATAGGGAAAAGCAGTATGCTTCGTAATGTACCAATTAAGATGTATTCAAATATCTACAGTTTTTGTTAGAAATAACATTTCAAAAGATAACTGAGAACAATGTCAGCTGTAGGATTACATTTGATGATATTCTTACTTCACTATCTGTATGTTCGATGCAGACTCAATTCTTTGTGGTTCAGAAGGAAACAAAATTGGACTGTTGATACTTAGCAATTCTTCTTCTAAAGAAGGGCTAGCAGCTGCTTTCAAAGTAGTGGGCCAAATTTAATGAGGACAATAGCAAAACATGTTTCTGGTCCTCCTTTTTCATCAGCTTCTCAAACTTGATCTAATCTTCATTCTTGCAAAATTAATAGTGATGACACATCTTTAATGCACTCAGTATATACAAAGGTACGTTATGAATGTTATTTCATCTGTGAATTATATTGACATGGGTTGCTTTAAAAAGGCTAGCCCATATATCATGTATATAGCTGTCGTGAACAAGGTTTCAGTAATAAACTGAAACTTAAATAATAAAAAATGCAACAATTTATTCCTTTTTAGCGTGTAATAATTTGGTTACTAGGCATTTTCTTGTAATGTGTAAGGACATGTACATTATGTTACAAGAAAATGGGTAAATTTACCAATGCAATAGTTTTTTTCTATTTAGAAACAAAGGAGAGAAAGAGAGACAGAGAGAGAGAGAGAGAGAGAGAGAGAGAGAGAGAGAGAGGGAAAAAAAGGGGGGGGGGGGGGAGGGGGAGAAAGAGAAAAGGAAAGGATATATATATATATATATATATATGATTATATCTTGAGAGAAAGAGGAAAAGGTTAAGATTTCAGCTTGCGTGACAATTTTTGTAAGTTCAGAACCTTGCTATAATGTAGATCTTTTGCTTCTCCTTTTGTATCTCTTCAGGTTTCCCTCCACCTCTCTCTCTCTCTCTCTCTCAAGTTCTCTTTTTCTACTTTCACTTTGTCAATGCATGCACTCTCTTCCTATGTCCCCCTCTCCCATTCTCTCCTTTTCTATCTCTTTCTTTCTCACTGGATATCCCTTCATTTCTCATCCTCTCACATTTTATGCACCCCCTCTCCTCTCTCTCTCTCTCTCTCTCTCTCTCTCTCTCTCTCTCTCTCTCTCTCTCTCTTTCGACTCTCTTTCTCTGCCGTCCCTTTCAAACAAGATAAAGTTATATCACTTTACAAATTGAATATGAACAGTGGTCCAGGGTCATGTCACTTCGAAGGGGGGGGGGGGGTTATATTTAATTGATTTCTTAATGTCGATAAGTTCATTTTTCCTTCTTTTCCTAGCCCCAAACTCGGGAGGGTGAACGTCAAACTTGTGTGAGGTATGGGAATTACCCATTGTCTCTATCAATAAGGTGACTAAATTTGCAAAAGAGTAGAAAATAAGATTTACTGATTTTCAAGAGGTACCTCTTGGAATCGCAACTTCTAGAATTATTTAAATGTATGTCTTAATTTTGGTTCCTTCTCTCTTCTCACCACACAGATCACAAGACCAAACATTCACACCCAATGTATGCTCCATAATGTACAAGTCCAAAATAAGCTAGACGAATATATGGATTCTTATTTCTGACTTTTTAATGCAAAAGTGCAAAACCTTATTGACATCATAATTTGCTTCTCCATACTTTCAACGCTTAGAAAATATCATATATGAAAAGGATTAATATTTATTTAATAGAATACACATTTTGACAGCTAATTACACGCCATTTATATGGAATTTCAGTCACCGAAATTCCAGTCTTGAACAAGAATACGTAATGTAATTAAATATTTGAAGTCCGTCAATATGTTCTCAAGAAATACAAATACGATGGCAATGGTATACTGAATAACTAGCTTTCAGGAAAACTACATCACTTAAATAGGGTAAATAATTTTATGATTCGAATATAAATAGATGTATGAAGAGATGTAAAAACGTATAAGCTAATTTTGGTTCACATGAAATTAAATATGCAAGTCATTATTCATTAAAACCCTGAAAAATATTCACATCATCAACAGCACAACAAACAAGTACACTAGAGGCGCATCCAGTGGGCGTAGGGCGAACGCCCGCTCTATTCGGGGGGGGGGGGGGGGATAATATGCAGGAATTTAGTTACAAGGATCGAGCCCCCTCTATAATAAAAATCTTGGATCTGCAACTTGGGTGAATACATTTTAATATATAGAAAACAAGTAACAACGAACGAAATATACATGTAAATTTGCGGCAAGACTAATCCTGAAAGAGCCTAGGGTTAACGTAACGCCCGTTGAACACGATGCGCCGTTTCCCACGACGCAGGACTGCGTCATCGACTGACGCCGCTTTTGACGCGCCTTCGGAAGTTGGCATCATTAACAAGGTAAATGCAACACAAACACATGAGCCAATTGACTTTGTGAGCTTAATTAGCGCAAATAGCGAATAACGCAACGCAACCGAAATAGCGTCTCATGCGCACTGGGGGATGTTTCACAAAACTTGTCATCAGTGTCAAATGACAGTTGTTGTTATAAGCTACTGAAATCCTTGCTTCTGATTGGTTAACAGCAGATTTGTCACTGATAATTGTCATTGAAAAAAGACTTTGTGAAACGGGTCTCTGATCTTGAAAAAAAAACATAAATCAATACAGAAAGTTACTTTACTGCCCTGGCTAGTGTTCATATAATCATATGTACAGAACACCAATTTTGTATTGACGAATTATGTATCACCTATAGAAAATAAATGCACATACAGCATAGACATATTTAATAGTTACACAAAACACAGTTGATATTGAATTGAACTTGGAAATGAGAGAGATGATACACATATTTGCGATGTCATTGAATACGGTATACATGTCTTTCATAAACATGATTAGATACAGTTTAAAAACTGAGAAGCAAACTATATACCAGGAAAGTTTTGCTAATCAAAATTGCTTTGTTTCTAAAACTAAATCTAAAATAGATGACACAGATAATAAAACATAAAATTATAAACAAATACACTCTATTTCAAGGCGACCTCAAATACAGCACTCACTCTAAACTACCAACGTAACGTTTCGCTAATGAATGTTTTAATACTCATATTCAAATAACGAAACCTGTAAATGTTTCCAAAATCGCTGCATCCATCCTTCAGAAGTCAGAACCTGAAAGATAAACATTTTGCTCATGCCACATAAAAAGAAGCCGAGTCTTTTTGGGCGAAGCATCTTTGTTTCACTAAACCAATGCATGATAAAATTTGGTATGTTGAAACGCATACTGATTGGCTAAAATGTCCTAAAATGTAATATGACTGCATCAGGGAGAACATGCATCATGGGGGACCAATGGTCACCGATTAGGCATTGTTTGTTGTATAGAGGGCGCAAGTAGCTTCAAGTAGTGCAGTGGGCCTTTAAAGGTAATACAAAGTTTTGGTATGGGGTCATGAATTTGGTTCAAATGAACATATTGGAAGCACATACGATCCTACAATATTCAGTGATCGTTGTCGCGGTCGAAATCGACTCTAAAGTTATGAAATTGCAAAAAATAAACACTTTATGTTGAATAGCTCCCTCTCAAGGTCGAGATATTAATCAAGCTATGAAACAATGTTTATTGACTAAAGTCTACCGATTAGCTATTCACGTTCGGAAATTATATACCACAACTACATACTCTGAGATTTTCATGGTTGCAGCTACCATTGTACGGCCGTAGGAGCTATTTGAAATTTATCAACATTTACCGGGAGCACCGGTAAATCTTTATATTCAATTTTTCTCGAAAGCAGAAGTCTTTTAGGGGCTAAAATTTTTGATGTTTTTGATACATCCACAGGGGCATCCAAATATATTAAAATGGTAAAGAATCACTACCCACCCATTTTTCAAAATTTCCCAAAACTTTGTAATACCTTTAATACTGATAAGGTTACCCTGGTGAAAAAGACATATTATTATCATTATTACTATTATAATTATCGTTATTCTTATTATGATTATTAGTATGATTATTATCATCATTATTATTATTATTATCGGGTATAATTTGATAATTCATATGTCATACATTAACAGGTCAAGAAGCACTATTCTAATATATGGGGGAGGGAAGGGGTCCGAGCGACTGTGCGACACATTTTAAAGGAACTATAGGCCAATATTGCGAATTTGTTATACAAGAGCAAAAAAAAAGAAGAAAAGAACAAGAACAAATTCTAGGTGGAGGGGAGGATGGGTGAGAGGGCTATGGGAATTTTGACAGACCTTGTAATATACTTATTTGATTCTTTGCTTCCGCATTGTTGACGTTAATTCACATGGTTTATCGACTCTCTTTTGGTTGTTGGACAATATTCGGCAAACTCGTCAGCGGAATAATTCCCCCCCCCCCCATACCCCATTTTCAAACTTTCTATATAGGTACGCCCCCAATACGCAATAGTTTGCAAACGAAAACAAGAAACACATCTGACACTCTTGAATGAACCGGTCGCGCAGATTCAAGGATAATACGAAAAATTACTCATTCCTTTTTTTATGAAATAACAAGGTGAATAATTTACGACCGCCGTGGGAGGTGACATCGACATTTATTTTGCTGCTACCAAAGAGATATATGTGTTCAAGATGGCGAATTTGACTTCGCCAACTTCCCCACAAGAGGTCATGACACGCGAGCAAAGTCATCGAAAAAATGAATTATGTCATACCTGAAAACAAACGGTCTCATAATGTATGATAGTGACGTTGGGAATATATACAGCATAACCATTAAACCACTATAGAACATAATTAAGCTTTATGGAGAAGCCAACCATGCATGAATGGAATTCCCCGATATGAAATTCAATGTGTTTTAAATGTTAATGTGTACAAGTGCTTCACTGGCGCATTTTTTTGCGGGGGGGGGGGGGGGGAGTTGGTGGGCTGATTATGTAGGCAACTTTCTAGCGAAAAAAAATGTTGTTTATTGATAATAATGATTGGCGTTTGGGACATTTGTGTTCAAAGGCTTGATTAGGCAAGCATCTACTTAATTGGCGCAAGTAATCACCAGTGGATATGACACATCGTGCGAAACGGGCATATAATTGCTAAATTATAATCGTGCGATCATCTCAATCTTCCTGATATAGAACGAGCCCATTTTTGCTGCTGTTTATCAACAAAAAAGAAAAAGATATATATAACGGCTGGTCATCTAAAACACTTCATTGGCGAGAAATGAATGCATATGCACTGTTTACCAACACAAACAAAAGATATATATAGCAACTGGCTATCTACAACTCTACATTGGCAAGAAGTGAATGCAAAATGCACTGTTTACCAACAAAAACATTATATATAGCAACTGGCTATCTACAACTCTACGTTGGCAAGAAGTGAATGCAAATTCACTGTTTATCAACAGAAACAAAAGATATATATAGCAACTGGCTATATACAACTCTACATTGGCAAGAAGTGAATACAAAATGCACTGTTTATCAACAAAAATAAGAGATATATATGACAGCAACTGGCTATCTACAATACTACATGGCAGGAAATGAGGCGAAAATTAATTAGCAAACAATACCTGGCGCATCAATGGGCTAAATGCCCATAGGCTTCATTATAGCGCATGTAATTAAACGCAATCGAAACAACGCCTCGTGTGCAAATGTCATACTCTGTAGGCCTATAGGAGTTTCTTTTACGCTAATTATCGTCAACTGCAAATCTTTCAAGGAATGCTCAAAATATAGTCATCCTCCGGTTGTTAAGTCTGCTGTTGTTCTTCTGCTCCCCATTATCAAAACTCAACCGCTGGACTCTGAAGCTCTCTTTCAGTTTTCCGAACGCGTCGATCTCGTATGCGACAGGGCGCTGGAAGACGCTCTGCTTCCGACGGCGAGAGTGCGGGGTCGAATCGCTCACCGTACGGACACCGCGATGACTGCCTGCACCTCGAGGACTGCGTGCGTTATTGATCTCATCCCGCGTGCCTCTTACGTTAGGGATGTTGATTGCGTCGCTGAAGCGCGATTCCAAAATGGCGATGCTCGCCTTCAACGACTTCTCGTCCTCCTGCTCGCCCTTGACCTCGATGTCGTCTTCGCTGGTGCTACTGGTCTCTGATGTCGACGGTGACTCGGGTGTCTCGCGGAGCATCTCCGCATACTGTGAGCTCGTGGTGTGCATGAAGGCAGTGATTCGGTTGTCGAGTACGGAGGGACGACGTTGACGAAGAAGACGACTCGGTGGTCGACAGACCTGAAGAGAAAATTAGGAGAAAGTAAGATTGAATGACAAAGCTTTCATCACGAATCTAAAGAGATCAGTACCTGGCTTGCCCGGGGATCTTGTCATTTTTTTTTTTAACCCTGTTCACACTCAGAAGAAAATGCGCTAATGAGACAATCACATGTCCATAATTGTAATATTTATACGAAGGGACCTCAATTAACCCTATACAGAAAATATGATCATGTCTCATAAAAATGTACAGGGACCCATTCACATCATTGATAAAGTTAATATGAAGAGACCCCAATTCATAAAATAAAGATAATACAACTGCAATTGCACACCACTTTTTTGTATAAAAAAGGGACCATAATTCATACTCTAAAGAAAGGACAATCGTGTACATATGCCAGATGAAGTGAATTATATAGTTACACCATTGTGCTATTGTAGCTACGTCACAGTCATAACAAGTGACGATCACAGTTTCATAAAATGAATATGAAGCTAAACTCAGCAATGCTCTTATTTGCAGTGCATAAACTGTAACTTCCCTTTGATTTTATTTGTTTATTTTTGTTTTATACTCACTGTCACACACTACAAACACAAATGCACTTTTTTTGCGCTCAGATAAAACCTTTCTTTTGTATACCAAGATGTGATTTAATTTATTTGGAACATTGTTTTCAATGAATAATGATATTATGGGTAATAAGGTTTTGAAAATAAATATTATACGATTGAGGAGATTAGTTTTACTAATACTTCTCAAGGAAACAATAACAATAACAATAATGATGATAATGATACCCTACACTCAAATTTTAGCTTATTACATCATTATGAATATTAGGAGCCTCCCAACATATTTTGACATTTTAAAAACATTTTTGTCATCAATGGATGCGTTTTCATTATCTATAATAGTTATTGCATATATATTGGTTGCCAGAGGCGGCGGAGCGACTTCCAAAGTGTGGGGGGGGGGGGGGGGGGGCACCAACAAAAAAGGGCACCTTCACAGGGAAAATAAAGAATTTTTTAGACATTGGTATACACCCCTATATTGTGATTACATTATCGGGGATGATTCCAATATTTGTTTCTCTTTATACATCATATAAGATATTGCTTAAGTATCATACTTTGCAGTTGGGTGTGATGATCTAAAAATTCATTTGCGAGCGAGGAAAATTGTTAAGATTTGTGAGGTCGCAGTGCGATAATTTACATCTTATAAAGAGGAAAATCCAATCCTGATGGGGTTATAAGCACATTCTCATAACGGAAGACTGAACAGATCTTTGATAACTTGACATAATTATAACATCTATATCTACGAGCGAGCGTAGAGAGCGAGCTTTGGGGGAAATTGCTTTTAGTCGCTTGAAATTAAGGGCACGTTTAATGATGAGAGGAAAAAGGGACGCTTATCGAAAGGGTTAAGACAATTATTAGAAAAGAAAAGGAGCACGTGTCAAAGTACAAAGGCTAATTATCAGAGGTGAAAACGAGGCACGTGTCGACGGAAAAGAGGCACCCATCAGATTTTTATAGGGGGCATTTTTAAGTGGTGAAAAGGGGCAATTATGAAAAAGGGATAGGTTCTTTATTAGAAAGGAAATTGGGCACATATCATTGTTAAAAAGGTGATGAGAAGGGGAAGTTGCTCTTATAAAAAAAAAAGAGGCCCATGTTAAAATAAACGGGGCACTTATCAAAGACGAAAATTGGTAATTTTGAGAAGGGGAAGGGGCACTTATAAGGAAACATAGCATTTATTAGGAAGTAAAACGAGTATCTCTCATAATTGAATACGGTCATTTACAAGAGATGAAAAGGGGCACTTATGAGAATGAAAAGGAACTATTTTCATAGATGAAAAGGGTCATTTATGAGAAGGGAAAGGGGCTCTTTTTTAAATGGGGGCACTTATCATAAGAAAAAGGGGCACTTATTAAAAAGGAAAGGGGGCACATGTGAAAATATAAGGTGCGCTTATCCAAGTTAAAAAGGGGGTAGTTATTAAAAGGGGAAGGGGCACTTTTTACAAAGGAAAAGGGAAACTTGTCAAAGCAAAAGGGGAACCTCTCAGATTTGAATAGGGCAATTATCGGAGGTGAAGGGGGCGCTTCTCGTACCTAAAAAGGGGAACTTACTAGAGATTAAAAAAGGCACTTATGAGAATGGAAAATGGAAACTCATTGCAAAGGACAATGGGAACTTGTCGAAGGAAAAGGGGTACGTATCAAAATAAAAGGGGCACTTATCAGAGGTGGAAAGGGGAAGGGGCACTTTTAAAAATTAATAGGGGCACTTTTCAAAGTAAAAAGGGCACTTTTAGGGTACTTGAAAAAGTGGGAGGACACTGTGCCCCCTGCCCCCCCCCCCCCTCGGGAGCTCCACCTATGTTGATTGCACTCACTTTCTCCACCATTATTTAGTATTGATAAGTATACTTTGATTCGTGATGATCGTAAAGATTGTAGAGGGGGAGGAGTAGCTGCTTACATATATATTTTAGCAATTAACATAAGAAAAGATGTTCATATTGAAGGAGTTGAAAATGTATCCATTGAAGTATTTTAAATTAATGTAAAAAATAAAATTATAGGTATTATTTATTGACCGCCTAATAGTATAATTGATATGAATTTTTTAAAGATAGTTGATAATATATTCACCAACGAAATGAATAACAGGTCTAGTGGAATATTGTATTATGATATCTCATATCATTTGCCTATATTAGAATGTTCCAAATATAACAATGAAAAGGAAAAAGTTTGACCAAAATATTGAATCTCTTCAAATTAAGTTGAGCCAGAAAGAATGGCAACACATTTATAATGAATTGGACGTAAATAAATCTCATAAATAATTCATTGACAATCTCACTTTTTATTATAATAAATACACACCTCTTGTTCGGTCTAAATTGAATACAAAAAAAATAAACCTTAACGACCCTGGATTACTCATGGTATATCAAAATCAATATCTACTCGAAATTATGTTCAAAGAAATCATTACGACACCCCTCAAATGAAAATAATTAGAAATATAAACAATATCGTAATAAATTAACTTCTCTTATATGTTTATCCCGTAAACTATATTATTCGAATACAATTGATAGTAATGTGAATAACAGTAAGTTATTTATGGCATACTATAAACACAATTCTTGATCCTAAAAAGAATGTGCAAAATGATCATGAGATCGTTGATAATGGGCAAAATATACAAGACCCTGGCCAAGTTGCAAATGCTTTTATTGATTATTTTATAAATCTTGGTCTAGAATTAAAATCTCAGATACCACCTCCAAGACAACTCTATTCATAAATATGCAATATAATAATAAACAATCTTTGTTTCTGACCAACAATTATTTATGTCATTTTGGAAAATTACACAGTCATTAAAGTGTAGTGAATCAAGTGGCTATTTGTTTAAAAAGATTATTCATTTTTATTGCTTCCCCGTTGTGTTTTAATTATCCTTCACAAGTGGAATTTCTTTGTTACCGAATATATCTAAAATATTAGAAATAATTGTACATATAAGATTATACATGTATTCATTTTTGAATATTAATAATATATTTATACCTAACCAAGATGGATTCAGAAAAGATCACTCAACTGATTATGTTATTTTGCAATTATGTGATAAAATTACTAATTTATTCGCTAGGAAAGAACACATCGTAGGAATTTCGATTTTCGAATTTTCGAATTTTCGATTATCGAATTTCGATATTGTAGGAATATTGATTTATAAATCAGAAGCGTATGGAATTAGACGCACCGTTCTTTCTAAATAATAGACGACAATTCATCGATTTTAAATGTAATTCGTCGTTAACTATATTAGGTCCCTTGCTCTTTTTTATTTATATTAATTACAATGTAAACACATCACCACTTTTAACATGCATTTCATTTGCAGATGACACTTATATATCTTATTCACATACAAATTTAGATGCTCTCATTGAAACTTTGAATTATGAATTAAGCAAATTATCTATTTGGTTTAGATTTGATAAATTATCTTTAAATATAAGCAAAACCAACTTTATATATTTTAGGATTTTGCACTCTACACACGAACTTGCTTATAATATATGTATTGACAGGATTCCTATCGTACACAAATATTCTCTTAACATTCTAGGCGTAATAAAGTTCTAATTTGACATGGCATCCTCATATAAATAATACTTTGTACTCTCGTCTCTAGAGCTATAGGTATATTATATCAGTTGCAATATTTTATTTTTAAAAAGGACACCAATTACGGTACATAATCTTCATACTCCTTTATATATAATTCTGTAACATACCATGAAGCATTACGTATATGCGCTCAATCAGACATGCACATTTTCTAGCAAACACAGATTCTATATTTCATGAATTTAAAACCCTGAAAATAAATGATATTCACACACTGATGTATAATATTTCAATCAATATACTTCCTAAACCATTCCATACCTTATTTATATACAATACCGATATTCATTCGTACCCCACCCGTCGTTCATCTGACCTTCACCTTAATAATCCCAAACTTTTAATAGCCCATAGATCTATCACAATTCGTCCCTATTTTCACGAAGTGACGGTAGTGAGGAAAATCGTAACGCAAAGTGAATGTAATTTTTTTTCACTACCGTCACAGCGACGAATTATAAGACATCATGAACCAGACATTAGGAATAATTTAACCCGAAATATAAACGAATGCACATCCCTTTATTTTTTTGAAGCTAATATGAAAGAAATCTTATATTAAAATATTATACTAAGACTCCATCAAGGCCTGATCATTTTATTGTTCAAACTGTTTATTTCCGGTTCATTCCATTTTACATATCAGTCTTTATTGGTACAATATTGATATTGACCAATTTTATGGCGCGCAACTGTATACAGAAGTCGAATATGTGTGTTTTGCACCCGCACACGCTCGTTCATACATGCTATATGATCTTATACACTACGAAATTTGATCTTATACACTACTTGTACACTAGGAAAAAAACACACGCTTGCTCTTGCACATTTGCACTTACACCCACTTGCACCCACACAACACTCTTTGAAATATTTTTGTTTCTATTTTAAGTTTTACAATTAAAATTACGCATTTAGGTGACAATCTGAATGTTACCCAACGTCTATTTGACACCATTTGTAGCTTCTCCCTCCCCTCCCTCTCCCAGGCCACTATCCACTCTCCCTGCTCATGGTGGTCGGTCTACTGCATATATTTACATTTTTAATGATACTAGTTAAATTATTATCACATTTATATGTTAAGATTGTATAATTCTAATTTCATTGTTTTCTTATTTAAAATTTATTGAAAAAAAAAGATCTGTGTACATTTCATTTTGATTTTGTTAATTAAATGCAGAAACAAATCAAAATAAGCACTGGAGGATCATGGCATGTCTTCTTCGGGGGGGGGGGGGGGGGGATCCTATAGGTTGAGGCACAAAGGGTACCATTTAACCGTCTAATTGTTAGGCATTTCTGCTACCCCTGTGATTACGTTCGACCCTTACCTCGTCGGCCATCATCTTGACGACATCCCAGGCATAACTGACGTCGTCCTCGCTCGCGTACTGGTGGCAGATTGCGAATCGGATGACGTACTTGCCGTTGAGTGACGACGGTATCATGTGGAGCTTCCCGGAGTCGTTGATGTTCTTCAGGAGTCTCTCCGTTAGACTGTTCTCGCCCTATTAAAAGTATAAGATACAATGAATATATAAATAAATGAATAAATAAATGAATAAATGAATAAATGAATAAATGAATGAATGAATGAATAAATAAATAAATGAATAAATAAATGCACAAATAAATGAATAAATAAATTAATTAATTAACTAATTAAATAAATAGATAAATAATTAATGAATAAATTAAATAATTTTTGACTGTATAAAGTACAATAAATAGAATATAGAATGTCCAATGTATAACCGCATTTAAGATGACATACAACGAACTGTAATTTTTATTTTATTCATTGTTTTATTTTAAATATAAAATCTGAAATAATCAACAGACTCTTCTAGATGCACCAGATCACCTAACTACTTCTAGTGCTGAAAGGGATACAAATTCATGACAATGACAAGTGAATTCGAATCTGCATCTAATTGAAAGTGATTTTTACCAATAAATATCGGGAAAACACGTCAATACTATACAAACAAACATAACACGACAATCCGTACGCCCCTGTACAAACTAAAGAGATAGTAAACTATACCAGAAATAGGGCATAAATAATAACGAGGAGGGTTCAAAGGCCAATGGAAAAAAAGTGGGACATTGTTTCGACCTTTCTTTTCTGGAACTGATATTGTCAAATTAATAAAAAGGTACCTCCTCTTCATTAATATCCGTTTTTAGAGAACGGACTTGAAACTATAAATCATAGCTCTATATGAAAGCACACTGAGGCCCAATTCACACAACCCGTCTTTTTGCTGACGCTGGTCTCCGTCAGTGACATGGCGTGCTTGTTGACGCGCCACATGAAAAGGGAATACCACAAAAATAATCCATATTGAAAAGTGCAAATATTCCGTTTAAAACGCTGACCATGGAGACTAGTAACTCCATGCGCTGACGTATGAGCTAATTGAGTTCACAGGTTTGATTGGCACAGGCGGGTGGTGACGCAATCGAAATGGTGCCTCGCGAGCAAAGGGCACACTAAGTAGTCGACATTTTGGTGTATTGTCAAAAGAGGGCTTTGAATGGATATAAGCGACTTTGTCATCGACCTTTGACACTTGTTATTGGTGACCTTTGACACTAATTGACGATGAAGTTTATGAAACGGGGCCTTAGTTCTGTAGTTCCTTGAAAACAAAACAATTAAGAAAAAACAAATAAAAGAATAAAACGTTGGAGAGTGGGGATTTGAAATAAAGGCTCATCAACCAGGCAACATGATGATGCTTTGGGAAATGGGTTGCTCAGAATCCCGTAACGAAATTGAGTGAAACTAATAATTGGATGAACATGACTGACCTTTAACCTGAAGCACACAAGACCCATCGTGACTTCGCCCAAGACTTCAAAGCGGTTATCGTTCCAGACGAGCTCCTCGAATGCCTTCGCTTGTTTGACGTGCTGAAATAATGAAGAATAATTCACAAATAAAAAATGCGCAATTGCAATAACACCACTATACCAACAACAAACAGAAAATAAATACCAGCATCAAGAATTTTGTTAACGTGTATTGATACCAAATATTTTATAAGCGTACAACTTTTTTTTATTCAGTTTCAAAAGCTACTTTTTTGTAGTAGGTCTAGTGTCAAATAACAAGTTTACAGAATAATATTTTGTGAGGTCGCAGAAATTAAAGACACCGTACCTCCAATCTAGTAATACCTTTGCTCCGCCGGCCTGAAGATATGCCCTTAGTTGTGATATGATGGGGGCAGCCCATTAACTCAATCTTTTACTTGTAAATGCCACTTATTTTCACATTGCTTTTCCATCTCCCTTTCTTTCACCCCTATCTTTATCTCTATTTCCGCCAATTGATTGGGAAAGGGGATGCCCATATGACCCCTGTAGCTACGCCCTTTAATTGCCCTTTTTTGACGCATTGCCTGTAGCTATGTTTTAGCTAAGATTTTTTGTTTAAAGGTTGTACGCTAAGGGTAGCCTATAAACTCGGGCCACTGGTATACGAATCAGTCATTGCACGACCCTTGTCACACTAACGAAACTATCATCAGACCGTCAAGAGATCGAATAACATTTACATTAATGATAATAGTGGAGTCTTGTATAACACTCATGTCTGGCACATTGCCACTCCTGGGGGATGTTTCACAAAGATCCTAAGTCGAACTTAACTCTAAGTTGGACTTAAAAAATATGGAGAGCCATTTGTAACCTTAGGATAAAATATATTCAAAAGCAAAAACTCAAGTATATTAGAATTATCATAAATTCCACATCAAGAATATGAAATCTATTCTTGATAATAGAAAATTTGAATGATTTGAATCACCATTTTATGCCTTTTAAAATAACTTTTACAAAATATTTCAAAGATGCTAATTGCTTTCCATAATTTTTAGGTCCATTTTAGAGATAAGTTCAACTTAGGATCTTTGTGAAACATCCCCCTGGTGTTCTGTTATTATTATTACTCTGGCTTTAGCACTGCTGCCATTTAAGCGCTCGAGTGTTTCAATTCGATTATTCCTAGTGTAGATTAATGTCTTGCCAAAGGACATTAGTGCTGCGACAGGGATTCGAACCCGGTACCCCGTGGTTCACAGTCTTGAGACTTATCCACTGGGCCACAGCACCTCTACCATTACCACCAATTGCTAAGAGCGGGTCTCTTTGGAGTCAATCTGGCATGTGTGACTGACTGACTGACCTAGGTATTTCGGTGCGGTCGTAACATCCCGTACGATGTAAGAAGTGATTTATTCCTATGGCATTTTTCTCCGACACATTTAAGGCTAATATTGATCAATAAATCTTCCAAATAGTTCCAAATTTTGTGCCAGAATTTCTGTGTACAAAATGCAAACCTTGCCAGATGCACGTAACAATATACACTGAAATAAGCCTAGTGCATTTGGCAGCATTCGTCATACTACTTTTTGTTAAACCTTTTTTTTAGGGGGCGGGTTATTGTCACACAGAGGACAACGCCGAACTAAAACAAAACCAAATAAAACGTAACATTACGAAACAAAACAATGCGAAATGTTACTTAAGAAAACAAAACAGAACGAAACAAAGGTAGTGTAGCAAAACAAAACAATCGAAATAAGCAAACAAACAAGCGAGGAAACAAGCAAACAAAATCGAAATTCATTATGAGCATGCGAGATTATTCATGCTTTCACATAAACTTCATTCCTTATTATGGTTATATAACTCAAACATAAAAACCTCACACTCTCTCGTTTTATACACGGATAAAAACAAGTACGCCATTTGGAAAAAAAGAAAAAGGATCTGCCCTCCTATTTGAATTCTGATATTCCTAGCGATCTGAATTCCAAATTGTCTCGAGTAACCCCGTAGGGAGGTGATGTAATATTATGATTGCAGAATTTTGTATCGGTTATTATTTTGTTTCTATCTCGTGTGTGGCCGTTGTATTCTTAATCTGACCTATATTAACAAAAACAGAAACTAGCGACACAATCTGACACCAGACAAAACTATCATACTGAATTACTGATATCAAATAATGTTGGAGAATTGACACACATGTCTCGATCCATTTTAAAAATATAAATAGAGGGAATTAAAAAGGGTCAAGGGTTCGAGCACCGGCATGGCACTCTGCGTATTTTTATTTACATCGCCCCTCTCCTCCCGAGTGTTAAATGGGTACCCGGGGGGTGTTTCACAAAGATCCTAATTCGAACTTAACTGTTAAGTTGGACTTAAAATTATGGAGAGCCATTTGTAGCCTTAGAATAAATATATTCAAAAGTGAAAATCCCAAGTATTTAAGACTTTTTATAAATTCAACATCAAGAACATGAAATCTCCTTGATAATAGAAAATATGAATAATTTCTATCTACATTCTATGCCTTTTAAAGTAACTTTTACAAAATATTTAAATAGATGCTAACAGCTTTCCATAATTATTAAGTCCAACTTAAAGATAAGTTTAACTTATAGGATCTTTGTGAAACACCGCCCCCCCGGTAGCGAATTTTTTTTTCCCAAACAGGTTTACCTATGAGAGTAAAATCCTGCCTCCTGATTGGTTCAGAGGTATACGCGTCATGAATATTCACGAGCTGAGTTCACAGCACTGTGGCTGAGCTGCAGTACCTAGTATATGTATTACGCATGCGCGTGGACTTCAGTTTTGCTGGCCATTTAGGTGTACAAAATGTATGTGAGCTAGCTGTGGTGCGAGGGGATTTTTATTGGGGGAAGGGGGGGGGGGGGGTCTGTTTGTTTTTGAACATTTCTGGTTATTCTGGTGCTTGGTTTATATAGTTTTACACTGAGGATTTTTTTTCTCAAAGAGTTCACTTACAGTACACACACTAATATTCCAATTTCACACATAGGCTATACATACAAACACTATCTTTCTCTCTCTCTCTCTTTCTCTCTCTCGCTCTCTCTCTCTCTCTCTCTATAAACACACACACCCACCCACCCTCATGTATTTACAAACACATAAGCAACACATGCACACACTAGCTGTCAAGAATACACAATAGACACACACAAGGGGTATAATTATCTTATCAGGATGGTCCGACATGAGATGGTTGGATGTGGGTCAAAGCCACTGTGTTGCTCCGAGCATGATATCTTGACAAACATTTAATATTATCACCCGTAACTGAAACCAACACACAATTAATATCACGGTATTAGTCTCTTTTTTGTTCCACCAAGCTAATTTTTGCACCTTGCACAAATGCACTTCTCAACATGAAATATTTCACTAAATTTGTTTTGTTATTTTCACTCCAAATTAATTCAGCCATGCTCACTTTTAATCACTTCACTTATATCTTATTTAACATTGAATACAATGCAGTTGCATGGGTTGTTCTTTTATTTTGTTAACTCGGCAGAGGCCACGGTCATGTTCAAGCATTTACGCTTACGACATGTGGTCTCCTGCTTTTTCCTTTTGTATGAAACTTTTATTTTAACTAGAAACAAATTTTGTCAAACTTACATGTTATTCATTATATTTATTTGTATGTTTCTTTGTATTGATATGAAAAAGTGGAAATAAAACAAAACAAACAAACATATCAGTGGTTCTGGTTCCTTTGTGACAGATGAACCTGGCCAAAGAAAACAAAGGACATAAAGTAATATATACAGGCTCTACACACATGTCAAAGACAAGCTTTTATTATTAATATGCATACCAAGTGCACATTACACTGATTCATCTCTTATTTAAACATGAATATCTGACTAAGTCCTTTTCAATCTTTATATCTTCAAACTTCTTTTCTCAAGATTATCTTACTTAAATCAGAATCAAAACAATATTTAAAGGACATCCATTTCATTGCATTAATTTGAGCTTTCAACAATAAATACAAACAGCAGGTTCATAACCTTTGACCTACTTTCATGAATTTAAACTTGATATGACATGCACAGGATATGATTTTACATTTTCTGTTATTAAGATACAATCCCCACACACATTTATTTCACTGCCTCTGTCAACTAAATTTGAGACTCCATATAAATTATATTGCATGCATGTGTCACTGCTTTTGAGACTAATTCAGAATACATAATAACATAACCTACTGACACTATATACTGACAATTTCAAAGCATTAAAATAAAAATGGGATGGGCCAATTTACAATTTCACAATAATATTGTGGTACTTACATAAAGACTTGTATGGTTCTTGCAGAAGAAATCGGTATTCTCTTCTTTAGAGCGACCAAAATTGCAGAGAGTTGTACTTGTAGACTCCGCCATAATACTATAGCTCATGTAAAGGTTATAACTTAGAGCCAATCACTGCGCATGCATATCCATGCATGCAGTGTATAGCCTACGTACTATAGCTGCGCTGCATCAACGAACTCAAACTTGGATTTCGATGAGCTGCATGAGCAGCTTCGCCTGGTGTCACGCGCATGCGTAATACTACTAGTATCTTTCAGCTCAGTCATGAATATTCATGATGCGTATACCTCTGAACCAATCAGGAGGCAGGATTATACTCTCGTAGGTAAACCTGTTTGGGAAAAAAAAATTCGCCCCCCGGTAGGGTACGAATTTATTGTGTTTGCATCAGCATGTGTACGCCCGTAGAAAAGGAGAGTGTTCTCTGTGATGTGCGGAGTATTAATTGAATCCAGTAATTATACTGTATTAGCGCTTTGGACGGTTGTAACTGGAAAAGTGCTTTATAAGAACAATTATTACATAATATGGTGGGGTATTCCAGGGGGAGGGGAGGGGGGCTGGGGGTGGTTCTAGAATGCCCATCAGAATAATCAAAAGCTTCATCTTGCAAGGAATATGCTTTTAAAAAAAGAACAGAATGGTCAACTTACATTCCTGATATATTTTTGAAGTCCTTCTACACCATAGGTCCTTATCACGAACCAAAGCTTTAATGCTCGAAATCTTCTACTCAATGGAATTGTCCAGTGCTGCATTATTGAAAATCATAAAAAATATATATTCATTCAGTTCATTCGTTAATTTGCAAATTTAGTATGCGATGCTGAAGATAGATGTTTAAAAGAATTTAATGGATTTTTAACCCGGCCGAACCGTCTGAAAGATGAAAAGCGTTGCAGAACAGAAGCTCAATACTCTAAGAATGAAAGAGATAGATCATCTTGAAGCGCAAAATTGAAGGAAAAAAGAGCAACATGATATACGATGTATTTCTCTTTTCTTTATAATACATACACTCTATATTTTAAGTAATTGTTTTCATGTGTGTAGAGTGATAATTTAATTACAAAACTACTATCTGCATTCGGCCCTTTATGCAGATTTTCGAAATCATATGACGATATATATTTCATGTTTGGGAAATCAAGATAACCAATAAAAACGCTACTTATCACTGTAAAGTTGTAATGAAAAATAAAGTGTTCATTTCAATGAGCGGATAATATGTACAATTATATTGACTGTAACATAATGATTTAGAGAATGACTTAGATTAAAAAAACATTATACAACGATATAAAAAGAAAAGTAACATAAATTTGTGACATAAAATGCGACCCGATTGAATGTCCCCTAAAGAACAAAAAATATAACAGAGAGCAGTAACACTACATAAAATAGAAGTAAGGGAAGTCAAGAGAAACTACATAAACGAAAATTAAACATTTTATATCGAGTTTTATGAACAAAAATTGAGCTAGACTTACCCTGTAGTCTATTGCAGCATCTGAAGGACAAAGAATGAAAAGTAAATAAATGAAAAGGTGGAATAAATAAATGAGAAGACGAATAACAATCTAAAAATGGATCATTTCGGTAAATGAAACGAAACAACAAATCAAAATGAAAGGCTAAGGTGGTTTCCTTTTGACCAGGCTAAAGAGGAAAAAAAGGATCATTATCATTTCCTGATCTAAGACGAATTCAATTTTTGTTTATTACAAAGTTAACTATACGAACGACTCGAAAGGTTTATCTAAATCATTCTTTTCATCATGACACTTGAGATAAATTAAGCGTTACTTCTCTGTCAAATGTACAATAGCTAAAATGAATAACTTTAAAAAAGAAAATTACCGTCATTTTCATGTTGTAGATACAGAGGGTTAACATTGAAAGTACTGGTAAGAGCTGTTTTGTCCCGTATCCTGTTAGGATGATAAATATAAAGGAAATTTAATCAATCATATTTGAGCAATACAGAAATACAAATGAGTTTGTTGTTGGGTTTATAAGGCTGTCCAATCTGAAAAGATTATTTCCGCCATGTGACATAAAGTTTGAGTGGGCAGTTGTAAGCCTTAAACTCTATAAATCAGGATCAAAAGAACAAGTTCTTAGTAAAGAAAAAAGGAAAGCATAGTGTCTCATAGGTTGTACAAAAAGATGTTTGAAATTGATAAACAGTCTGCGTGAAAAGAGAGTATAATCGGTGTGAACACAACAGTGTGAAACAGAGTGAAATCGATAGGAAGAATTTAGAAGTGATCTCTAAATAGTAGCTGTAGTGATAGAGCGGATCATCCACTTGAATCTTAATTCAAAGTATGAGGGTTCGAATCCCAGCCTGGCATTAATCCGCATTAGCCACTCTCCATCAAAGTGTAAATGGGTCCCGGGTAATGCTACGGGTAATGCGATGGTAATGCTAGGGTAATGATATGGTAATGCTATGGGTAATGCTATGGGTAATACTAGGGTAATGCTAGGGTAATGCTAGGGTAATGCTAGGGTAATGCTAGGGTAATGCTAGGGTAATAATTGCAGGTCCAGCAGGAATAGCAGTCTTGATACCGATGTGGCTTCCAATGCACAGGTAAATAAGACCCACTTTTTATTAAAGGAACCGTCGAACTGAAGTCATTTCAAATGACGCCAACATAATAGGTGAACGTGCGTCAAGTGAGAAGCCTGCTATATACTTATTTTAACCAGAATTTATAACCAGAAATGTGGAAAATATTTGGAAAAGTTTGATGGTTCACATGATAGGAATGGATATTTGAGATAACAAATCTGTTTCCGCTTGTCGATTTCAAGGAGCATGACATAGGCATGTTTGTCACAATAAAAGAGAAATGTGAGATTCAAGAGGTTCGTGAGGACATTTGTTTTCCTCTCTAAAATGAAATGGATGGAATTCGGCTATTAGACCAAAGACATTGGAGGCGAACTTTAGTCTCGATATATTCTGATACCAAAATACCTAAAGGCCGCCTATTCGGTTTCAAACACTGGTACAGAGATATTTCACAGAAGGAACCTGAAAATATTTCTTGGCTGTTTGAAGAAGATCCAAAGAGAAGAAATTTGCTCCAGCGACGTTTACCACGGGCTTAGTTTCGTCAAAGATATATGATAAGGATGAGAGTTGCAATTGTGTTTAGATTATGTTTAGATTTAGGAGAAGGTTAGTAGTAGTTTCAATCTGAAGATTAGGTAAGAGGAGTTCCAATACGTTCGGTTTAGATTAATATGGTTAAGTCGTGTAGCTTGAGTCTGGAGTTAGGGTAAGGGTCGCAAGTGTCTGTTACTAGTGTTAGGTTAGGTTTCGTTCTAGGGTCGGGTACAGTTGTATGAGTCTGAAGTTTGGGGAATAGTTGCAATTGTGTTTAGGGCTTTGTTTAGAATTAGGATTCACAATTTTTTTTAGTACATTATGTCTTAAGTTTTGGTGAGGGTTGAAATAATGTTAGGTATATATTAGGATAGTGAGAGTTTTAAGTTTGGGTAAGGGTTACATTTGTGTTTTACGTTAGGTTTAAATTTTGGGTGGGGTTATGCATAGTAGTTTCAAGCTGAAGTTTGGGTGGTCGAGAGGGGTTGCAATAGCTATAAATTGGGTTTAGATTTAAGGTTAGGGTTCGGCAGAGTAGTTTAAGTATGAAGTTAGGATTAGGATTATGCAAAATTGATTGAACTTAGAGCAATGGTCGCTATGGTCGCAAGAGCAGTTAACGCACAACAGAATATACATGTATAGGCCAATGGGTGACTGTGTAAAGTATATCAACACCACAGAGGCGAGTCTTGTTTTCCCATTTTTTCATAATCGGCAGGATACACGGCGAGACAGCGCCACACGTAAGCCGATGTGTGAAGCAAACATCGGTTGCGAAAGAAGCACTAAATCACCCATCTTTGGCGACCCAGGAAAGTCGAGGGTCACTCCTCTTCTTATTTACAGGTGCTCTCAATGCCCCGGGAGGACTCTTTTGTTTGTTCTTTTAAGGGGTTTGCAAAAACAAACAGAAAAGTGCAAGCGTTGATGCCCCGGTCACACCGACAAGACCGATTCCCGACCAACTCCTAACCGACACCCGACCGAATTGCAAAGCTGTTGGTTATCGTTTTAGAACGGGTTTAGTAAGTCGTGTGACTTGGTTGTTACATACCACATTACGGAACAGTCGAAGTTTACGAGCATCCATTTGTTGGGATTGAAGTTGAAGGAGTCTACATACTGTGAATAAAAGAGAGAGAGAGGGAGAGAGAGAAAGCTATCAAAGTCGAGTTTAGGTGTTGATAAATACATGCAAGTTGCAAAACACACTTTTGAATATCAGGTACGACAAAACAGCATCGAATCTCATAATTCATGACATTTTTCAGTTTCATTCTTTAGAGACTCAATTCATTGTACAGTATAACGAGGCGACGTTTACATGTCATATTCAGAATATTAAAGCATTTGAAGAGCCATGCTTTTCAGGGAACATTATTTTCTCTGATGTTCTTCCACACTTGCATTATAACAATGAAAGCGCTCACAAATTATATTTAACCTGTCCCGAGAACTCTACCTTCTCTTTATTGATGCGAGCCCCTTTCTTTAATTTATAATGAATTCCGATTGTGCTGCCCCCTCCTCAAACATGAAACCACTACCAATATCTACGATAACAATTGCGAAACTAATATCTACAAAATGTTAATAAATAATCGACAAATTTTGCGTTAGAACAATCTAATATCATTTCCCCCTCCATTTGATCAACCGTACAAGTTCGTGGGAAATCAATGTTAGAACAATGTTTTCCCCCTCTTCATTCGACAAACTCATAAAAATCCTGCTCGACAATATTTATTCACCTCAAAGCCGGTTAGTAGGTAACTGAACTCGGGGCATATGAGGGCGTTGCCCCCGTATGCGCCGTCGACGTGAAACCAGAGCCCCCGTTCTTGGCAGATCTCGCCCAACTCGTCAATTGCGTCAGACGCGCAGCACCCAGTCGTTCCGAGCGTTCCACACACCTGTTGGTAAGATCAACCGTACGCGAAATACAGTCAGAGCGAATGGGAAAAAGCCTAGAAATTATGCTTCATGAACGGATGAATATGCAAGCAATATTATGAATGTTTCAGTTATTGAAATTTGAAGATTATAACATTATCAGTTATCAGATTGAGTTTAAAAAAAACAAAAAACAAACAAACAAACAAAGATAAACCAGGACAAAACCAAAGACACAACAATTACACCACCACCACAAACATCACCAGCATCAACAAAAAGCATCAACACTCATTTCATGATATTTTTTGTTAAAGATGAACAAACTAATCAGTGCTGTCGATGCACCTTTTTATTAAAAAAATTAATGATAGGCCTGTAGCATGAAATGCTTAATTATCAGTAATGGCAAAATTGAGTTTTCAAGAAGAAAACAAAACATGAACAAATATGGTGAGTAGTTTTTCCGAAATCGGAAACGAAATATAGTTTGTATCAACAATGGCATTTTTCATATAGATTTAGTCATTGCAAATTGCTGGTATTTTCCAATTACACACTAACGTTGCATGATACTTACATAGAAAGGTATAAGTCCTCTTTCCTCGTCGAGCTATTAGTGATAAGAAAGAAAATACACAATGAAAGACTGCGCTCTAAATCATGTGTTCATTACAGGTACCCTAATTCTTGCACTTTCATCAAAACTAAAACTACGGATTATTAAGTATATTTCTGTTGTTTACAAGTCCATGTTTCCTGGCATTTTTTTAGGATGATTTATTGGTTGCTCATGCCCTTAATAAGTTCATCTACAACAACATCTAAACGTGACAAGATCAACGCCATATTCGACTAAATTAATTGATCAGGCATTTTGTCAATCATTAAGACATTTCTTTCATTATTAGTGTTACCCAAGTGAGGTTAATGATATAAGGTTCATAATTATGCAGACCTGAATTGCTTCTAGGAGTGTGGTCCCCCGTAGGGAGTACTGGTCGTCCGTTGGAAGCTGATGTGTTTTCACAAATGAAATAATTCCCGCTTTTTCGACTGACGAGTGTGCCTTATACAAAAGTAACAAGGAAAAGAGTTAATAAGAAAACTGACAAATTTCTGTCGTTGAATGTTTAAGATTGCAGAGCTACCTTAGTATCACATAGAACGTAAACTTTTGTGGACACTTACAACTCTGAAATAATATTGGGAGCACGTGTTGACTGAAGGTTTCCTCGTAGACTAATTGCAATGTTCAACAGATAGAGATAAACTCTAAAGAGTCTAAAAGATCGTAATATATTTGGATCCAAATTTAACGACTAATTGAATTACCACAGTGACTACACTATAACGAAAGGGGGAAAAAAAAGGGGGGGGAAAGCAAATTTGAACAATGAGTTAGTGTTTACACACTGTGAACATAGCCTACTGTGGAAATGTTATAACGAAAGAAAAAAAAAGCATAAAACTACAATATGAGATAAATTTGAACAATTAATTAGTGTTTATCACTGTGAAAATAGCCTACTGTGGAAGTGTGGTCACACTTTTTGTTACCCAGTGATCAACGAATGGTAGTGGGTGTGGGTGTGTGGGTGTGTATGTGTGCACTCATTACTCCAGAGAACATTTAGAAGGTATACAATGTTGAAAATGTATCAGCTGAAAAGACAGTGTTCAAACTATGTTCATTCTGTGGAATACAGTGTGATACACTGTGGACAAAGAGAGGAAGACAGAGAGAGAGAGAGAGATAGTCAGGTGTAAGTATATCGCGGTGTTTTCCAAGAAAGCATTTTGAACTGTTTCGACGCGATGACACAATGCAAACACATTGTGTTCACATTTTTGTTCTCACCTTATGATATTGTATTACACACTGTGGTAAAAAAAAAAAAGAACCACAGTAGGTTCATTGCACAGTGTTACTTGAATGAGCATTTGGAATTCATACAGTGTTATCGATGTGGACACGACTATTTAAAACACTTCCCTGGTATGACTTAAACGTGATACGTCATGTACACACACACATAATTGACTGTGGACACAGGGAGAAACGTAATGTTAACACACCACAATATCACCCCGAGAGTATTTATATTTAGCCATGACTTTAATGTTGAAAATGTGAATGTAAGGATAACGTGTTTACACTTTTTTTGATACTATGTGAAAAATAATGAAAAAGTGTGCATACAATGAAATCTCAGCGTGTGAACATCACAATGTGATCATAGGTTTGAAATTGTCATCACACGTTGTTCTTCACACTGTAATAACCGTACAGGTATAAGTATAATTAATCAAGAATTTATTTATCTTTTCTTACCAGGTTTGAGCAGTACGCTACAAGCTTTGTCAGTAGTACACCATCCTCTATATCCGGGTACTTTTCCTTGTATCTTCGCAGCGCCGTCGTTCTCGCTGCCAGCATTGTCACGAGAGTGCATTCACTTGCTGAACCCTGCACGGAAAATATGTACATCGCAATAAATAATAACACAAACAGCGTAATTAAAGAGATGGATTACAATGGTTAAATTGATACCATATCCGGTCTAGACAACACGTACGCGTATATCATACGAGGTATTCCATCTATGCCTAAAGTCAATGGCATTTTGCACGTCTGCACCAGTCTTTTAGTATACATAACATCATTATCTTTTGGCTTATTTCGCAAGGGAATATACTTTATCAAACTTGGAGATCTTCAATGAAAAAGGATCCATGGAGGAACTAGGGTATCAAAGTGGTGAGGGAGTGTTACAGAATAAAAGACTAGCCCCCCCTCCCCGCCCCCCCCCCCCAAAAAACATTTGCTTTTTGTACCGGAGCTTTTGGAGGGAGAAGAAACTGGAAGAGAAGACAGTGGCATATGATTCTCCGCACCCTTTGAATATTACATATATGATAAAATAACACCCTTCCTTTAAAAAAAGATGATGGTAAATGTGTGCGTGTGTGTGAGTGCGTGACATGAAGCGTGTACTCATTTTTCGATATCAACGTGAAAAACAGTAATGCTTATTAGACATCATTTTGTGTTTTTGTTATTAAACTTAACTTGTTTAGATTACGGTAAAATAGTGAGCAATTTTCCCTTTCTCGATGTATGGCATGTTTTACAGTTGCCACCATGCATGTCAACGAACCCAGCGCAGCTAAATATATTTTGTATAAAAGCTGCTCTATGTAAATTTATTATTAGAAATATTATTATAAGATGGAAAATATTTGGGAAATACCTGGATGACTCCACCACCTCTGCAGTTGTCTGTGAACGGAAGAAGATGCTTTGGAAGGTTGAGCATCCGACCTAACCAGTCTATCATTATCGTTTCAAGTTCCGTACATACTGGACTCGCTGCCTGTTCATCAGGAAGGAAGTAGAAGAAGGAGAAGGAGAAGAAGGAGGAGGAGGAGGAGGAAGAAGAAGAAGAAGAAGAAGAAGAAGAAGAAGACGAAGGGGAAGAAGTAGAAGGAGGATCAGAAGATGAAGAAGAATAAACAGAAGAACGAGAAGTAGGAGGAGAGGAAAGAAGAAGGAAAATAAAGAAGAAGAAGAAGAAGAAGAAGAAGGAGGAGGAGGAGGAGGAGGAGAAGAAGAAGACGAAAATACAGAATAATAAGAAGTAGGAGGAGGAGGGGAAAGAAGAAGTAGAAGAAGAAAGATGATAAGCAAAATAGAATTTACATAACAATATATCTAGGGAACATGTGCACAAAATAATTCTTCAGATAAAAGATGAAAATTATGGAATTTTATTACGTAACAAATAGGTAAGATGCTCAAGGTTATTCCCACAGTTGTCGATAAGTTTGCGTTTGACCAATTACAACTATTAATATAGACATGATACAGACATACTAAAGCTTAACACCAGTACATTCCATCCTGAAGAAATTGTCAGTGGTTTATTTACCCATGAAAAGCCTATGCAGCCGATTGCATCAGAAAGCATGTCTGCTAAAATGCTTGGGTATGAGTTTCCCGCCGGAAAGTAGGCATGAAAACGTGGATGTTGCCAATGGGTTACCTGTGGGATAAAAAAAATATTTCATTAAAGTGACTCGGTAACATTGATGAAGGTTGATGACAAAACTGCGTCATTTTTGTACTAAATGTTACTTATTATATTCCTTCTACTGTACTAACCCTCTAACATGCATGTTCCCAACCGTTTTTCCACGAAAATAAAGAATTAGACAGGCTTTTTAAAATATGTCAACACTCAAATGTCTGGAACGGTTTATAGAGCCAATTCATTGCTTTGAGACGATTTACATTGACCTTAAATGTAATTAAATTGTTATAATTTAGTTGGGAGAATTATGGAATCGACCAGATAATTTTTCCCAATTTTTATTATTAATAATGGTCTGCTTTCACTCACAACTTTCAGATTATCTTTAATTGTACATCTAGCATTGAAGTCGTTTTCTCTCAAGAAAAAAATGTTTTGCTTTGTTTGTTTTTTACCTGATTGCTAAGAAAACAATGTGTATATGTTTGTAAGTAAGCAACTTTAGTGATCTCCGAGGAACTTGGTTATGGAGATTAATGCTGGACAAAAGGGACGCTATAGCAAATTGGCTTGGTTTCGAACCCGGGACCCCACGGTTACGCGACCACTGCTCTACCACTAGACCATTTTGTCACAACATTTCATTCGAAGGCGGTATAACTTGCATATAGATTGCATATTATTTTAATAAAACATAATCTGAACATTATTTCCATATGCAATACGATAGGCTTCTGAAATCACCATTGAGTCCATTTCTTGAAAATCTTCGCAATTGTTTCAATTTGTAAAGATGATGTATAGACCATTTTTTTTAAGAAACAAATTTAATCAAATCTTATCAAATTAAATCGAACGGAATCGAATCAAATCAAATCAAATCCAGTCAATAGCGTCCTCTTAAACAGGTTGAGATTTCAATTAGTAAACATCAAAGCACATAATGAAATTCACAAAGCCTTATGATTTCGACAGAGTACCGTGGACCTAGACCATCGACTTATTATGAGCGGTAAAGGGTAAAGGGTAGAAGGCAAATCAACGATCAAACCTCTTATGATTACATATACAAACTGACAAACAAGCAAACGAAGGTCATATCTCTTTTATTCTACCGGGAGCCCCAAATCATGCCAATCAAATGGCGGTAGAGAGAGAGAGAGAGAGAGCGAGAGAAAGAAAGAGAGAGAGAGGGGAGGGAGAGAGAGAGAGAGAGAGAGAGAGAGAGAGAGAGGGGGGAGAGAGAGAGAGAGAGAGAAAGAAAGAGAGAGAGAGAGGGGAGTGAGGGAGGGAGAGAGAGAGAGAGAGTGTGAGAGAGAGAGAGAGAGAGAGAGAGAGAGAAAGAGCCCGGGGGGGGGGGGGGGGGGTATATGGGGTGAGATACACGCACACTTTTCAAATGCAGTCCTCCGATATTGGAGTATACAAATATTTCTCCATGTTTGACTGTCTCGTTAACTACGTGCCGGGTAAACAGTTTCTGCCATTGGACGATCAAAGGGTCTTAAAAGGCCACAGTTTTCCGTGAAAGTGAGTACCGGCCCAGCCCTTGTCCATATGTGAGCGCCTTGATAGTGCTTTCTTCCCAATCCTTCCAGAATTATGTGTTTTTGCAGCGATTTACGTCAAAAAGCGACATTCTCGCCATAAATTGGCCTCGCTAGGATTTAGATGGCAAAGACAACAATCGAGCAGGATTTATGTCTGCTATGACGGTGGCATGAAAACATTTAAAGGTGGCTAAAGCAATGTTTTTAGTACATTGTGAATTCTTTCCAACAAACCATAGTTTGCTTCATATTTGATTTGTTGGAAGTAGGAAAATATGCTGTGACTTTCAAAATAATATTACCATTTTGCAAGTCAAGTAACTGCATTGTTGCATTGCACATAAAGAAGTAAAAAACATTTCTTCATTTTTCAAAGAAGGTTTGTTAAAAAAAGAAATACCAAAGGGCACTAGCGCATCGACTTGGTTTCGAACCAGGGACCTTCTCGGTTACAAGACCACTGCCTTACCACTGAGCCATCGCGCCTCCTAAGTTTGTGTTAATGAAACATTTTCGTATTCATCACATTTCCCAATTTATTCTCTAATCCCTCTCCCAACGGCTTAAAGATAAAATTTAGTTCTGGTAATATAGAAAATAAATTCTCACAGAATCCAACGAAACTTACATCGAATGTTAAAGATTACAAATAAATGACATGTGCCAAACAATTTTGGTAGAAAATATGTAGTGGCTGAGTAATGAGCATAGAAAGATAGGGAAACCCGGGTAAGTAGGCCCGACACCATGTGCTTAAACAGGTCACTATATGAAATGGGAGTTGTGGTTCTTATTGAGGATGATTCCCTGTAAGTTTTTTTTGTGCGTCTCTCTTTCTTTCACAGGTTCAAACTGTCAATCTATTGCAGGATAAACAATCAGCAATAAATCATAGAAAATTTCTCTCAAAATAAGATTCCCATACCAGAGCTCCAGATTAGCTTTAACTTCTGGTCTTTCCAATACGTCAAGACATTGCCTTGGCTTTTGACTGAGTGAACTTTGCCATATCATAATCCGATCACTAGCTAATTTATGTCATGTTCGTGGAGATTGTGCCGGGATTGTCTCTTACTCAACGTATCACTATCCCTCGACCATTTACTGCCGGCCTTCGCCTTTGTTAGAGAAAGAGTTCCTTAAAGGTAAAGACCAGTTCTGGTCATGCGATTGCATTGTGAGACAAACGAATATCACTGTCGATATTATTTCCGAAACACTGGCTTAGTTGGTATAAAGTTAAACCATCTGGTTCGATTGTCATCGTCCAGGCCTCTATACACGTGTAATTCATTATAAAAGAAGACTTCTTTTTGCTCCAAGAATCTTAAATCAATTCACATATGGGTCTTTTTAAATTTAAAAAGTCAAAATGATAATTACATATTACTTGTCACTAGGTCGGACAATGCTAAAAATGCCCGATTAATATATTAAGCTGATGTAACACCCTTCTGGTTCCAAACAGACTACACCCCTAGCATGATCTTGGTGTTAACATCTGACATGAAATCCTTTCACTCCTTTCCCTTCATATAGGGGGTATTGCTATCACCCCTTCCACCACCACACCCATAATCCTTACCCCAGGCATGATCTTGGTGTTAACATCTGACATGATATCCTACCACTCCTTCCCCTTTATAGGGGGTATTGCTATCACTCTTTCCACCACCACACCCATAATCCTTACACCAGGCATGATCTTTGGTGTTAACATCTGACATGATATCCTACCACTCCTCCCCCTTCATAGGGTCCTAGCTATCATCCCTTCCACCACCACAGTGACCACACCCATAATCCTTACCCCAGGCATGATCTTGGTGTTGACATCTGACATGATATCCTGCCACTCCTCCCCTTTGACCGGCGCTTCCTCGGGTAGCATCTTCCGGAGGTAGCCAGGGGCAACATCAGGAAAGACACGATAGTCAGAAATATTGTCCAAGTACTTTACGATGTACGATGACATCTCCTCCGAGTTCTGTTTGAACTGCTCCCCATCCATCGCAAACCCCTCCTATTATACGTAGAAAAAAATATATATAATATGTCACAATTATCTATCATGGCTTAAAGATAAACTTAATTGAGTTCTGATAAATATTGAAAATAAATTATAACAGAATCCAACGAAACGTACACTGAATATTCAAGATTACAAATAAATGACATGTCCCTAACAATTTTGGTAGAAAATGTATAGTGGCTGGGTAATGAGCATAGAAAGATACGGAAATCCGGGTAAGTATCGGCCCGACACCATGTTTTAGCGAAGATGATGCCCAGTAAGTTTTTGTGCGTTTGTTTTTATTTCACTGGTTCAAACTTCAAACAAGCAATTTGCTGCAGGATAAACAATACTGATCATAGCAATTTTCTCTCAAAAGACGATTCTTATACCAGAGCTCAAGATTAGCTTTAATTAGAGAGTCTGACTGAAGTAATTGATGAATTCAAATTGACCGGATGATGAACAATGATAATTTGATAAAATAAAAATTAATGTAAAATGAATGAATGATTAACCAAACGAAATTTTTTCTACCATTTTGAAGTAAATTTCAAGTGCATTTGTTAGCTAATAATATACCAATAATACACAGCAGTGAGGGCATTAGTAAGAATTACCCACACGAGGTCCCTTTGGAACAGTCTAATTGTTTTATAAGATTAAGCTTTATTTGTTTTAGAAAATGATGTTTTATAACATGATTTTGATAATGACTGGTCATTACTATTGGATAATGACCGGTCATTATCCAAATTACGCGTTAGGCAAAATAAATGTCTGGTCACGTGTACGCTCTCAACCAATCATTTGATTAGGATCTACGTCATCATCTTATAAAAGCGATTATATGACCATGAGAAGATCTGTGGACAGTACACGTACTTGAATTGAATTCTGTACCCAGAGTCTCGGACGAGCATGAGGGAAGGGAAACATTTTACACAATCTCGATCTAAAAGACGTGCAAAATGGTAGGAGTTTTATCCAACGCAGCAAATTAGCATGACTTCACAACTTTTTGAAAATGTAATAATTATAAAGCTATCATCTTCCGGCTGTAACCGGTGTGTTGGCTCGGTCAGTAGAGCGTCCACCTCACAACCGGGAGGTCGTGGGTTTGAACCCCGGCCGCGTCATACCAAAAGACGTTAACAGACGGGAGTTGCTGCTACCTTGTTTGGCGTTCAACAAAAAGGGATAGAGCAACGTCGATCTGGCTCTGCTCAGTGGCTGCCGGGCTCACGATCAATCGGGCAAAAAGAATTTCTATTTTCGGTTTAACTTAATAAAATTTGGAGTGGAATTTAAAAGATTATTATTATTATTATTATATCTTATTTTTAATGGACTATATTAAGGATACGTGAGAAATGACTGATTAAAACAAACCAACATATGACTTTCATCTGAATATGAGAAGTGAAGCAGTTTAACACGTTGTATAACATTTCATTTACCCGCGTGTCCTCTCCTTCTCATACAAATCGTTACCTCACAATTTTGAATGAATTTCATGCATCGTCAAAGAATAAAGGCAAGTGTAATGAAAATAAAAGCTTAACTTAAGTTTAAGTTAGTTAAACTCTCAGCTTACCTCTTTTCAGGTATCAATAAAGGCGATGATTTACACAGGTTTGATATCCACAGTTATGCCACGACGTTTCCAGCAAATAAGATCAACGAAAATTAAAAGAAATACAAATCCTCTTCACAATTCACAATTAAATGAAGCAGTGAAACGTCAAGTCTGTTCCAAAGATATCCGTCTGTTTCAAATGAATTTATGCTTGTGTTGTGAGAGAAACTATTCAATAACCAAAATTATAGTGGCTACCTGTAGCTAGACGACAGAGATTGGAACGTTCTTTGGTAAAATTATCCGCATCTTCGCGTTCGCTGCTTCTGTTCTCTGACAATGTTCTTCGCAAGAGTTCTGTTCTTGGCACTGATTGGAGGTTTACGGACCACTCATTTTTATAGTCTCTCTAAGCCTCGGCTTGGGATGACCACACTGATGTGTTTGTTTTCATTTTACTTTTTCCCCCGCATCCTCTATTTCTCATTCCCCTCTCTCTCTCTCTCTCTCTCTCTCTTTTTCTCTATCTATCTCTCTCTCTCTCTCTCTCTCTCTCTCTCTCTCTCACATTTTGCAATGGTGTATGAGAAATGTGCTTCACTAGCGCACGTAAGAAGAAGGATTTAACCTTGCTGGGATTTCCATTTCCGTGAATGTACTACAAATTTTACTTCTTAAACGCAGTCTTTGTCAGGCGCGGATCTACGGGGGAGGGGGGGGGGGGGGCGACGGGCCCGACCCCCCTTGCCTTTAACAAAAAATGTTTTTTAGTAAGCAATCACGCAACCCGCCCCTCCCCCCACCCCCACTTAGTAAAACTAACGGTCTGCGCGATTTTCAAATTTCCGGGGGCAAAAACAAACAAAAAATTATGCTTACTCCCCCCCCTCCCTCCCACTGAGCGAAATATTGGTAGGCCCGATTTTCACATTTTCGGAGGCAAAGCGGCGGAAAAAAATGTGCTCTTACCCCCCCCCCCCCCCACCCTCCCCCCTCTCCCCGCTTATTCAGCGGCTGGCTGTGAGTCGTGATTTTCAAATTTTAACCCCCCCTCAAGTAGTAGTAGTAGTAGTAGTAGTAGCAGCAGTAGTAGTAGTAGTAGTAGTAGTAGTAGTATTCAGCAGTAGTAGTTGTAGTAGTAGTAGTAGTAGTAGTAGTAGTAGTAGTAGTAGTAGTAGTAGTAATAGTAGCAGTAGTAATGGTGGTTTTTTTGTTTTAAACGCCTTTTATGGTCAGCATGCAGATATCAATATGTTACAGTTAGCCAGCCCTTCGACAAAATCTTGTTACCTTTGCTATCTGAAAATTGTAACCTCTGCTTGATTTTTCTCTAACAAAATGTTTGTACACTATAATATCGACAATTTTAGGCTTATACGCTCGACGAACAACAAATACGGTTTTACCAAAGGATTGAGTAAAATGCCCTCGCTTGGGTCATGGGAGTCATATACAGAGACTGACTGTAACAAGTGGAACAAGAATTGCTTCAACCAGGGAGGTTTAAGCTCACACCTGCCTGTTTCAACGGCACTATCTATTAGCTCTCATTGGTGAATGATTATATTCTCATATAGTGCGATGATTCCCTTCCACATCGAATGTAGAGCAAATTCAGTTCAATTCAGTTCAAATTAAATCGTGCGCTGCTGTATGCAGGGTGGCACGGTTTACTGTAAATTTCCACTCTCAAATATTTGATGAAAAACTGAGATTAGCGTTCTAGTTATTGGTTAGGTTTTTTGTAGGTTAATAATCCCTAGAACTATTTCCTGAATGATTTGAGGGTTGGCGTCAACCAGCTTTCCTGTAGGATCGTGTGCGCTGCTGCTGTAAGATAACTTGTTTCTATCCCTTGAACTCTAAGGGTTAATAATAAGAGAAGTTGCTGTTGATGCAGTGCAAAGGAAGTGACAAAGTCATTCAGATTTCGAAAATCCGCATTCATCAATGTTGTGGCCCGAATTAAGGGCGTCAATTCGAGCTTGAGCATGGGGGGGGGGGGGGGGGGGGGGGGGAACAATTACATGTCACCTTTACAGTTACATTCGTTTCTTGGAAAATGACGAATTCCTAAAATTACCGTCAGGCGAGAAAAATGCTTACTTAAAAGCTTAGATGTCAGGGCCCGAGGAACTGCATGGCTCGGGGGCCTGGAGCTTCCCCTCCCACTTTTTTTGAAAGGGTAAAGTATATTAAAGAGAAATAGAAAGAAAGAGAGAAAGAAAGAAAGAATAGTGAACTGCCAGGTGAGGTATCAAAATTTGCTCATCTGACCGTGATTAAATGCCGAAAACCCCTGAGCTTCCGAGGTCTCTGCCCCCTGGATTCCACCTATGGCCCTAAGGCGGGCCCCTGGATGCTCGTGTGGCGGTAATTTAATGCCTAAAGCCCTTGAGCTTCTGGGGACTCTGCCCCCTGGACCCCACGCCAATTAGTGTCCTGCCAGTGTCACAAATAAGGTATCAAAAAAATGCTCATCTGACCGTAATTAAACGCTCAAACCCCTGAACTTCCGGGGGCTCTGCCCCACTGAACCTAATCAAAGGTCCTAGAGCGGGCCCCTTGATACTCATCTGACCGTTATTTGTCATCGTCATTGGGTCAACAACAACAAAAATCGCCGCTTCGCGACTCGTGGACAATGCCCTGCATCGTCATTGGGTCAGCCCCCCTTAACAAAAAGCTAGATCCGCCCCTGAAAACCCCTGAGCTTCCGTGGGCTTCGCCGCCTCGACCACACCAGGGGGCGTAAGGCGCCCCCTGAATGCTTATCTGACAATAATTAAAAGCTTCAAATCCCTGAGTTTCAGGGGGCTCAGCTCCCTGGTCCCCACGCCAATTAGTGACCTGCCAATATCATGAATAAGGTATCAAAATATGTTCATCTGACCGTAATTAAATGCCCATAACCCCAGAGCTTCCGCCGGTGACCCCCGCCGGTCCTTTGCCTCTAGACCCCACGCCAATTTATGCTACGCTCTACCTGATCACAAATACTTTTAATTAGCCTCCTCCACCCACTTAGAAAAACGTTCAGCGGGGCCTGCATGTAAGAATGGGGGTGATGCGGATTTTGTGTCTGCCCCCTCCCCCCCTCCCCCAAAGTTTTTGCTCATTACGCCAATGCTCAATTTGGAGATCAGGTCACATGAGATCTGTTTTTCATATTCACCTAATGTAGAAACCAACAACTGGAGACTGGCCGTGGGATTCTTCCATAATGACTAACTAGTAACAGATACCCATCCAACAAAATTTACAAGGTTACAGATTAGAAGTGGGTTTTGCTTCTTTTGGAGCTGAAGAATATGATAATTCGGTTCTGAATGGCTTGAACCTCGCAAATATGCATTTGTAAAGATTAAATGAAAGGTATTCTGGCATCGCCGAGCACAGCGCGCTTTTCGCCATCGATCTCAGCCTTTGTGAAACATTCCCCTGGGGGTGTTTCACAAAGATCCTAAGTTGAACTTATCTCTAAGTTGGACTTAACAATTATGGAGAGCCATTTGTAGCCTAAAAATGAAATATATTAAAAAGTAAAAATACAAGTAATTTAGACTTTTCATAAATTCCAGATCAAGAACATGAAATCTCCCATGATCATAGAAAATATGAATGATTTGAATCAACATTTTATGCCTTTAAAAAAAACTTTTACAAAATATTTTCAAAGATGCTAATGGCTTTCCATAATTTTTAAGTCCATCTTAGAGATAAGTCCAACTTAGGATCTTTGTGAAACACTCACCTGGGATATTTTCTAGGGCTCTGAATCAAACCTTATTGAGCGAAGTCACAAAATGATGCCTGTCGCGAAAAGGGAGGGCTAAAGGCGATTGTCGAAAAATGATTTAATTAACTGGACAATAACCTGGTAGTAATTTTATAAGTCGATTAAAAACTGCATATTTCGGCTAGATTTATCATTCTCTGTAGGTCTATCTAAGCGTATCCATATGGGTCATATATTAATGTTGCAGTGTAACAACTTAATTTATTGCGATTTGCAAGTTACAAATTTGTTTTGTAACGCTTTAGTACCTGCAGCTCTTTGCTAACCGCTCCTTAAAGTGACTAGAAAAAAAACTGCGTAATTTTTGTATGAAATGTTACTTATTATCCTTCTGCTGTAGGCCTACTAACCCTCTAACTTGCAACAAATCCTGAAAAAATTCTCAAACCACAAAGATTTTTATGGTTTTCTTGGAAGGTGTTGTTTTGAATTTTCCCAACCGCTTTCCATGAAAATAAGACAGAAGACAGGCGTTTAAAAATCTGTAAACACTTAAATGTCTGAAATGGTATATAGAGCCAATTCATTGCCCTGTGACGATTAATATTCACCTAAAATGTAACTAAATTGTAAAACCATAGTTGGGAGATTTAAGGAATTGATCAGATCAGTTTTCCCCAATTTTTCTCGTTAATCATGGTCTGTTTTCACTCAAACTTTCAGATTAGCTTTAAATGTACATCTATCATTCAAGTCACTACCTCAGCACATTTTCTCTCATCTGAATGCTCATCTGACCGTAATTGAATGCCTAAAACCCCTTGGCTTCCGGTGGCGCTGCCCCCTTAACCTCACCTATGACCCAAAGGCGACGGCTAGATGCTAATCTGACGGTAATTTAATGCTTAAAATCCCTTAGCTTCTGGGGTCTCGGCCCCCTGGACCTTACGCCAATTATAAGTGTCTTGCCAGTGTCACGAATAAGGTATCAAAATATGTTCATCTGACCGTAATTAAATGCCTAAAACCCCTAAGTTTCCGGGGCTCCGCCCCCTCGACCCCACTAGGGGCCCTAAGGCGGCCCCTACATGCTTGTCTAACAGTTATAAAATGCCTAAAACCCCTAAGCTTCTGGAGGCTCCGCCCCTTAACCCCACGCCAATTCGTGACCTGCTATTGTCACAAATAAGGTATAATTATTATGCTCAACTAACGTAATTAAATGCCCAAAACCCCTGAGCTTCTGGGAGCTCCGCTCCCTGGACCCCAGGCCAATTCGTGACCTGCTAGTGTCACAAATAAGGTATCAAAATATGCTCATCTGACCGTAATGTATTGCCCAAAACCCCTGAGCTTCCGGGGGCTCCGCCCCTGGACCCCACGCCAATTCGTGACTTGCCAGTGTCACAAACAAGGTATAAAAATATGCTCTTCTGACGATAATTTAATGTATAAAACCAATATGTGTCCTGCCAGTGTCACAAATAAGGTATCAAAATATGCTCATCTGACCCAAATGTATTGCCCAAAACCCCTAACCCCTGGACCCCACACCA